TTTGTTCTAGGGCGTGTTGGCCGTTCCTCGGCTCCCTATGGAGAGGAGTAGTGGGGATTTCTTACGGCAGCGTCGGGTCACGCCGAGACGGTAGACTGAGTGACATATGCGACAGCGCCAGATCCAGGGGTATGGGATAAGGGGAGGGGGTCTGAGGAGATGTGGTGAAATGGGTGGGCTGGGGAGTAAGCTGCGTTGGTAGAGCCGTCGAGGTGGGGTTAGGGGGGAGAGAGGTGAGGAATGAGATGTTCCATTTTTTAGCAGAGAAGGATAGCTAGGTACCGTTATGCATTGTGGTCGACGCTCCATCATACCTTGTGGTATTCTCGTTGTGCTTGCCAGTCAATGATCCGATAATGTGTGAATTTCCTGAGGAATGGGATAACCTAGGTGTTGAAATCTACGCTGAAGTTCTTTGTTTGATATCAAGAAGCAATTCCAACAATGTAGTTAGTCGTTCATGTGAGTCGGAGGAATCCGATCAACACGCAGCGCGGCGCTGTCGCCAGCAAGAAAGAATAACGAGGCTGTAGAGATAGATCCCAGGTATAATCTTGGCAATTCTTCTCGAAAAGAATTGAGATCCTCAGTCAAACATTCCGTCGATGTGACGTTTGTTCTTTAAAAAGAGTCTCGTGGTACCGGTGAGATAAAACAAACCGAGGTGTGGACGAAAACATCAATAGCGAGGTTCCAAATGGCCAATCAATTCCGACGGTAATCCTACTTCGCATATCAAGAGTTGAGGTCAAATTGCATTGGAAAATAAGAAGGAAAAATCTGAATCTTGCGTCAACGAGCAATTGAGTAGGAAAAAATTGTCTCTACAGATGAGGTTGAAGGTGTTCTTCATGCAATTGTTTCATTCACAATCATTCATCAAGACTCTCTCATTTGTTGTTGGTAAGTCTTTGTTTGTTAGGCGTGACCTTCCTTTCATGGATTTGTGCCCACTAAGTAGGTTGGAAGTGCGGGTGATGCATCATTGATAGAGAGGCGACAACAAAGAAATTTTTCTGGAAGCTAAAGTATGAAGATTTGAAAATGACGATTGGAAAAAAAATAAAAAAATACAAGGGGTGGCCAGCCGTGTTATGGCGCAAGGCCAACATGATGTGAGTACTTTTGCTACTATTTTACTCATGCCTGGTTTATTGGAAGATTCACTTAATATAGTTGTTCGTTCATGTTATGTTGAAGAGTCTCATGATTGTTTATCTGATGATGGGACGGATAATGTATAGAATGACCAAGCTTCAGGGTAGCTGAGCACTAGATTTCTTATGCTGGCGTCAAGGTCAACATGTAAGCTATGAGCTGTAGATATCAAAAAAGATCTTGGAATGAAATAGACTAGACTACTTGAGCTAGGATGGGAATTTAAACTGACTCAATTTAATTCCCAAACTTTTACTGTGATACTTGTTTTTTAATGACATTTATCGGATTCAAATGTGCAGAATGATAGACCTCAGTTACTACTGGTTAATCCGACGGAAAATCTATCCAATGAAAGAATGAAATATTCAAACAAGAATCGTTTTCAATCCATGATTCTCATTGGCCTCGGTATTTGTTCTGAAAATAATATGCTTCGGGGAAAAACAAAAATAACAAAGACAAACCAAATAAAAGTGAGGGGCATACCTTTTCCAGTGCCTAAATTTCCCGATGCTGGGAGCTTGTTCGGTCATTCGTGGTCAGCCGCATTGCTCTAGTATTAAACGATCCTACGTCCCAATAGGTTGCTACGAGCTTCTCCGTGGTCTGGCAGTCAAAGTCTTTGATCTTTGCACGTTTTAATTTCAAAGCTCCACACATCAGCACAGGTTTTGGGGGCTTCAAGCTTCCTTGTTGTACCCCCATCCTCAAAAGTGGTCGGAGATGACAAAGAGCACAGTATGCATGACATATACGGAAGAGAATCCCGCAGTATCAATGGCGACTGTATATGTGGTAATGACTGATTGAAGTGATCTGATGTACGCAAGTTATGTTCAATCTTTTCCACGGAAAGGCATGCGAAGTAGCACGTCATGGAAGGATCCAGGTCCTAGGTCGTTAAGTATTGTCATAGATACAAAAAACCAAAGAACTAGGAAGATGAGGAACTTCCTACATCTTGCATTGCCATGCGAAAACATATGGCGACCATGGACGTCCACTAGCGATAACAGCGAGCTATGGATTGTGGATCATACGGAGTACTGGCTTTATGGCCTTTCGAGTTTGAAGATCCTTAGATGGGTCATCCTAGACCGGACTTACCAACTAGGGAAATAATGAAAATAGTGTCATGGAATCATTCTAGCTTGACTCGTGCCAAGATCAGTGCAGAACTCCATGAAGGTTCGAAGCCGTCAGCTTAGAGAGCCTAGGCGGGAAATGAGCTGGAGTGAAATTGAACTTGACGCGAGGAGTTCTGAAACTATTAGCTATTATTGATTCGAGAGGCCTTTCAGAATGCGCCAACCTAATTGCTTTTATAGGAATATAATTTCTAGGCCGTTCAAAAATATGGGAATAAGTTGGAATCCCTAGAGATAATCAAGAGACAATATTCTGTACTTAATTATATCTGAAGATTCACGCACCAAATTATTGATTACGTAAAGAAAATATTACGTAACAGTCTCACGTGATAAACGTGTCGTTTTCTATGTCTCTTGCGAAAGGCACTTGGCATACCACCATTATCCTGACCATTATCAGCATCGACATTCAATAAACATTTCAATCTCCGGCTTTTATTTTAGAATTTTTGGTATGACCATAAACATGTCGAAAAATCTTATCTTTCAATACCCATATTCCTATAGATTCGAAATCTCTAACCTGATATCCTGGGCAAATTCAATGGGACCTGGATGATCTTGAATGCTGAGGTTGAAGCACATATCGGTGTCTTAAAGGATGCAATTTGCATGATTGAATATTAATCTTTATTGTAACGTTGCAGCCTGTACGCTTGCCTGCTAGTCATTCTTGTACATGTACGACGGATCCCTTACTTGTCAGAGTAGCATTAATCAGAGGTGTCAAAAACTCGATCATTTGCTGATTGCTCACATTTACAAGGTACCTGAATACGTAGTGCTTGTCCAAAAATAGTCAAGAGGCATGAACCGATCAGTATGCTTGCAGCTCCCCGACACTCTAGTGCGGCACTGCATCCGAGTCATACCGCGATCCGATACACCAATCCTGCTGCTGGCGTCAACAGCGGTGGCTCCTGTTAATTATCCTGAGTTAAGCTCCGATCACAATTGGGTTTCACCCAGAGTTTACTTCGAGCTATCTTGGGTGGATGTGAACTTACTTCACGAAAGTCATGCCTTTGGGTCTACCAGCATTGCGTGGATAAACGTGACAGTCTCAGCACTTCTTTAATGCTCTCTTTACTACATCATGCATCCGAACATCCATTCTTAGTATAGGAAGAACACCGATGCCGAGGTATTTCCAGTTCCAGTCACGCGCAAATACAGGACGATTCTTATTTGATACCACATGTTCATGGAGATTCGAAGGAATGCTCCCTACTAACCATTCCAAGATCAGAAATATTATCTCTGAATATATGAACATGTCCACCCGCTCACTGTTTTGACAGTCTCAGATGCTGTATCACCTTGATAAAGTTGAATCCATTCTCCGCCATCATACGTGGAAGGAGAAAGATATGCAAGCCACGCTCTTCTCCCATGACAACCGTCAAACTCAAACTTCATAGTAATATTCCTTAGGCGCTTGGATTCTGGGACTATCTCCATTCCTTCGCTCAGACCAGCTTCTTCAATATCACGAACTCTCTCGGCTACTCTTGCGCTCAGCAGACTATTCCACAAACCTTCTTGTCTATCAGCTTGTTTCAATAATTGGATGGCTTCGTTCCTTATGCTTCTATGTCGACATTTTGTGGCTACCAGGAATAATGGCTGAAGTATCTCATTGTCTAATGTAAAACTTGCTGCCTTGCGACCTCCCCTTCGGAAATTGGGTGGTATGTCGATAATTTCGAAGGCCCATCTCACCACTGCTTCGAATTCTAACTGGAATTTATCCCACAATAGCTCATCTGGTTCATTGGATACAGTAGGATAAGTTGTGGAAGTTGTGACCAATATTTTTGTCATCGTTTTGTGCATGCGGAGCAGGTTCCTCGCTCGCTTCTCCATTGGATTGGCTAATTCGATGCAATCAGTTTCGTTTGTTGCGCATGAATATAACTCAAATGCTCGGTTCCATCTTTCGAGGCGAGATAATATTAGAAGTTTAGCTTCATCGCTGGTAGGGAGTGGAAGGGGGACACCATTGTACATGGAACAGGATAGGAGACTTCTTCCGCTGAATGTCCAAATTGATTCCAGCACCTCACGCGCTTGCTCAACGCTCAGAAATCTGTCTGGAATAGAGTTCGGTGGCGAGTCGGATCCGCCATCAATTATGCGTGCCCTTGAGTTCAAAACAGAGGCTTGCGTATCAAGCCGGCTAAATAGAACACGAAATATCGAGACAGGAATGTGATCTTCAGGAGGGTCTTCGATTGGGATAGCTTTCGATTCTCCTGATACTTGTAGTTCTGAGAAAATCTTTACCCCACCATCAATGTGTGCGAGGGCAGAGTCGTGGTGTCCTCTTAAAGTCTTCAGATGCATCATCAGTTAGTATCCAACGAATTAGTGATGATTCCGATGACACTTACCTCAAAGCATATGAATAATATGCAAGCCGTTAACGCCACATTCGCCGTTTTAGATGTGTGCTTGGTGTTTACAGACATATTCGGCTCCACTAGGCAACTTATGGCTTTTACGTACTGTTTTAAAGCAAAGGAATTCTCTTCGGTATCACCTGTCATCTTAGAGATAAATTTGTCCTCCAACTCGAACCTCTCATGCAAAGAACCGAGGGCAATAGCCGCATGTCGAACTGCCGGCTCATGATGAGAGGCCTGTAGAACGAAATGATTCCAAAATTTCGAGCCGAAACAACTGCCTAGTTGAGGTGCACTTTGTGTGTGGAAAAAGTTGAAAGAGTGCTGCTCCCGGTCACTAACAGATAGAGATGGGGACAGAAAATCAGGAATTGCTGGCGGTAGTTGATTTGTGATACCGTTGAAAGAATTCGAGACGATAGCAGATGAAATTGCACTTGATTTAGGATTCGGACTAGGAGCACAGTGGGCATAGCCGTCACATTTTCTACCCGTCTGGAAACATTTCTTACACCCAGGTCTTCCTTCGTCGCATTTCACATGCCGGACTCTATAAGAGAGACGTCAGTTGACCTGTTTAGGTACAATAATTGTCCCTGAAGAAATGAAACAAGCAAAGTCCATCATAGTTTCTCCCAGAAGATTGCGAGCCATAAACAAGATTGGGCTATTGAAAATGATGCAAGATCCATCCATCAGAAGCACAACATGACTTCTCGGAAGCTGTTCGAGGTAAAACAAAAGAACATGTGGCTATTGACTCACTTGCAGGTTTTGCAACCTGTCTTAGCTCTTGTACTGAATGCTCGTGAACGTTTAGGGACCTCTTTCTTTATGAACGACTTTTTTGAAACTCCAACCATTTTTGCAAGGGGTGAGCGAGTGTTGATGATCAGTCAATTGAATGTAAAGTACTGGATGTACTCCGAAAATTCCCATACATTCGTGTTGTTCGTTGAAGAGCATAAAATTAACTACTAGTTCCGAGGAAAGCGTCATATAGAGGTGTCGTTAAGAGTGCAGGTTGGCTAAAAATACGAGAGGGTTCAAATGAAACCAGGCGTCTGGTGGAGGTATGGTTTTCCGCATATTGTTCCTTTGACAGCTCATATACGTCCTATCTTACAATCATGTCGGATCACGGCAAGAAATAAATGATTAATCAATAATTTACTGACCGGATACGTTGCATGATCGGAAGGCTGAGCATCCGCAAGTCAGATTATGGGAATCATCATTATGGTATATATCGGGCTTCATACTGCGTTCGTCTTGAAAAAACCGGGGTTACTGTTCCAAAAACGGGTACTGTGGGCACATGCAGAACCATGCTTGATAGGCAGGGGTCCAGCATTTCCTGACGCAGAAATAATGATCATAAAAAATGGACGAGCAGACCAATCAGGCTTGCAGTGAGTTATGCAGACTTGTAATTTAAGGTTATGATATAAAGCAGGAGAAAACAGTAAGGTTTTTTAGTGAATCATTCCTCCCTCGCTCTTAAATCCCGACTAATATAACTAGCGAGGCTCTTCTAATCTTCACAAATATAACGGCTATAAATCTGCCACGCCATGATTTTGCTTATACTAAACAACCACTTCGATATGCACGGCGATATGCATGCAATATTCGGAGTTATAATCCATTTCTCCATTTCTCCATTTTTCCGGGCTGTACTATCACGTTTTGCTCCTAAACCTATGGACTCCACCAATCAATTTGCCATGCTATTTCAGAAACCGGTGAGATGAGCCATATACATGGAGTTATGTTATGCCGTATTACAGACCATTTTTGGTGGTCCTAAGAATGGAAATTTGCATTATTGAGATGATGACTTTCCTTCATCTAAGTTACCATCAATCATCCCCGCAACTCATCGGTTTCATCAGCCACAAGATAACGACTCGGACCATATTGCGAACTTTGAGTTCTTTGAGTCGCCTTTTCCTGGAATCCCGTCAAAAGGACGATGTCATAAAAGCATTTATACGTTGATAAATTTCGAATTTGGTCCTGCAATCATCGATTTATGGTGAAGCATCAGGTACATATAATCAGATCTGCAAATCTCGCGTACATTGAGCTCAAACCCCTTTTCTTCAACGATCGGCGCCTCATCAATATCTTGCACTAGGTCAAATTGATATTGGCATGATAATGGCTTCTCTAAGTTGTTAGTGATAGTAATAGGCTTAATCGACAACTGATAATACAGTCAGAACTATTTATAATTGGCTGGAGTGGTACAAAAAAGATCGTTGTAACCACCGGTCACGATACTTTCTTATATATAGACCGATCTTACCTTACAGTATGATCTTTATTTACCATGCTACTTTTCTCGCTAATGTTCTAGATCAAATAGACCATTCAACTGTGCACGAGTGACCGAGGTTCAAAACATAGGAATTCAAGCTTGATTTTAATTCAAATCTGATGTCATTTTCTGTGCCATGAAAAATGGGGAAACTTTTTTGGGTAAAGACTTATAAGGCTGTCCAGTGTCCACATGGCTTGTGTACTCTGTGTGAGAATTTTCAGTCGGAATATTCGGGATTAGCTGCTAATTAATACTTGCGATATTACGAAAAATACCTCGTAGAATCTAACGACGAATTACAAAAGGACTAATTGTATTTCTAAACGTCTCATTGCTATGGTAGTACAGCGTAGAAAATTTGGTGAAGGAATAAGCATTTTGTTCACTACGGATTCGGATTATTCCTGTAATGGGCGTACATTGACAATCGCCGAGCTCCTACAAGAGATATATGTCTCGCTGACAATTTTCTATTCTAGTTAAAAATTTTCGAGGACATGTAATTAAGTGTGAATAAGTGATTTTTCTCATTAAATCATCCATCACAGTTATTCACACCTAAATAGAAAGATAAATCCACTAGTCATTCTTGCATGATCCTCCGTCATTCTGTTGCAAGTACTCGAACAGAGGTACACAATTCAGATTATGGGCAGGTATCTAGAGCAATTGGAAATTTTATATTCCAAGTTTCTTACATCCCACGTTACACGATTCGATGCGGGGGATTTCCCCAAAATAACATGGGATTGAACTTCGTCGGTGGTCTGCTAACGTTGAAGCTTGAAAGGAGTAAGGTTGATTGTCAGGCATAGATTATTAGCCACATGACGACACTCTGCATCATCTACTCGTAGACCTTATGGGATACCTCGTAGGAATTCGCAAAGTTAAATTATTCGGATTTAAAAGAATTGACTCATTACCACAAGGTGCTAGCAACTTCACGGAAAGTAATATTCCAAGCGGAACTTGGCATGTCAGATTAAGTCATCAATAGTATCTTAGAAGACTATGGGGTTGCGATTTAAGGAGGAAATAGTCGCTCCCTGTATGATACTTGCCAAGTCCGTTAGGTCCTAGCAAATACTTGGAAATATACAATGTCTAAATTGAGAAAGGACGAGGTTTTGATTCGGATTCTTTGGGGCTTTGCTTAAGATGACTCATAAGTTTTAATTTTATTTCCTGTTATGGTTGATAAGTATCAATTTGCAGTTTGGGATTTCCAAGAATTGTATGAGTTGCTCGTTCGCGGAAGATGTATATAATCCTTCCGTTCTGTTCCTTACTATATACTTATATTTCTTGATTTCACGCAATGAGGAGTGCATTGCACGTAAGAAATTGGATGTCTCGGTGCCAAATTTCAGTAATTTTAAATGCTCAGAGCTATTCCTTTTGCAGGTGAAAGGAAGTACAATGACTTGAAGTAGCAGTGGTATTGATTTCTCATTATCACCCTGTTCTCTGGCCACATCTCAAATTTTCCTGGTCATAGTCTAAGTCCGGAAGCGGAGATATATAACCTCGAGAACTGTTATTACAAATGCTATGGGTTGAGACAATTAAATATATAGAAGAGCTTCGCTTGGGTCTTCAGCGCACTCTTCTGATCATCTAATCGCCCAGATTGAAACGTATACAAAATTGAGCAAAAGGTAGGGTAAATCCAGGTAGCCGGAGTAAACCCAGTCGAAAAACCACCCTACTCGAGGGTTATAGAGTAGATTAACCACATTATAGAGGTCAATTACCCCGGGTAGGATACGGATGCCCATGTCTGAACCTGTATGATAGGATAGATGAAGTGTATTGATAATATCCAGATACTTATTCACGCACCCGATTCCCAGAAATTACAGCCATTTTTACTATCACTCGTAACGATTACATGAATATCCATAAACAAAATCAGTATAAAGTAATATCTATATTTAGTTCTCTCTACTAGACATTCAAAGAAATACTCACATACAATATCCGGATTCTTCTCCGTTTTGCTCCTCAAAAAGAAGCTATTTAATAGAAATTATAATTACAGGATTGGGAAATAAAGAATATCTCTTTAATATTTTCAAATATCTATTTAGTTTTTTTTATATCGGGGGATGAAATTATTATTTATTACTTCAATAAGATTCAAGAGAAGAGAAGAGGTGAGTATAGATGTATAATACTACTAGCTGCTAGTGTTTTTGAGTATGATATTAGTATATTGATATTTTCATTATAAGTTTTCAAGTGTATCTGTGGTGTCTGTAGTGGAGAGTGAATAAGAAGGGAAAATAAAAGCGGGGGAGATAGAGAAAGAGGAAATTCTTTTATTAAATATTTATTTATTTATTACATGATTCAAGTTATATAAATATTTCATATTTTTAACAAGAGAAAATAACTCAAGAGAAGAATTGTTTAAAAGTAGAGTATTTAGTATTGGATTTATGATCTAGTGTTTAGAGATTTATATCCCCCTTCCCTCCCTTTCATCTACATCTCCATACATCCCCTTCACATCCCCTCCTTTTCCTTCCTTAAAAAAATAAAAATAACGATATAAACCCGATCCCAATTCATATCCATATCCATATCCATTAATCCACACTCCCCATCCCCATATACTCACACACACCCACATCTACACTACAAATACCAAACAAGTTACAACACACATCAAATTAAAAATTAATCCCCCCTCTCCCTTACCCCTCTATCCAAAATTTCATCAAAGCAAAGATCAGTCTATCAATCAATAAAATAATAAGCTTAATAATAAACAATCACTAATAAATAAATAGAATTAATTAATTAATATACCAGATCCTAAATCCTAAAGTATACTATACTATAAACATATTTTCCGAAAATTCTTCATTTTCTTTCTTCTCTTACTTTATTTCCTCATCTCAACTTTTATCATCTCATCCCATCCATCCTATCCCATATCTCATATCTTCCTCCATCCCTCCAGTATAAATAAACCTTTGCATCCCAGGTTTCCATGTATATAAACTGACTGACTGACTGACTGATTGAAGATTGAATGAATGATCATATAAGCACAAACTCCAGGAGCCAAAAAAAAAAAAAAAAAAAAAAAAAAAATATCATCCATATAGCCAGCTAATGTGCCTAGTAATATTCACAACTATCAATCAGATCACTCTTGATCAATCGATCAACCCATCCATCAAGCTACCCACCCACCAATCCATCCATCCATCCCATTCCTAGATAAAAAACGCCCCTTGACACCCAATCTCAACATACCATCCCATAATTTTCGCTACTCTTCTCTGCTCCGAGTCTTATCCCTCAAGCCTTCCGCCTCCGCTTATTACTCGTAATATCATCATTTAAATTCCCACTACTATTCCCACTACTTATTCCATTTCCCTTCCCATCAACCATCCCATGACCTTCATCCGCTGGACTCGCAGTCTCACTACTAGCCACAGTCTCCAAAACCCTACCTATTCCATTTCCACTTCCACTTCCACTTCCATTACCATCAGTTACCCCATCCATACTCGCATCAAATTGACTCTCTCCACCTCCAAATCCATTTCCATCCACACCATTCCCAAAATCATCAAAATTGAAGTTCGGATTCACTGGACTACTCGCACCATAAAATGCACCCGAATCCAAAAATTGATCCAAGTCCAGGTTTGAATTATGAGGATCAATGGAATCAGTACTGTTGAAATATGAATCACCTTGAACACCAGGAATGGAACCAGAAGGACTCAGAGGTTGAAGGACCGTAGAAAGATTCGCGATACGATCACTTTGTTGATGTTGTAACCTCATCAAGTCATCGATTTCACTTTGCGTGTAGGCCATTTGTGCTAAGTGAGGAGCTTGAGGTGCTGGGCTGACCAGTGCATTATTGGAACCTGGGGTGGAAGACGTGCTAGCGATAATATTGAGCATGTTGCTCCGTTGTTCAGAAGTAAGCGGGGAATTGCCGTTTGCATTTTCATAATGAGTCAGCATATCCGGGAATTCCATAGCATTATTATCAGATCGAGTTTGTGCATTGGTATTATTGATCAGATTTAACATATCCCTCTGTGGTTCAGTTTTCGTTGTCGTGGTATCGCTAGGAGATTCGAAAAGTTCTTCAACGGTTCCAGAACGTGGTGTGGAGTATTGATTCCTTGGACTAGAAGCCGCCGGTGAGGGTTCGGAAACGTGACTATTTTCTCGATCCATTGGTCCTGCTGTCAATAATTTTTGTGCTTTTCGTAGAACCGGACTGCTACTCCCAGGAGGTTGCTGTTGTTGAGGAGTCCCTAAATCACCAATATCCACAACATTGCCTTGTTGTTGATGTTGACCTTGTTGATTCAAACCACTCTGAAACATCCGAGTAATATTTTCAGCTCCTTGGCCATCCAAACTCCTGTTATAAACAGTAGCGAGAAATGTAAGAATAGCATTGATCGAACTTTCATGACGTTCATGAAGATTTTGAAAAGCGATAGCTTGCTGATAGACTTGATTGTGATCTTTTCTCAGACGTGTGATGGCCTGTGAAATGGCACCTTGTTGCTTTTGAATATCGGAGAGTACCAAAGCTATCTCTCGCCGTTGTAATGGACCAGATTCTGGCGCAACTGATATCGCTCGACTTGTGGTTGCATTGTTAGGATAATTACTCGGTCCAAATTCTTCAATCTCTCTTGCATCATCATCACTTTCACCATCTACCATCTCCTCGGGTTTCCCTCTTCCAGGCTGTCCTTTCCTAATCTTGTTTGTCCCACCCTTTGGTTTATTAATGAGCCACAAGAGATTTGGATGTCCACGCTTGAAGTAAGGGTTGTAATATTCACTAGGGCTCTTATTCTTTCTTTCGCTCGCCTTCATGGAATTATCGGAAAGTCCCACTCTCTTATGGAAACCATACATGTTAAGTTGTCGAACGAATGAGGCATAATTATTATGCTTGAATAGTTCCGGTATCAAAGTTTTCGCAAACTCATCTTCATCCAACACCACAAATGAATCGCCCCGATCGGACCATCGTATAAGTTCTGTATTCTTCGATTCATCAAGAAAACTAGTCAAGAAAGTTAGCAAACCATCCTAATGCAAGATTCAAAGGAGGGGACTTACCTGCTTAGCTTCTGTACAAATGGAGGAATTTGCTTTCGCTTTGATTGAGCATCTCTCTTCGCAACCGCAGCCTTTTCCTCCAAAGCCTCAATATCATCATTTTCCCCATTCGGTCCATGTCCATTCTGTGAATCCATTATGGTATCATCTCCATATGGCCAAGGATCACCCGTACTATCGTACGTCCGCTGCGCGACAATTTGGCGATTATTATTGATATTTGGTCTGCGAGCCAATTGTGTAGAATGAGGTTGCGCGTTAATGGGATGGTCAAAACCAGCAGTCGTCTGCGGCAGACCATTTGCTCCGAAAATATTCATATAATTGTTTGATGTTGGATCTGTAAAATTTTGAGCATCGGGGTTTTGATTCCAGCGCAGAAAGTCTGCATTAGGTAGCTGGCTACCTGCATTGTACGTCTGCTGCATTTGCGGTGTCTGAACAGTCGACGAGGCTCCCGGTGCAGCTCTTTTTCTCGGATTTGTTGAAGGCATGTGAGAATACATTCGGTGAACTTCTGCGCGATCTGGCGTGGAACTGATCTTTACAGATGATGTAGGTGTACGCGAGGGGAGAAGTAGAGGTCGTGTGGAGGGACGTGGGTATGTAGGAAAGGAAAGCGTCCAGCCGTATCTTACTACGGTAGCAAATGATACACGGGTCTAAAATCGAGACTACCTGTAGCCTCCCTAGCCTGTTCAATCAAATTAAAATGCGACGCCAACCTCGAAGATCAAATGACAAGTCTATGGTGGAAAATGTTTGCCCTTTTGCGATTGTCGCGGGAGATTCTGGTAGTGGCTCGGCGATGAGTAGATAGATGGATGGAAATGTGTAGGAAGGAAAGAATGTATCTATAAATGCTGGAACGCGGAGATCAAAGGTCTGGTCGGAAGATATGAGTCAATGGTGGATGTGTTGAGATGATTCTTAGAATAACTTCTTGTTCTGAACAAAGGTTGAAGGGGGTTGATGGAAGGTAGTGGAGTGGGGTTATGTATGATGCAAAAGGTTGATAATCTTCTTCGTTGTGTGTTTGGGAAAGTTTTTAAAATGTTTATTGTGGGTGATTTAGATTGAGACTTTTACTACTATATTTGGATCTTTGGAAGCAAGAAGTCAATTGAATGGGAATTTGAGAATTATGATCATTGGTAATTGGTAATTTGAGATTTGTTCCTCATAAAAATGTTTCATCGATCGATGCTAACTAACGTACGAGGACAAACTGGTAAAATTTTATGATTTATTCATGATTATTTAAGAAATCTTGGTACTCCCTCAGGAAATATGTCCGGTTTCATAAAACCGAGTAGGTAACAATAAGGTGACAGGTAAGGTAATAAGGTAATCTTCAAAGTTTGACGACCACACCACACCACCAGTTGGATTCGTCTATAAAATCTGATGATGGTAATGATGACTAATAAGTGCAAGGCTGACAGCCTTGCGGGAGTTACCGTTGAGCATCTATATCTTTTTTTAGTAAGATCTTACTAGTAAATTATTCACCCACTATCTATTATTTGAACTCACTAACGCCCATCCCATCTCCGAATAACTAACCTCAGCCTCAACCTCAACCTCAAAATCCACACACCCAAATAATCCAAATCCCCAGCCTTCCAACTCACCCAAACTCTAACCAAATCCCAAATCCCCAATCCCTATATTTCATCATATGTCCAATAAATACATCATTAATCTTTATTTATTTCACTTCCCCTAATTATATTCTATAGCGCATGGAAGGAAGGATATAATTAATTACTTCCAACCCTCCCATCGTAACCAAGAGCATATTCCCGCTCTCAAGCTAAGATTTAGATCACATACACCACGATCGCATCTCCTATTATTACCGCCACACTGAGCCTCTTAATTGCTACTCCGGGTATCTGAGCAACGCCCACCATACAACTCCCGATCCCAATCATCCATCTATTTAGCTCCTCTCCCCGCTAAAGCCGATCCCCGCGCCAATTTCTCATTCCTCTTAATATCCCATTCCCTCCCCGTTGAACCTCCAGCCTTCGCTTCCCTTTTCGCCTTCATTTCCTCCTTTAGCGTTTTAGCTTTCTCTCTAGGATCAATAACTACTAATTCCTCCTCAGCTTTCTTCCTATAACTCAGATCCTTGCCTAATTTGTCTTCCTTGAAACTTAATGCATGTGACATCCATCCCTTATCATTAAAATCGACATCCTCTTCTTCTTCCCCTTGAGCTTCCCATGATTGACAAGACTGACAATTCGCGATGAAGTGTAAATCACATAATGCAGCTTCTTCGTCATCAGCTGTTCCATTCTCACCAGGCTTGGCTTCAGCCTCTTCGTGTGATGCAGGTTTAGCCACTTCTTTTTCAGGCGGGGCAGCTTCTAACTTTTCTTGAAATGCTCGTAGGATATCTAGGGACGCTTGATCGTTACTTGTATTTGACTTCCCATTCCCATTACGTTTTCGTCCACGAACGGATGTTGCTGGTATCATTGCTTCTAGAGCAGATTTCTTCTTTTCGGGCTCAGGGGCTGTTTGAACGTTTCGTTTCATGGAGGCTTTAAGTTCTGCAATTTGTGCATTTGTCCGGTCCAGTAAAGAGGTAACCTTTTGAACTTGAGGTTCTGGAGAGGACGAAATATCTCGATCAAACTTTGCGGCTCTATTGGGCAAAGATTTAGGGGATGCTCTTGCTTCTGGTTCTGGCGATGATTTAGGAGCTTCTGATGATCGTGATTTTGATGCTTTCTTTTTCGACGCAGGTTTCGTCTTGGTGTCCGGTTCGGGTTCAATATCTAGAGTTCCATCATCCATTACAATCCTCGTATCAAACTTCGCCTTTTTCTTAGCCACCGGTTCCTCCACATTTTCCTCTCCATCGTCCCCGAAACTCAACAATTGCTTCCCAGCCTTTCTCTTCTTTTTCTTTTCCGGGGCCTTCTTCTCAGGCATCGCAATTTTTGCAACCCTCTCCCTCCTAACCATATCCTTAAACGGATTAACCAAAATCTCCACCCCCGTAATCTTCGTAGGATACAACGGTCTCTCCCCATCACCACACTCCGCCTCTCCCATCCTCGCCAAATTGTAAATCGTTTCTCCCTCCACGCGACCAAACAAAGTATTCTTCCCCGTCAACTCTGGGGTATCACCCAAAGTCAGAAAAAACTGACTCCCATTCGTATCCTTCCCTTCATTTGCCATGCCCAACATTCCTCTCCTATTGTACTTTATCCTACTATGAAATTCATCCTTAAATCCCACTCCTCTCGATCCCGCATTCTGACCTTTTCGCTCTTCCATAGGCCATATCCCATTTTCCTCTGAAAATTCGCCGCCATCATAGATAGATTCTCCACCGGATCCAGTACCAGTAGGATCACCACCTTGTAGAATAAAGCCTGGTACTAATCGGTGAAAGATAGTATTATCATAGTAACCATCGAGACAATGTTGCAGAAAATTACGACACGCTAAGGGGACTTGTTGCGCCCAAAGCTCGAGAGAGATATCGCCGGATGTGGTATGAAGAATACATGATGCGGTAGGTTGAGGCTCGAGATTATAAAGTGATGACATATTTGGATATTGAAAGGAAATGGCAAGACCAGCAAATTAATGAGGCCTTGATGGGTGTGATGGAAAGATGTTGATAAATTATTTGACTTTGTCTTAAGGTAAATTTCAATGGAGCTTAAGCTGGAGCTTGCCTATGATGCCTAATATACGAGGCATGATATTAAGCGTTCAGCTGAATGGAAGTCGAACGACCAATTAAAAGCCATCTGAGATTTTCTACCCACCACAAACATCAACTCAACCATCCAAGATTCCCCTTCGTAAATCCCATCTACCTACTTTGGCTACCTACCTAGGTAGATATTCTACATCACATACCACTACTTCCACACCACATCCACTCACATCAAATCTCAACTATTCGATATCCACAATATTAATAATCGTCCACCTATCACCAAATCACAAGGGAATCTTTCAACTACCCAATTCAAACATCTACGAGCACTGAGTAGGTACCGTATCAAGTCTCACGAGTTCGGATGTATATTTGCCTCCCGTATAGATCGGAAGCCACAACTCGAGTGGAGTCAAAGATGGCGGTGAGGGAAGCTAAATATTGGAATCGATTTGGTGAAGGGGGAATCTATAGTTCACTTGATGAGGGAATGGGAAAGTCAAGATAGTTGGGAAAAATTCACAAATGGCATGGTGATAACTCAAACAGTAGATGATGAGTGATTGTTTTCCCTATATCCTATTGTCCCCCACCACCAGACGCCATGATAACATGATAATATCAGTTGCAGCACAAATAAGCGCGAAAAGTGCATCGGATTCCTACTCTTCCTTTCATCCAATCAGAACCTGGATCCAATGCACCTTGAAATCAGACATGCATCCATGGCATTCGACCCCCAACCTCCCCCTTCCCCACTTCCCCCTCCCAAACTAATAGCCCAGCAACAAACAGTACAAGAATTTTCAAACTTCGATGACCAACATGAGTAGCAAACAAATTAAAGTACAATGATTCCATATCCCTCAGTCAGCCCTACAAATTCAACTCGAGATCCAGCGAGTAGGTGTTGGTGTTGGTTTAGTCGATATCTGGAACTTTAGACCAAGGTACTTTTTTAAATTTTATAGCGTGACGGGACGTTACAATCGTCAATCGTGTGTAGAAATGGGGGTGTGGCAGACCCTTATTATTATTTGATGTTCAAAGACGTTAAAAATAATCCGAATCCTTGTTTTTGATGGATACCGGAAGGAAGTCATAGTAGCGTTATCGTCAAGGTTGCCCTGTCGATTTAATGGTATCCTGGTTGATTCGTTATGTCGTCGTTCGCGGAAGCCAATCGGTGATAATATTAAGCAAAACGTGTATATACCGCGATACAAAATGAGTCTAGAGCGCAGGTGCTCTCAGATGAGAAATCGAGGTCACAAATGTAATTACAGTAACAAGAGCCGAGTTGACAAGCCTATTGAAGGCAATCGAAGGCTCTGAAAAAGATTGCATGAAAGAGAATGAGCTCCCGCGGGGTATGACAAACTAAATATCGCTGCCAGTAATGTGACGTTTTAATACGTAGGAATAGAACGCGTCAGTAGCTCTAATGTTCATAACGTCGTAAATCTCTTCAAGAGTATTACATGAATCGAGAAGCGGAGGTGAAGCCGTTTCGCTCGGATGAATCTGTCATTCAGTTAGCTTGAAATACTTCAATGATAGTTTCCACAACTTACCATCACTGCCTTTGCTAGCATGGCCGTTCTGTCTATTGCGGGAAAACCCAGAACTCCACTGGTCACTGGTAGGACCTCTTGGTTGTCTCTCCGGAACTGCACTGGAACTGCTTCTTGAGCTTTCTTCGGCGTTTCCATTGACAGGACGCTGGCTTCCGATAGGACCAGCATTTGATGTGTAGCTATCTCTCTCCTGGCCAATACGTCCAGGTACGGTTGAACGAGGTTGACGATCATATCCAAGCGACAGGTTACTTATGCCGTTGGCAAGGAATGCGTCCTCTCTAAGACCCAATGGTCCTGCTGATGTAGGTGTCAAGTTGGGAGTTCCGCCTGTAACCGATCCGAGACCGTAATCATTGCCTTGGAATCTGGCGATGTTCTGGCTCAAATTAGCTGGGAAGCTCGCTGACGATGGCACAGGTGATGGCGAATAAGAGCGCAGGTCGGCGAAGGATTTCGCAGCTCGTAGACTTTGACCACCATTAATTAGGTCACGTACCCCTGGGGAGCCTGGAATATCCAGAAGGCCGGAACCTTGTCGGCCGAGTGTATGCATTTGGTAAGCAGCATCATTGGCTCGTTGTTCGCTGAAATCGATTGTTGCAGCTCGGTTAAGTCCACGACGTTGGGATTCATTGTAATATCCAGCCTGAATTTGATTCAAAGGTGGGCTGGTGTGCTTGGTCTTGATTATTTGCACTTGACGCAGCTCTCCGTGTCCTTGCGAATGGTGGTCTAGTCCCATGTTATGTGCCAAAGTGTGGATGATTCTACGATCCGCGGGAGAAACCGTAGGTGCGAACGTATAAGCTTCCCTCTCAGGATCATTCTTGAAGAGAAGAAGCTCAGTGTAATAACCCAACGTCGTTGGATCATTCAGATCATATTCTGCAGCAAGAATGTTAGTTCGGTGATGATGCGCGCGAGAGAAAAATTAGTACTTACCTGCGGTGTTACTATTAGGTGTGACAACATTTTGACGCATGTTTACAGGTGAAGGGGATGTTGTTCTTAGGCCAGAATTCATCGAAGTCATAGATCCCGCAGTGTGAAGGGAGCCTGTGGAAATCATGTTTGGTGCGCGATGTTGCTCCTCTAGTTGACCTCGTCTTTCTCTCTTATCACGTTCAATTCGATCGCGCTCCGCCGCTGGAAGCATCTTTTTATACTCAACTCTAAGCTTTCGTCCTTGCAAGTCCATATGGTTTAACGCATCGATGACTTGTTGGGTTTCGCGAGCATCGGTGAAGTTAGCGAATGCCAGCCCCCTGAAAACGCCATTATCAAAGTGGTAGTTAAAGGCATATGGCAATGGTAATCCCATGTTAGACATCATTTCTGTCAATTGTTCTTTCTTAACAGCGAAAGGGATGTTCTTGATAACGATGGCGGTTGGAATAAGCTCTTCGTGATCGCTCTGCTGGTTTGGAGGAGGTGGTGAACGATGGGAATGTTGAGGTTGGTCGAACATGCCAGGCAGATTATTGTGTTGCTGCAAGCTTGTTTGGGTAATAGGACCACCGAGGGAAGGATTGCCTGAATTCATCCAGGTCTATTAAATGTTAGTTTTGATTCGGGAGCGCGCAAAAAGTGTTGAACAAAAAATGTAAAAAGGGGTAACATACAGATGGGATTTCAGCTCTGCGAGCTTGTTGTTGAGGTCTCATCCGACCGGCTGTTCCCATTGTGCTAGCTCCATTTGCACCTCCATAGTTCCACGTCTGACTCTCGTAGGCATAATTAATGTTGCTCGTAGGACCTCTGTAACCAGCTTGATTTCCGTTATATTGCGGAGCTTCATCAGACGTGTAGAGGCCTCCTCCATTTTGAAGAGGTGCTTGATAATTATCCATAAATTGTCGCGACGTTTGGCGGTTAAGCGTCATATTGCCATAAGCTCGACTCGACGCTGGTGATCGATTCGGCGGGTAGTCCTGGAACATCTCGGAATACTGTTGACTCATCATGAGCGGCAGATCGTTTGGAGTTGAGAAGAAACAGGAATGAAAAGTTTGTTGTTGTGATGCAAGGAGCCGGTGGCACGCTTGTCAAAGCTTTAATCTCAAATGTCCGCACAATAGCCAAAGTTTTTTGTTAAAACAGAGGTCGGAGTGGTGATAACTAGCACAAAACCAAGGGAAATATATGTTCGCGGATATGTGTATAAGTGATTTGAAGGTTTTATCAAAATTTAAAGATATGGTGTGGTTTGTTAAAATTATTTTCGATGTGGGCGGGTGTTGAATGATAATTCTGATGATACGGTAGGTATATTTCGTACTGGGGGGCTTCTCCTTACTGTGGGGAGATTGCGACAAGAACTTGATTGGGGCTCTTGTATTGTAATTGTATTGTAAATCTGAGGAATATCTTATAGATCTGACTTGGACATTATGTTGAAGGAAAAGAAAGAAAACTTCGGAAGGGCAAGAATATGTGAAGTTTATTTTTTTTACTTGATGTAGGTGAGGTTATGAATAGAAGAGGAAAGAGGGAAGAGGGAAGACTTTCTTGGGAATGATTGGGAGTTTAATGGAAGGGGGAGAAATCTGCTTTAATGATTTATTAACTTGGGAGAGGCAGAAAGTAACTGCTTCGTAAGCTAAACTTTAATTGGTTTAGTTGGTTTATTAGGCACTAAAACCATCACCATTCCCATTCATCATCCACCATCGGTTCAAATGATCATAAAATGAAGGGGGGAGAAAAAAAGTTTCGACTCTGAGAATGGGGATGAAAATAAATGATAATTAATCAATGGTATGGATGGGACGAATGAGACGAATGAAATGATTCGACGTTATTTCCTCTTTGGGTTTCGAGTTTTAATAATATATAATAATATAAATAAAGGAGTTTGGGGGATTTCTCTCTAATTGACGAACTTGAGGTATACTATCTAGTAATAGTAGGTAAAACGATCAAGATACTAGATAGAAAGATAACTGGAAATGTACAAATGATTTCGTCAATTCACAAGTCAAGTAAAGTAGATGATGAATATACTACTGGTTTAATCTCAAAGAGGAGTGTCCAATAGGCCTTTACTGTTTTTCCACTCTATCCATTTCGATCAACAGATGCTATAGGATTTACGTTCAAATATCTACTGCGAGAATATAAACTACCCGAATGATCCAACTTTTTGCTTTTTCTTCTTGAATTTATACTTTCGTTCTATACTAATTCATCCGTCCCCTCATTTTGATCAATACTGGATACATGTCAAGTCCCCGATATAGATAAGATATACAGAAGAAGATCTAAAGGATAAGAGCGAAAATTTAGGGTATTTGTCGGGTCTGTACTCTAGTAAACCAAAGGTAAGGAACCGAAAGAACCTGTTTGCTTGGGATCGAAAGTGATACAAACATTGGTGGCTCCGATTATCGATTATGTTGAGTTCAAATGTTGTGAAGCATGATATCTTGAAGGAGTTGGTTATACTCTGCATATCGTCCGAACCGCGAATAAACCTTGAAAGATGTCACGAAATGATTTCTATTCATGCTCTGAGCCATTGGATGGGAATGCAAAATGGGGCGGTTCAGAGGGTATCACATCACAGGAGTGACAATATGTTAGAGTATAATTTTCACGTACTACGATAAACAACCAAACTACTGGATATTCTTCCTTCATTGGCCCCGGGATTGAACTCGGCATTTATTGACTAGCTATAAGCCATTGGAAGTTTACAAAGGATTGAGATGTCAAATAAAGACCTGAACATACTCATTCAACTACTTCGTACATACTCACGGCACTTACAATTGCTTTCAAGATGATAGTATTCCGTCGGAAGTCGGTGGTAGAACTCGGTGCATTTCTCAATATCAGATTTGACTTTATCACTATCAAAATATGATCAGAATTATATTCATGCATTGTGGACTTTTCATTGGTTTCTGTGGGACGGATTTGCGCACTTTCTTGCAGCTGATTCATTTGATCTCTGCAGATTTATGTCAAATGTAATCCAAATCATAACCATAGGTAAGATGTAATCGAGTACGGACTCCTCGATCCATCGCATACTCCATACTTTCATACCTCCATACTTCTCCGAAAACCACTACCTAGCTACCTACCTAGCTAAAAGGGTCAGATTAACCCTCCTAACGGTACAAAGTCTACTTACTACGTATAAACCAATTTTCATGATTCGGCATTAGGAAATAGCAGTATTCGAGATGCTTTTAGATGCAAGTCATGGATGGGAGATAATTACCGGGAAGTGGATCACAATCAATCCACAAACAGATGTTCCATCTGTTCCGTACCAAACTATTCAATTTGGATATATTAAAAGGTATCCATAGATCTTTTAGGAGAAGCTTCTGATAGACTTCTTTTTTCTGATTCTCCAGAAATACTCGTATACCCATAATTGATGTATGCCCTGTAGGGCAATTTAATTACAATCTATTCGAATAGGGAAGAAAGTGCAAAGCTTTGAATCGATCGGATGAAGGAGTCTTTTGGAATCTTTCATAGTATTATATCTACTAAATATTTTCATTATAAAATAAAAGATCTTGTTAGAAACAAAACAAAGTAAAACAAGACAAAAAGAAAAGAAAGAAGAAAAAGAAAAGAAAAATAATCTTATAAAACTCCATATTCCTTTTGATCATCTTCACAATCAACTAACTGCCTACTATCACACACTCTTCCCCCGTCCTCCCTATCTCACCGTCCTACATCTCACAATTACAAACTCATTCTTCTCATCGAAATGACACTCTTACACAATCCACTCTGCCGGTTTTCTTTACCTTCTAGAATACGAAGAACCGAGATTCTCATTTCGGAATAAATGTATTCGAATTCCAGTACCAAATATATCGGTAACTCCCCAATGCGAAAATGGTCGAGGCCCGCGCATATATTTCATATATTTACATTGTTTCTAACACACGGCCAATCAGATCACCACAAGGAAATACCATTGCTCACCGCAAAGATTTGATTCGATTGGAAAAATCCTGGATCTCGAACCCCTTTTTCTCAAGGATCCATCATACTCAATTAAGTTAATATCTACTGCGGGGCGAACCGATATACCGATGATCAAACATTTGTATGCTAAAGGCTAAAGGGACATGATGTGGTCTGTTCGCAACGATTTCCTTTTGGTCCCCTATTTTCGTTACCAACTTCTCTTTACTATGATATGAATCTCTACCTAGGTACTCTGAGGGTCAAGGGCTAAGGAGTAGAGTGATTCAATACTTTTGATCTATTGGACTTCCAATTCTCAAAGGAGAAGTTCATTTCCATTATCGTTCTATATTGATCCCTGGATAATCAAACTTGCCATACTTCAAGACATTAAATCGGGACCGAAATATGGTATCATCATTTTATCATTTGGAGGCGTTCTTCAAAAGGGAATCAAACGGACGCAAAGCCATGCGCATCAAAAAGAAAAGCAAATATCTAGTAAATTCTTTGCCTCTGCCAATCATCCTATGAGAGAAGTCTGATATCGGCATTGAGTCAATCATATCATTCACCGACGGCAGATACAATCATGTCATCGTATTCTTTCATCGACCAACAGGTTCAACAGTTGGTTGTCATCCCCTCTCTCCCAATCGGAATCAAAATGTCAAATATCCCGTTGAAAAGGCTGAAAATGATAAGCAACCACTATCAATACCAAAAGATGTAAAATTACCCGATAGGTAAGTCATCGTTGCAATGTTTCCAACTTGCAGATATACCTTGTTTTCTCACATTATCCGCTTTGGCTCGTCGGTATCATTTTGGTCATGTGATGTATTGAAGAATTTCTTCAGCTCAGTCAGTCCAACAGTTGGTTGGTCGTTCGGAATTAGTTACGAGGATTCCGAGCCTGGATGTTTTACTTCAGGTTTATTGGTGTACGTCAAAATAATCTAACAACTGTTGGGTCACACATTTTCTCTACATACTGCGTAGTCGCAATTTTGGAAAGTTCGATTTAGTTCATTCATGATCGATGGCAAGTTTTCCTTTGATCATGAAGCTGAGTTCATCACATATAATCATCAGAGTGGACCTATAGTCGAGGAGTGATCATCATATTAAGCTGTCGATCCCGTTGCCAAACCTTTATCTCATACAGGAGGAAGAATCCGCGAGCTGCGATCAGCAACAGCTTGGAGATAGTAGTGATCTGTGCGGTAGATGATGATGTCGTGTATTCAAACTTGGAAATCTAAGTTCGCGTCTGTGTACCAATAGACGCGTGGATTGCCAATTGATGCTTTGCTTTAAATGGTCCCATCGTCGTGAGGAACAGGCTATCATCATGTCATTTTGTGTCACTGTCATCACTCAAGCCTCCACCATCTTCCCTGCCGTCTAGGAAGCACTTTAATGCTTCCGGGCGGTGAGTTCTGGGGCAGAATAATTGATACTTGTCAAGCTAGCTCATTACACTCCCTATTGTTCTAGTGACTGATGATACCAAATCACATACTGTTTCTTTACCAATTTGTTCTTTTCGATTGTTATACTCATCAAGCATTACATCCCGTTATGACGATTCGGCAAGTACTTTCACTTTGAACAAGGATCCATTTCCACATTTGAGTTCCATCTAAACATCAGAGGAGGTTTCTAACTATTATCTACCATTCTGGAGACAAGGAGTGGAGTTCCTTTGTTACATTGGCAGTACCGCAGAAGAAAATATACATGAACAGCATACTGTAACGATACTGTACTAAAGGCAGCGGCTGCCTAAGGTTCGTCGGTTGGTAGTTATAGGTTAAGGCTTTATCACTGGTATTCACTTGAAAGTGAATTCGTTACTAGATCAAATAGAATGTAGGTAAACTAATTGATAACTAAGTTGAGCACGAAGCTCCTAAACTATGAAACTACTCTGACTATATAATGAACGAAGAAGGGAGCCCCCAGGAGCTTTCTGGCTCCTCAGGGCTCCTGGAGCTCTAGGAGCTTTGAGGGCTCCTAGGGCTCCTTATCACGTGATTTCTGATGGTGCGTGCATACACGATCTTCAGGTGACCAAGATCACATACTAATTCGATGAAATCTGATCGTGTTTGCACAAGGCCTAAGCTCTCCTAATTAATCAGTTTGCTACCATCGTAACACCATCAATCCTAATGGTGAATCGTGACACATACCCTCGTAGAGAACTTTACAGCTTTATAATCAGTGAAGTATGCAAATTCGAGGTAGATAGATTATGTATGTATTTTTATCGTTCGATATACAATATACTTGTGACGGAAATCCCTGCTTTCCTCCCACCTTTATTATATAAGAAACCTCAGGTACATTAACCATGTCCACACATGATACGATTACTCGAGATTAGTATGCGATTTAGGTGACCTGAGGATCAGATCCGGACAAGTACTAGGTATCAATGGTTATCGGTAAAGTAAGATCATTGGAGGAATAAATATGACTTCTTTTTGCCTAGCCATTGCGGCTAGGCCATTCATTTGTGTATATATAGAGTAGCTATCCCCATCTACAGGTGCTCTTCACCTGTAGATTCTAAGTTAAATACAATTGCTGGTCTATAAACACCCTTTTGGTCACAATACTATAGTTCCTATTTTTAGAGTTCCGCTTATATAAAATATATAAATGAATGATTTGATCTGATCTGACCCATTCTAAAATAATATATAGTTTCTTACTAATGTTTAACGTTCATCGGATATTCAAATATACCCGTAGTAAATTCATCTCCTTTTATTTTCCTTTCTATTTATGAAATCTCTTTTAGATTTGATTTGATATAAAATAAAATAAATTCTTCGATTTTAAATATCAATTTATATAAATTAATAGTTTATGTTAAAGTGAATGGTTCCTGCGTAGCACGTGCACAGGGCACTAGTCCTATTAGGACTAGATTGAGAAGCTCTCTGTAAGAGAGCTTCGCACTTCCGTAGAACTTAGAAGAGAGATTAACCTACTAGACCAATATTACCTCAGTTCTGCCCTATCAGCTTCCCACTATTCCCTGTGTGAGGTCGTTCCTTTTAACAGTTTATTTAATAATATTGTCACACTCAAGAATACTGGGTAAAGTATCTTGTATTAGAAAATACTAAGCTAAGGAGAAAAGAAGAAGGAAAACAAGAGTAGAGAGTTTTCCTATGATTAAATACAAACGGGGCATGCCACGTGACCCGGAGGTGTGAGGCGTCACAAATATTCCTTTTATCTTTTATATAAATTTGTTTATTTTTAAACTTTAAAAATAAAGATTAATTAAAATAATTATAAAACTAAATGATATACAAGAGATTGTCACGAACCACGTCTATGTTACGACGGCTATCTTCCACACCGCGTCACATGACTAAACCAAGGTAACGTGATTAAGTCACGTTATGGACCGCTGAGGAACGCTGGCTGTCCAGGACCGCGCAGCGGTCCTGACTAGCCATAGGCATGAAGGTCTATATAATCAAGATGGATTTCCTTTGTATAGAGCTTCGTGCTCAAGATCAATCATTTAGTATATCCTACTATTAGTTACGAATTGCATTTCATTATTGTCATTACTTAAGTCCCTGCTTGACGCCTAGTTATAAACCACCTCGAGAGCCTAGGGCACTTCCACGTGATCTAGACGGCAAACCTCGTAACACTGAAGGATCGTAACCACTATCTGTGATTTAAGAGATGATTTGCCTTTTGTATAGTATAATATGGCTGATTAGCAAAATCTACACATGGCGATATATATTGGAAGTGTATGAAGTGATTGAGATGTGGTATATTCTTAAGACATTCGCTGCCCGGTTTGCTCATATTATATGATGATTATCAATTCACGCATAGCTAATACTAATACAGACTTTTCCAAAGTCTTTCTCTCTTTCAGCTTATCGAAACACTTTGATTTTCCACTTATAAGTTATAACTGTGTTCTATCCCTAGATAATATGTGATGGACTGAAAGGAAGGAATCTCGCGCTCGTCCATTCCTGCCAATGTCCTGAATACGCAGAATACATAATCACCTTCAAACCCCTTTCCGAAATCAATCTTTAACAAATTTACTATTTCTAACTTCTCAAATTGCGACTCATCTCAAGCTCATCTATTGATAGTGTAATTTTACATCTCCAAAATGAATGATGGCTCTACCAAGTGTCAGTAGTTGTAAGGTTAGTTGAATGTTGGGAGAACTTTCTTCCGATTAACATTTCCAAGCAGTATAGTCGATGTGTGGTTTGGGTCGATGGGTTGGGTAACTGTTGACCTCCCGGAATCTTGGCAGCATATGCATATATATTGCATGATGCATATAAGGAGCAAACAAAACTCAACTTTTAAATTCATTCTTTCCTTTTTGGTATACTGTTTGTTTGTTTGCTTTCAATATTTTGATTTCAAAGCACTTTTAATTCCGAAGGCCGAATACCTAAGCCTATTCCTTCATTTTTTGAATATATACTCGCAGCTTAACTGCTTAGCTAGAAAATCAATCAATTCAATCGGATGCTCTTTCTGGTCTCAATAAACCCAATAGGTACGGTTAACCACAAAAATAGACAGATTGGTTTTTTATAAAATGATATCCCATAATTGGATAATTGGGTATTGTTCTTGGTTCGAATCCTCGTAGATTGATGGTTTAATATATTACTGGGCGGGGAATTGTAAAATTATACCATATGCTTTAGATTTTAAATAAAATGATCGAATTCTAGGCCTATAAGATTATGATTCGGGCTTGTGATTAGCGAACGGTTAACCATAGATTTCAACGGATTTCCAACCAATCAATGTTTTGGCGATGGGTTACCCAATAGCACTTTTTAGATTAGCGTTTTGTGTTGGATTTTCGAAAAAGAGTACGGTTAATCACCCGTTGATCACACTGTCCCCAAGCCCTATTTGACCTAAGATAAGATTAAGCGAGGCTATGTACATATATCTCACACCTTGATTAGTGTTCCTTGAAAATGACATGATGCCAGACGAACGCTGACGAGGGTATGAATGGTGAAGGAAGAAATGATGAAAAAGGGTCGAGATTGGTGGTTTGATTGTGCTTGTTGACTGGGCGACTTGCTGCTGCGTGTAAGGAGATGGATATATGGATTGAATTTCACGGCGATATTAACGGTATATACTGGCAGGTCGAATCAATTTAGCTGTGCGAAATAGTTTCTCGAGTAATCTTACAATGGATGCGAAAATATATAAAGGGGGGTGGAAAGGTGGCAGGCATAAGCGAATGCGATACTGAGATCTCTGCGGAGGGGCTCATGGAGTAATCTGGCGAAGAACAAATGAGATGAATAAATGTCTTTATTGGTTCTACAATGACTGTCTTGTTGAAAGTTATGAGTTATCGCCATAAGTCCTGGAAAACACATCATGTTATCATTGCTCTACAATAGAGCCGACATTACCCCGCTATCGAATAGCATCATTTTTAAAAGCCCATCGAATTACCATGTTCGTATCATCGAATTGCCAATTCTATTGTTAGCGCACCCATCTTACTGAGTTGCTTATCATTTTTAAATGTCGGTCTTCCTATCATACCCAAGGTTCTACCATGACTCCACCATCGCTATTCAGCTCTCAATCCTACCATGATATGCCATAGTGCCTTAATATTGAACCTCAAAGAGGTGAAAAGATGGGTTGATTGAAATGTCGAGAAGCAATAGGACATGAAGCTTATTGGGGAGCTAGCCGACTAATTCCCACGAGTGTTTGCGTTGCCGAGCTCTACATCATGAGGTTCTTGAAAGTCGGGTATTGAAGTGAATGACAATGAGAAGTTGCTGCTCTTGAATTAATCAATCGTCCCTTTGGAGAAGGCTGCCTGAGAGGCGAGGGAATGCAAGATTATCTCAGGTATGGATGACGAGCATCAAGCGGGTGATTAGTGTGTGCAATCTATAACAATGTTAGGCTGCGCAACGGGTATCCGCGGGGCGGATTATGCTCTAGTGGATAATCCGTGCGTAATCCGCTGGCGGGGTGGATAATTGGGAAATTCTAATAGGCAATCCGCGGGGGTGGGGAGGAGGTTTAATGGATTATCCACGGGGCGGATTATCACGGATATACGCGGGTTGCGGATTATTTCTGCGCAGCCGAAGATGCTATGTAGTATCACTCGCCTTTATTCCCTTGTGGCGTTTACGGGAGAGATGAATCAACTAGATGGTCGTTGTTAGTCGATCTCTCTTATTAATTAGAACCGAGTTGGAGAAACACTTTCAATCGTATAGTTCAACATTTGTTGGGTTTCTTGAGACCAGAAAGAGCATCAGATTGAATTGATTGATTCTCTAGCTAAGCAGTTAAGCTGCGAGTATATATTCAAAAAATGAAGGAATAGGCTTAGGTATTCGGCCTTCGGAATTAAAGTGCTTTGAAATCAAAATATTGAAAGCAAACAAATAGCATACCAAAAAGGGAAGAATGAATTAAAAGTTGAGTTTTGTTTGCTCCTTATATGCATCATGCAATATATATGCATATGCTGCCAAGATCCCAGGAGGTCAACAACATTCCTCTGTCGATGTTGGTAGTCCGAGTTGGCAGGATTCGCGCGAAGAAGAAATGAATGTAAAGTGTCTGGAAACACTTTTACGGTGCATTCAAACCCCACGACGATAATATATTTGTAGTATTACTCGTTATTTGCAGCTAGCGCATTGCTGATTGGAAATGATGAGTGGTCACCTCTGAAAAATTCAAAGAAGTGGGGATTAAATGTAAACGGGGATGGCGCTACCTAATCGAGACAATACGGGGCATTTCTGGACTTCGGAATTATCAACAAGAATTCAAGTTGGCTTGTAATGCCTTATGCAGAGTGATACTTTTATACAAATATAACACATTTCATTAGATATTGCCAATATGGGTACAAGGGTCAGATCAGATGCGCTCTTATAATGGAGCAGAGGACAGCTGCCTCGAAAAGAATTCCCGTCAAATGGAATTGTGATTTCCAGGGCCGTAAGGTTCTGCTATTCTGAATGTTCTTGTATGTTTATTAGTCTTGATGGAAGCTACCTTTCAATATCAAGTTGCACTTCCTATCTTGAAAAGAGATGTTTTGGAGAAGTAAATGGGGAATTGCTCTGCAACCGAGGAAGCTGCGAGTGTAGTTGGGAAAATCGACATTGTCAGTACTGCGCCTCAAGACTCAAACTCATGTCGAAAACAACAAGAAAGCCTAATCATGACTTTTCCTTGCTCACAAGCTGGTTACGCTTTTCAAACGTTCATTTCTAAATACCTGTGCATTCTAGTGCTCAATCCCCAATGTCCATACCCCATGTCCATGCTCTATGTTTATTGCTCATTCCGAGTGTTTCTCCCTGATCTCCCTGGTTCTAGTACGTTAGAAAGGCCTAGACACTAGGTACGATATCTCAATGGTGTACATATTAGAGACCTGCACACCGTTACTTAGTTTCGACAAACACTCAATTTTTATGTAATTCGCTATCCCAAATGAACTTGAGTGCCTTTCGTACTTTAATTTTATTTATTCCCACACTTGCCATATCATCAGTACTACTACATTCAAATTGAGTGTGGATAAACTGGAATTGAAACTTCCATAACTTCCATGAACATGTCAGCCACCGTCGTGGGAAAGCGACTTGATCAGGAAGACACATGACTGCACGTAAATATCGCTTTCTTTCGTAATTCAAGTTTATTAAATTCGTGATTCACTATCAAGAATACCACTTTAGCAACCAGTAGTGACTTCGGTTGAAACTATGTCAAGGATACAAACATTTGATTAAAATTCTTTTACTTCACCGAACTTAGGGCTAAGAGTTAGGGCCTTCTTGGTCTGACTCGTCTTCCAGATACATTAACATGCTGAAGAAAACTCCAAGGAACATAAAGCCAATGGCAAATACCTAGTTTGTATATCTTTTGTCTCATCGCCGATTTCATATTCAAGAACTCAATGCACAGGTTTGTGTGACTTGAACGTCCACTCGTATCGTTGATCACAGTGTGAATCGGGCTGCAATCAAAGGACGACGTGGTAACAAACTAGTGTCTTTTGGATGTTCATAATGCCAGTTCTTACCCATGTTATAGTATTACCTAGATGTTGTCAAGTCCAAAGGAGTCAGAAGCCGGAGTTTATTTGTTCCCGGCCATTGCACAATTTTCCCATTCCGAAATCAACTTAGCTCATTCCTATATATGGACTGGGTTGCAAAATGAACTAGTTGATAACGAACTAGGAAGGATGAAAGCATTCACAAATGAACTAAGCTCATATAGAAATAATAAACTCCCCCACCCTCATTATCAACCTCATTGCCGGGACCCTCACCCTTATTATCAACTCCATTATCACCCACACCTACATATTCAGCCTCATCGTCGCCCCTCTCCCCGGCACCTTCATTTTCAAAATTATTGTAGCTTTTTCTTCTATTCAGAAATTATGCTCTTTAGATCCTTAAAGTCTTTGATTATAAATTCTTATAAACTTCGGGTACTTTTAAGCTTTGGTTCTTTACAGGTTTTGAATCTACTTATATATAGGCTTAACTCTTTGTCAATCTTGATTTACTTGTTGAATTAGTGTAGTGGGATGAGAAAAATGTTTTTGAATGAGCCAAGTTCAAATGCGAGAATGTTCATTTTTGTTTGAATTGGATACATTGGGCAATAAGCTAGTTCATTCCAAAATTAAGCTCATTAGCGAATAAGCTAACAATTAACCTAAAGTGGGTCCTAGCCATTGGCTTTCCCTTTTTACTTCTACAGTGTAAGTATCTTGCTTTCTTTCAAAAACTTTCAGCCAATTACCGTGTAATCATCTGAGCAACTTTATCTTACAGCTCATAGACATTTTGAAGTCATGATATATGTTTTATCCAATTACTCTATATTCTCGGAAGTTGAACATCAAGAGACTGATCGGCATCATCAAAAGATGATTTCCCGTTCTTCAAAGTTCCACCTAAATCCAAGCTAAGTGATTAGTATCTGGCACTAAGCGAGAGAATGACGGATTGGTTCTTTGGAATATGGAACTAAAGTCTTATTTTCAAACGCCGAAACAGCCCCAACAGAAGTATTATGTCATCCATTTTATGGCAAGCACGTGTTGCTCAAGGTTTCCTGAACATTGGAGGAAGGGAGTCAGTTGAAGTTCTATAGGAGAACTAAAACTTGAAAAGATGTACCCGCCCACATCATTAGCTCCTTCGGTATAGAGAACAACGTGGCATAGGTAGAGAACCTTTTCTACCTCCTATAGACTTGGGATGGAACTTCCCTATCACACTAATGGGATGCAGAAGAAGACAGAGACTCGGGGAGCGAAATTATCTGGCTCCCACTATGGTTCTTGATAGATACATTGTAAACAATAGAATCTATAACTTAAAACACGTTCAAAATCGTATGTCACTGAGATTTTCGCAAACATACTCATGTACTCTCGACGAAGGCGCAAATTTTAGTGCGGATTTGAATCTTCTCAACCATGTATCGGTTGTAGTCGAGTATAGATGCCTCGAATCACGATTATTACACCCACAACCAGAATTAACCTTCATTACGTCGCTCGGCATTTGTGATTTGGTATCTTGGGAACCAAGAGATTGCTCCTCGACCGCTGATTGAGTTCTTATATCTTAGAAGTTGTGGTAGCCAGTCGATCTGAAGTGGCTAATCTTGTATGTTTTGAGTATACTAAATCAACCCAAAGTCACTTCTTAACGCTGGCGCGAAAAGCTCTTCCTACGCATCGATAGATGTACTCGTTCCGTTCTAGCTCCTATCTAGCTCATACACATATAAACAGTGTGATGCATCTCAAGTTCCCATAGAGATTATAATCATCCCAGTATATCCAATAATCCGGACTACAGGATGGACTAAGTCTTTTGAATTAAACAATCAAGCTTCAATCCATTGATATATTAAACAATTTATCTTGAATATTAAAATATCCCAACAAATCGGACTACAATCCAATTCGTCTGGATTTTTAGATTATTTAAAAATTGAATTATACAATATAAAATTATTTTTTGTTATAATTAATAAATTTTGAGTACATACTTTTCTATATTAAATATAATATAAAATTAATTAGTTTAAAAATCTAAACGGCAATCTAGACTTTTTAATATTAAACTATCTAATCCAAACTTTTTATATAAGAACCCTTCCAATAATCCATTTAGTCCAATTAAATTACAAACTATTTGTTCAGATAGTCATCTAGATGGAGTACGGGAAGATTGTTGGATACACTGAGTCATTCATGGTTTGAATATCTGTACCGTAAACGTACTAACACAAAAGTATATGTTTTTAGCTGATTTTGGAAGACAAAATCCCTTAGATTGTTTATAAAAGATGCCTCAAAACCTCCTATTCTCTCTATTCCTTTCTTTCTTCACCTACATACAGATACTTCAGCTTTCTACTTAATTTCATTAAGTATTACATTTTTATTACATTTCAACGTCTAACCAATACAAAGGACATTTTATTGTCCTTACAAAGTAAGTACCTCTTCTGTTCGTACCGCATTTATTACTGCACTTTCTTAAAATACAATTTCATGTGGCATCTTCGAGTCGCTGTGGCAAACTACAAGAACAGTATTCTTATGCTGTACTACGATTTTCAGTTCGAAAATGGGACACTTTCAAATCTTGAGTTCATTTGGGATGTTTAAGTAATCTGGGATCTTTGGATTCGTTGAATTACTTGAGTCACTCTCAAATGTTAAAAGCCTTTTTAACATTCATCGGTCTGGAATCATTCCGCAATTCCGGGGTATCCAATGTCCCGGATTGTAGAATCAACTTGAACTTTGAATGTTTGAGTAGGATTCACTGTTTTAGATGTTTTGAATGTCCCAGTTGGATTCAAGAATGGAAAAGCTCCTCACGAAAGTTGTTTTCCGTTCAACAAGTAGGCTAACAATGACTCTACATATAGTCTTAAACCAAGAATCAATCGTAAAGAGTTGAATTTAGCGAAAATGAATACCAATTCCTCTGCCTTCGGTCCGGTCTGTCCTGCATCCGGAACCGCCATACGTCGCTTGTGCTCCACCCACCGGATAGTAGCGGCAGCTCTGACAGCTATGGCGCCGGGTCTCCGGGTGTGATGTGGGGCATATTTGACGCATGTCGGCATAGATGGGGGTGAACCCCTCGATGAGGAGGGTCTTGCCGCCCCCGATATTTTGGCGAGAATGATGGAAGCTGGGCCCTGGGACACGACTGCCCCGGAAGATACGATGGGGTATGCAGCAGAGTATGCCCTTGATGGAGGAGATAGATTGTAAGTTCTATGTTTCCTGAGTGCAAATTTTTCAATAATTAGTCCAGACTGGATCTTAGCTTTCAATATCTGAAAACTTTGAAGTGAATTCGGCAATTTGAATGATCTGAACATTTTGAGTTATATCAAAAATCTGAAGTATTTGAATGTTTCAAACAATTTCAATGTTCAAAGGTCTCATATTTTTTGGACAGCAATCCGGACTATTGGCTAAACTATTTTGGTGTCGAGCGACTACTAACATGTCGCAGGCACGGGTCTATGAATAGCTTGGAGGATCTGGCGGAGCGGTGCTTGGTACAATGGCACTGCTCAATCAAGACGTCAGACGAAGTCTGGCACCCATGCTTCCCAAAAGGGGAAGGCAGAAGTGCAAGGAGAGAGTTCCGGCCAGGGCCTCAAGAGAGCCCGAGCAAAAAGGCATTCGTGCAAGCGGCGTCAATAAGACACCCAAGCCTGCTTTGTCCCGGGACGAAATGTAGAAGGCTCAGAAGAAGAGGATGGAGGCTGCGAGGGCTGAGAATGAGGAGGTGAAGAGGCAGACGTTTCCGCAGTACAATAAACGCGACAGAAGAGACCCTGCTATTGCGTTGGATCGCAGGGGCTATGCAACGAAAGACTCGGGCGTTCCTGCTGAGTTGTGCGGAAGATACAACTGAACGTTGCGTGCCTTTTTTTTTTTTTTTTCCTTCAAATAAAAAAACGTTTGATTTGTAAGAGATTGCGCTGACCAAAACAATCTGGTTTACCTGCTTATCTACCTGCTTGTGAACGTTTGATTCCATTATGAATGTCGAAAAGTGTATTTTAGATCTAATCCCGTCTTCTTATCACTTCACGAGGTTGTCACAGGGTCGTGGATATAACTCGTTTACCTATTTCTGAATGTGCGGCTCCTTAACTAACAAGCAAATTGAAGTTTAAAATCTTATTGTTCAGGACTTGGCAAAGGGTAGGGTATACCCTAGGTTACCATGGATAGGGCCTGCGAGATAACCATTTTGTTATGTCCTTATGAGGTAGGATAAATAGTCTACAAAATATCGAAGAGTACGAATATACCTACTGATAAGTCCCCTACCCCCATTCCGGCCACCTTTTACACCAAAAACCATGATTTCACTTATTGTTTTAATTTTCAATATCTTAATTAATAAAATCATAAAAAATCCAAAATTTTCAGGATTTACTATTATATAAAAATGAACCTGAAATCAAACTTTCTTAAAAAATTATATTTATAAATAAAAGAATTATAAATGTTGATTTTAATAGAGAAAGGTGACCCAAAAGTGAAGTGACTCAAAAGTAGGGTACTAGGCTTAGCTGAAAACCATTACATATATGGCTTACAGTTCCAACGCTCTTATATTATGATTATTGTACTAGGTTGAAGTTTAAAGCAGATTAGATGGTAGATGAGGAAGGAGTATGCTCGGATTTTGAGTCATGGAAATTGAGGGAATTTTTGCCGATTCAGGAAACGAGCTTGTGAAGCAGTTTCTAAGCGTAGTGAAGGATGCTAGTACTAACGTTGGCCGAACTTTCAATAGCTTCCGAGTTTATTGGATGTTAGTAGTCATTAAATCATTACAAGATGACACTACTTCACTAAATATGACATAATATTTGCATAGGGATGTGAATTATGTCAATCATATTTCATTCTATGTTTATGTTTCCGAAGGTTTTTGAGCTGTTTGAGATCCACTATTCTCCTGGTCTTTTGCAAATGTGCCTGCCACTATCAATGGGAAACAAGCAGTTGCCTCGACATACACCTTCACACTATCAGCTCCAACCTTGATTTTTCCCCAACTAACTGCCTCATCTGGTCTTGCCCCTGCATCGCTTCCATCAAACTCCTGTGCAGTATTAATGTACACAGCGCTTTCGGCCCCATTTCTCATAAGACATGCATTCGCAATGTGATGTTTGACTACACCTCCACCTAGGATAATCATTCCTGCTCGTTTGGCTCGCACGGCTAAAGTGTTTATCTTTCGAATGTCTTCAACGAGGTCCACACGAAGTTGAGCCGGGGAAGATTTGAAGGTGTGGAAATAAAGCATATCGCCTAGGGATCCGTCGGTAAGAGCTGGACAGAAAATAGGGATGTCATTTTTGTAGGCCCAATAAAGTAAGGACTCTTCATTATTGATTTCTTTCCCCAATCTCCGGATTATCTTACTGGGAGTCCAGTGGATGTGATTATCAGTGTCGGGATCTTTCTTCGATTCTTCTTGTTCGGTAAGCATGGTATCGAGAATGGGCATCACCCAGTCTTCGAATGCGCAGTAATTGTTATTGGGGACAATAAGGTTTCCAATACGGTTTTGACCTTTGGCGCGTAAATCTGCTCCAGGAGTAGAAAATGAGCCCATGTAGGTGGGACCAAGACATTTGATGATGTCTTCTTCAACGCCGCCGGCAGTGGTGACGATAGCAGAAATGTGGCGGTGTTGAGCGAGGTATCGGAGAGTGCCCCGGAGTCCACTTGAAATTAGATTGGAAGTATATCCGAGGAAGATAGTGGTACGATCTGAAGTTTCCGGATCACGCCATGCACGCTGGGAATGTTAATTTCGTTTTGCTGGTTAAAGAGGGGTTACGTACCATGTCATTAATTATTCGAACAGCTTCGCCAATGGAACTTGCTTGAAACCCCATGTTGTTCATACCACTTAAAAGATCGTCAACGGTTATCAGACGACCGGCGAACTTGTTGAAGTCGAGTTCTTCGACTTTTTGTGCACCGACAGGCATTTCGTTTGAGGGGACTAGAACTGCATCCATGACCGAGGATGGAGGTGCTCCATTTTGAGCGGGTGTTGACGCCATTTCCGTGGATTTATCTTCTGGATATTTTCCGCGATTAAGATGCAGAATGTATCTGCAAGGTAGCCAAATCCTTTGCCGTGGTCAAAATTCCAAGATGACACTACTCTTCACGTGATATACCTACAAAATAATGGTAGCTAATACAGCAGTATGGAAGGTGATCGTTCACTTGAGTAAAATATGTATAAAACACAAAGAAGCGCCTGGTTTTGTCGTAAGTATTGGTATAAAATAATGGAAGATGACTGGATTTACTCAAGTGAATGTCTAGACTTCTCTAAGAACCAATGCTAACCAAAAATTTGATGATGCTTTCGAAGTGGCGGATGTTTTCAAAAGTGTAAGCTGAGCTTCATTGAACGTCATCAAGCTTTGTCCAGGAAAGTGAAGATTCTTATAATTTTGTTTAGAAAATATGTACAGAATAATATATTCTTCATATATCTCTGCCTATCGCAAACTTCAATCAAAAAGTTTTGTTGCGAGGAATCAGTCAAAATAAGCGATGTAGTGGGGTCCGTTGCATTTTGCTTTTGAGGCTCTGCATGCACGTGTCGTCGCAACTACTGCAGGAAGGGTCTGTGCGTGGTTGCCAAGCCACATCTTTAATGATTAGGTAATGAAAGCTTTTCGATATTGTGGCTTGCACATCGAAGCACGGACTCTCGGCCCCTCTTACCAGCTGAATTTATGGGGTATCTTGTAGTCCTTACCAAAAACAGAATAGATCAAAGAAATAACACTATTTATATAAATGAAAATTCTATATCTAAAACTTTATAAATCTATTTGACTTTGTGACGGAAATCCCTGCTTTCCTCCCACCTTTATTATATAAGAAACCTCAGGTACATTAACCATGTCCACACATGATACGATTACTCGAGATTAGTATGCGATTTAGGTGACCTGAGGATCAGATCCGGACAAGTACTAGGTATCAATGGTTATCGGTAAAGTAAGATCATTGGAGGAATAAATATGACTTCTTTTTGCCTAGCCATTGCGGCTAGGCCATTCATTTGTGTATATATAGAGTAGCTATCCCCATCTACAGGTGCTCTTCACCTGTAGATTCTAAGTTAAATACAACTGCTGGTCTATAAACACCCTTTTGGTCACAGACTTATTTAGAAGAAATTTTTTTATTTAAAACATAAATCATTACTCAGTGTATTATATTTTTATTTTTAAAAATTAATAATAAATTTTTAATTCAATGAGTTTTGCCATACAGTTTTTCTGATTCAAAGTGAGCTGACTTAGCAATCAAGAAAGTAAACGAGTAATCAATCACAAAGTCTGAAGACAACCTTTTTATCAAATCTAAATCAGGGCTCCTAAGTCTAAGGTGCTATGAATTGAATTGTCTAGTCTTTAATTGAGACATTGAAGAGCTGTCATATTTCGATTTTGGTCTCGGTTGTTGTGTGGATGCCTATAATTTCAGGGTTTGAAGACTAGCCCATGCATGAAGTTAACCTCATCGGGTCGCAGATGCACGTAGCCTCATTTGAACAAGGCCATTTCGAGAACTTCAGAACTTCAATTCCTTGATTCAACATCTGCGACAACTCAAAGATACTAAGCATTCAATTCTATGTGACTCTCCCCGTCTGTACGTACGGTCCGCATTCGGCGTTAATAGTCACTCAAGATCAATATCCACCATTTATTCCCCTCCTTTTGTTGACGTTCTAATATCCACTTTGGTTGAAATAGCGCTGGCCCGGCAGAGTGGTACTAGCCATAAGGCCATATTAAATAATCAATAGGATATAGACTAAGGGAAGACGTCAAATCACTGGGAATTGTCATAAATCAGAGTCTTTCGCTCCCTCCTAGATACCTCCCTCATACAATGTTTGTCTCCCTAACACTCTCCATTAAACAATTGACTCTAACATTAAGTCTTTAGGACTCGACCGCATACACAATATGATTCAAATGATGGAAGACGTTCCCCTCGAGATCGTTCTCCTGTAGAGCGATCTCCAAGACGATATCTCGACAGTCGCGACTCGGATACATACCGAGGTGCTGCGCGCGGGGGAGAAAGGCGACGATCACCATCAAATTCAAGAGCGAATACTGCTGCATTCAACCACAACCAAAATCGAGAACTTTTTTCAGATAGACATATACCTCCGCGAGATACAAATCGAGATAACTCCTTACGTGATCCTCCTCGCGGGCCAAGGGCTGGTTCGAAAAGCTATATCGATCCCCCTAGCGGTCCTCGCGGCAATAGTTTTGGCGATGGGTATCGAGGCGATTTCGGATATCGAGGTGATTTTAGAGGTGGCAGAGGTCGTGGTCGTGGAAGAGGTAGCTGGCGGGATGAAAGTAGAGATCGCGACCGAGATCGGGAACGAGACCGTGGCCGAGAAGTCGAGCGAGACAGGGACTATAGAGATATGCGAAGAGATAATAGAGGACCCCTGGTTCCGTTCCGCGATGATCGAAGCCGTGATCGAGAATGGGGCGGTCGGGACAGCTTCAAAGGAAGGAGGCCTTCTTCTCCTATCGGAAGAGGAAGATCTCCTAATTACAATAGTAGAGATAATCGCGATGCGCCTTTAAGCCTGGATCTGGATCGTGCTAGAAGAGGCTCGCGAGACGGTCCAATGTCTGTTACCTCGCCTTCCTCTGACTCAGCCCAACCGTTTGTGCATGGCTATGGTAGGGCTAGAGGAAGTGGAATAGGACGTGGACGTGGTAGACCCTATTACGATGAACCTTACCATCGACCCCAGGTCCGTAGTAGGTCTCCAGAACCAAACTTTCCTCGCAGATCTCAACCTTCAGCTAGTAAGTTTCATGACCTCGACCCATTTTTCTTTCTTTTATCCCTGCGTGGCCCTGGTTTCTGTCCACGCACAAGGCACATGCGTGCCTTTTGATAAGACGCTGACTTTACATAGCACCGCCTCCCCAAGTGCCTGCATTTGGATCAACTGGAGCATCAGCCTCAGTCAGCCAAAGTCCTGTCCCAGGTGTATCAGTCCCAACCGCGCCCCGTTTTCATGCGGGACGTGGGGCTCCAAGTAATCACTACATTTCTGCAAAGTCTAATATGCCACAATCTATTGAAAATCAGTCGTCAGACGCCAGATCGGAAACACAGATTGCTGCAACACCCGAACATAAATTTGATGATGCAGCACGGGTGACTGAACAACGTCGCCAGCGAAAACCCCTTTTTGGTAGACACCCACCCAAGATTCCGATTACTGATGACTATTCCGATTCTGATTTGGATCCCTTCAACGATGATGATCCAGAGGACGAAATCAATTTCGAGAGTGAATTGGCGGAGGTTCAACGTAGTATGAACGATACTCGCAACAGGCCCGACCTGCCTCCACTTGACCAGTTCTTTATTGTTAATTCGTTCAAAGATCTACCTCTAGTCCCAGATGCACGAGACGGTTCTGGCGGGTTGAAACAGTGCATTCCTCCAGAAAGTTTGACTGATAAGCCTGATACGACGATGGAGGACGCATTGGAGTCCAAGCCTGAGCCTGAACATAACCCCGCATCTCAGCAAGAGCTCGTCGCGATGCCGAAATCGACACTCAATATGGATCCCGCTGAACATGAATCTCGAGACAGTGAAAATCCTACTTCTGCAGTGTTACCACCTGAGATACCATCCGCCCTAGCGACTACTACCGAAGCCGGAAAATCTGAGGGATCGCAACATCCCATGTGCCAGCTTCCAGCGACTGATTCTGAGAAGTTGGCTATGCTCTCTCAAGATCACCCAGCACAATCCGGGGCATCAGCTAAAGACTCCAATGTCTTCAATGATGCTACTGCAAAGGATCCTATCACAGATAAAACTCCATCTACGACAGCAAATGCTCATTACGCATCACCGCCGCCTGCGAGGAGTCAATCACCTTTGGAAAGTGATTCACGAACTTCGACCAGGACAGTGGAAAATGGTGGTGATGTTCCACCTCATCACATTACTACAGAAGCAGATGTAGCATTTGCCAAGGACCAGTCCATTGAAGAAAGTAGTACCAAAGCTGGTGCTTTCGAAGAAACTTCTCCAAAAAGTGCGGCATCCAAGGATTTTGAAGTTCCCGCTATTCAACCTGCCCCCATCGAGCCCTCAGACATCCAGCCTTCTACGACCAAGTTATCACCACTTCCAACCACTGGACTTGAGTATAGCAATTCTCAAAGTGTCACTCAAGATACTACTAGCTTAGAACCTCAATCTCTTGGCGTGGAGATTTCAGATTTAGAGAGACCACCTCAGTCGGTGGAAGGCCATCCAAAGCATATTTTGGAGCCCCGTGTAGAGAGGACGATCGTGGGGACTCATGCAGATACATCACTGCCCGTGTCAGACGAAGCATCCAAGTCTAATTCTGAGAAGGTTGAGACACCGGACACCAAACCCCTACATAATCATCCACCATCTATCGACCCCATCGATACCGAGATTTTGCCAGACGCTCAAGCACTTGAAGATGATTCTTTGATTAGTCCAAAAACCACAGGTCCCGTCCCAAGGTTGGTGCCTGAAGATACGAATGGCGATCATCATATGGAAGGTGTAGTTTCGGAGGAATACAAAAGGGATCGATCTATGAATCTGGAGATTAGTAATGAAAACGTGGCCCGTTCCGAAGGCGAGATCTACCATAGTCGAGGAGAACCAGCCGGAGCTTTTGATTATGTACGACAACAGATACCGTCACCAGTGCCACAAGCACCAGAACTTACTATGGAAGTTCCCGAAGAAAGTGATGATGACGAAGATGAAGCCGAACAGGCCGGATTTGAACTTCTCCGTCAAAAACTTGTTCAACAAGAAGCTGCTCTTGAAGAGGATCGCCAATTTAAACTTCTTGAATCTGTTAAGCACCCCAGGGATACGAAGACACCTCCTCCAGAAACCTTACCTATATTTGATTATAATAAATGGGATGAGGATCCTGAGTTTTTGAACTCCCTCGAAGTTGATGCAAATGCTGAATCTTCCCTTACGAGACTTATAGAGGAAAAAATGGCGCAAAGATGGAGGGAACAACAAGAAGAGGGCAAGTCGTGGTCGGAGAGTTATATCGAGTATCGTAGGTTTACCGATATGGATATGGATCCGATCGCTGTGCGCAGTAGAGAAGTATTTACCAAGGCCCAGAAAGGAGAGGCCGAGGAGTTGGCCGAAAGAGGCAAATCGGCAACTGGCTTAGATCTCAAAGCAGAGGGCCAGCGGCGCACTGGGAGTAGGTTTGCTACGGATCATGATATTGAACGTGTGCTTCGTGAATCTGAGCGTGAAGCTAAAGAATCGAAAGAGCAGCAAGAACAAGATGCCAGGGAACAAACGGCAAATTCCAAGGAAGCAACTATCCCGGACATGTGTTGGGATGAAGAATATAAGGAAACTATGTTTGTGGATACTACGCACAGGGTTCCCTTTGAACGATCGTTTCGTATGCTCGAGTTTGGAGAGTCCATAGATAATTTTACGGAGGAAGAGGCTCAGATCTTCCAAGAAAAGTACCACAATTTCGCCAAGCAATTTTCTATTATTGCACAATCCCTTCCGCATCGCGATTACCAGGCCTGCATTCAGCATTATTATATTATAAAAACAACGGATGAGTGGAAGGCAGTTTTCAAGTCGAAGAAGAACCAAGTTAAAACCGGCAGAAGAAAAGGAGCGAAAAAATCTAGTGCCCTCATTACCAACATTGAGAACGGAGGTGGTAATGAAACAGAGGCTACGCCAGATGTGGAGAATGGAAATGAACGTCGTCGACCTAGGAGAGCTGCTGCTCCAACTTGGAATTTTGAAGCACCACTGCCTACCACAGACAATGAAGGTGTTAGCCCGGCACCAACCCCGGCGAAGAAAGTCGCTACTCCGAAAGGAGACACAAATGGCGAATCAGCTCCAACCAAGAGAAAGGCCAAAACTCCTCGAGAAAAGGCCCCAAAGCAGCCCAAGGCCGGTCAACTGTTAGCGGCTGCTCCTTCTCCTGCGAGTCGCAATGGTGAATCACCAAATCCTCCTGCATCAACTGTTGCGCCCGAGCCTACACCGATCAGGCCTCCTGTTGCCACCACTCGCTACGCTCCATACGATGCTCTTATTCCTCACCAGATGCCAACATTTCCACCTCAATTTATGCCACCTGAGAGACCTGCACCAGCTAATCTAGAGGTGCCAGTTGCACCAGAACGCATTGGCTCTGCCCCTCCAACAGGTGGCGAGTCCCAGCCTGATCGTCGTTCCGCTGTTCAACAACAAACTTCTAGCTACTGGAGTGTCCCGGAAGTGGGTGACTTTCCTGGACTCCTACGACACTTTGGCACAAATTGGGCTGGAATTGCAAAACATATGGGAACAAAAACGCATACCATGGTATATAAAAAAACTTTTTCCGATTGGCTTGAGATCACGAAAGGCCAAGCTGGTCGCAAGCGTCAGGCTAACATTGCTGAACAGGTTAAGAACTACTATCAGCGCTCTGTCGATTCCGGGAGCAAAAAAGAATGGGAGCAGATCACTCGAGAGGCTGATTCAAAACGTGACAGAGGCGAATCTACTGGACCAGCGCCCACGCCTTCCGCCCCAACAAAGCGACGATATGATCCCACGCCGGCACCACTATCGAGATCAGCATCTGCCATGGATCTCGAAGAACTGTCTGGTAGTCAACCTATCATTCTTCCTCAAACATCTCCTCCTCAATCCACATTGAGTACCAGGTTCCCTGCCTTGGCTCAAGCCGGACCTGTCCCTCAATCAATGAATCAAACGATCACTCCTAGTTCCCTGCCTTCCAAACGTTCACATCATCAAGCTAACCAACAGAGCTTATCTCAAATATCACAGCAACAGCAACAGCAACAGCAACAGCAACAACCGGCATCAGCACCACCACCATCAACCACCTCTCAGTTACAATCACAACCACAACAAATGCAAAGCCAACAAGTCAGACAGCCGAGGGGTCCGTCCATGGGGTTCTTCACTACTGATAACCAACGCTCCACACCACAGTCTACTCTTTCGCAGCAGTCTCAAAATGCTTCGCCAATTTCAGATCCAGCCACTATTGCCTCTCAACGATCGGCTCGGGTCGCTGCCGAGGAAGCTTATCTAGAGAGAAAGAAGGCTTTGGAACAAGAGAGAATACGAATCTCACAGGAACAACAACAAGCCACAGACCGGCTTGCTTTACAAGAGCAGGCCCTTCGAGAACAGGCGATTCGAGAGCAGGCCCGTGAGCAGGCTTTGTTACGTGAGCAGGCTCGTGAGCAGGCTTTGTTACGGGAGCAGGCCCTATTGCGAGAGCAGGCTTTGTTACGAGAGCAGACCGTCCGGGAGCAGCAAGCTTACCAACGACGAGAGCAAATTAGAGAAATGGAAACACTTACGGAACATCAACAACGACAGCAGCAGCAGCGAAGGGAAAGAGAATCAAAGCAAGAACAACTCGAGCGAAACTTGAAGAGAAAACAAGAACGTGATCACGAGCAACGAGAACAACAAGATCGAAAAGAAAAGCGAGAACAACGAAGCTTTCAATTGAAGCAAGAGGAGGCTGAGGTACGGAACTCACAGCAGTATGAATATCCCGCGCACTCTAGCCGTACAGGATCAATGGCACCTTCAAGACCTGAAGCTCCATATGTGGCAGTTTCCACAACGGACGTTCGAAGGCAAGCTCCACCCAAAGTCCCACACCAACAATATCCTGCGCGAAGTCAGGGCGTTCGAAGCTTGCTTAGTGATGGTATGGGTGTTCCTCAAAACATGATTCAATCTACATCTCCCGCTTTCGGCCGACCAGGCATTAGCACCCCACCTATCCAAGAGCAGTATTCAACACCACCTCCTCAATCAGCCGCTGTTAGCGCCATCCGCCAGCAAGATACACCAAGGAAGACATCCAATATCATGTCATTGTTGAACGATGAAACCAGTGAACCTAGCAGAGCTCCACCGCCCCCAGCACAAGTGCAATCTAAGAGAGGTGGTGGTACCCCAGCAGTTCCTGTGCAAAGTTCTCGAACCCCGCCACCTCCTCAACATCCATTGCAGACATCGCGTTATTCATCACATTCATCACATTCATCACATTCATCACATCCATCACAAAGTTTACAACAATCACAACAGATGCCTCAGCAGATGCAACAGAACCAGCAAATGCAACAGGTTTCACATCAGATACCTCCTCAAACAAATCCACAGCACGGATATCCACAATCGTCTTCCCAATCCATGCATCAACATTCATCTTCAGTAGGCCGCAGTTACACACCAACGTCTTACGACGGCAGGAATCATGCGCCCCCGCCCGCTGTCCAGCATCACCCGATATATTCTCAACCCTCCCGCCAAGCAATTGCTTCGCAGTCTTCAACCATTCGTCGAGAGCCTCTAAACGAAATGAATGCTCCTAGTGGGTACGCACGAAGTCCAATTACAAAAATCAATGAATCCCCCTATTCTGCGACCCCCCCTCCTGGCCAACAGATGACACGTCAGACGATGTCTTCACCACACGACCTACCCCAAACATCTGATCGTGATATTTACAGTCGTCAATCACAATTTGCTGTGCCGCAGCAGCCAAATACAGCGGTAGACTTTCACACAGCACCTCAAGTGGGAGCAGGCCATCGATCGATGGCCTTCGGACAAAGTGGTCACAGAACTCCACCGGCACGTAGTCAGTGGATTCAAGCCCATCAAGTGGGTCATCATGTGCACACTTCAAGACAAAACAGCTTCGAAGCCCGGAACTATAATACTGTTTCGTCTGCATCAGCTCCGGCACAACAAAGTTATGCCCAGCAAACTTCCCATCACATGCAATATCAACAACATCAACCCCAAGAGCGTTTTGATCATCATTATGAGCGAGAACAGCGTGAGAGAGAACAGCGAGAGCGAGAGAGGCAAGATAGGGATAGGGAACAATATTATCGAAGTCGGGAAGACCAACGGGATCCACGGCGGTAGCTTGTCATGTGTTGACTTGAAGAATAAAATTTTCCCCAAATGATCAAGAACTCGTTGCTTGGATGTCGAAAGCTCCTAGAGTATGAACAGTATAAATTATGTATGAAATTAAAGACTAACAACTACTCTCGTGCTGTCTTTATCGTTTCAATAGTGATACTTCGTGTTCTTCGACTCCTCATCTTTCCTATACATTCTGTTAAATTTCTTCTAAATAGACACTTGTATTGCCTAACTCTTCAAAAACAGCAGCCTAGGCGACCACCTATTAACCTCATGCAATACATCTTTGTGTTGAATTTCATGATGGCGAGAAATGAAGACGCAAGATGATCGAGAATTTTCGCGTGTGGAATGTACCTACTATCAAGCTTCTAGCCGCTACTACTCACCAGCAACTTAAGGGAAAGGATAGCAGTTAAATGGCATGGTGCCGTTCGTTTGGGAACGGTGGATCAATAAATAGGGAAACTTTAATAGTATACTGATGAGTCAAGAACAACTAAAGGCATACGATATCTTCTTAGCACATGATATCTTCTAATATTGTCATCGCATATCTCAGTCACAGGGAATTTCAAGGTCGACCTCAGATTAGTACAAGATCTTCTTCATTACCTCGTTCCCTCTACGTTCTATGTTTTTCACAGTATCTTCACTTATCTCATATCCCACTTTGGTCTCTTGTTTTCTGATTTTGTGATAAGCTATGATAAGGCTTTTATTTGTCGACTTCAGAATGGACTAAAGAGAGATATGCACGTCTAATTTAGCAGTATGATATTTTCATGACCATTCCAGAATTAGCCATTCTACTTCATATATCTCTACTGCTTTCTGGCAAGTCTTCTCTTTCATCTTGCCCCCTATTTCAACCTTGGATACTTACCGCATCGAACTGTTATGTGCGACTTGCTCACTGTCAAAATGGGGTCGATTTAGATTAGGAGGTACTCCTTTTAAGTTTCGTTCGAATATCCATAATCTGATGAGAGGATACATAGATATTTCTTTTGTTCTCACCAGGCTCAGGCAGAACCTTTTAATCATTAAAATTGAATATGGTAGAATTTATTTGCACTAACTATTTCGAGCACGTCTTCTCGGCTAATCATTTTTATGAATCTAATATCACACAGTTTAATTAGAAGAACTTGCAATGCCAAAATCACTACATCTTTGTTCTGTTGTCCGCAATGATTTCTTCTATATTTGTGTTTAACAAGAAGATGTCTAAGAGAGACTCCACAGCTAATAAAAATCACAGATTAGTTCTAGGGTATCTATCAGGAGCAGAAAGTCTTCACCAAAACCATAGATTTTTCGAAAAGATCAAGATCATTGCAAAAGAAGTATTCCTTAAAGATTCCACGGTTTCAGCTGGAAATGTTTTGAGTGTAGCTGCTAGTACGAACAGCAAAAGGCAAATCAATGGAGATCTTGAAGTTGTCCGATCACGGGAGGAAAATGGAAGGACATTTGCTAGGTTTGAAGACTTGCCAATGGAACTGAGGGTATGCATATCATTTCTTTATCCCTCATACACTCTATTGGAGTTCTCTCCCTAATACATATCTAATCCCAAATGATGCCTAGCTGATGATTCTCGTTCCAATAGCTTGTCATTTTGGAACTGTACCTCCAAAAATCACGCATCACAACATTGAACTTCGTCCCATCTGACCTTCTACGGTATGACTTCATGTTTGGAAGAAGCTTTCGACTTACCTGCGGCTCTATTCCCCCAATTCTATGTCTTAATCATCAATACCGGGCTATCTTTCTTGAAAGATTTACCAAGCCAGGAATAACCAGATCACAGACTACTTTGAGCATCGAGGATGCATTGCAACAACTTACCGATGAAGAATGTTGTACTACCTTGCAAGATTCCCTCAATGATGGATCACGCAGTGCCTTTCCCGTGTATGCAACTCACACGGGTAGAAACATTATTTTCAATCCTAACGATACCATATGGATCCAAGGGGACTTCTGGCTCGATGAACTACGCCGTGCAACAATTGCTCGCTCGGCTTTCTATCGACTGCGTCATCTTGCTATACCATACAAGACACGCAGAAAATCGCTCTTTGAGGTAGCAGACATGCTAGACTTTGTGAATTGCATCATCAACACCTTTCCAGAACTTAAAACCATCGCCTTGGTATTAGGTGCCGAAGAAGTAATACCAGAACGACCTATCTACAACGGTGAGATTACTTTTACTACTCCGGGAAAGGTCAAAATTGTCGTGGACGTTCCAGTTGAAACTCCTCTTACATCGCGGAAAAGTGTCTCTCGCATTTGGAACCACGCACTACGCAAATCAGCCCCTCTACCACAAATTCAAACTCAAGTTGAGTACTGGTCGGCAAAGAGACTGGGATTGGATGCGTGGCGTGTGCTTGGTTTTATTAAAGAGCGTGCGATAGAAAGGGGTAATCACGGTTGTGAGTATTTTTCTTTAAATTTGACACATACTCAACATAGATTTCGTCTTATGATCATCTAACTAACCGTTTCTCATAAAAAATAGTTTCTGTACATCCCTGGACGGTCGCCGCCGAAGTAGATAGATGGGAGGTACCGGCAGTCACTGTGGTTACTGCAAGTTTGAGTACGGCGTCCAAAATTCGGAGTGTACAAGAGCCTACTATTAGATTAGAAGAGTGGTAGACTGGTGAAAAATGGGCAATTGAGGATGTAGTTGTCTTTTGGGAGGGAATGTTCAATTGATGAAGGTTTGTTTCATACTACATACGGAGGTAGAATGGGCATACTGATCTGTATCCACCTCTACACCAGCTTTTGTATCCTAATGGCGGAATGTTTTGTACGAGCGCGAGGAGATGGATATTTACGTCTACATGACATTTTGTACAATCATAATTCTTTACCCATCGCATTTGTTTCTATGCCAATGATATGCTTCATATAATAGCACGGCTGCGAAAAGATTGACTTGCTACCATGTATCCCAGCCCAGCGTACCGGTTGACTTACATTAAGCAATATTTGATGCTTACTGCCTACCGAACATAATGTACTTCTTCCGGTCCTGCTATCCTTAGAAGCTACTCTTCTCTAACCTCAATTGACGTAGCACAACGTCCCAACTCTGCTACACATTTATTGCTGCAAATTTTCTTCATCTGGATTCCACAATCATCATCTTGAATGTAGATGAATCAACACATGAAATTTTTAGAGAATGCTATTCGCACCTCATCATCAGAATTCCGATTAGGGAAACTTTCTTTTAGAATTTTTGAATGTATACTGCCATGGATCTCACTCGAGCTCAAGAGTGGTAAATTTAAATTAATTCCCTATCTCATCCAACATTTGTGGTGCGAATCCTTTCAGTGGTTTTAACTTGATGGAATGTACCACGTTACTAGACTTCACTGGGCTTTTCTTATGAAGAGAAGTAACTGCCGGCGTTTTCGTTTTCTTCTGCCTGCACCTTATAGGTACGGGTATGTCAATGAACAGGAGAGAGATGGTCTCTTGCGTCGATAACCTGTCTCATTATTAGTCGTCGTGATTTCATTTGAATCATCACTGGCAAGGCTGTTCAATTTAGATCCTGTCATGCGGTCCTTTGAAGGTGTCTCCATGCCTTCACCCAGTCCTTTCTTATGCTACACTCTTCAGGTACTGATAAAATCATCGTCCCTTCAGTGCAACTACCGATGAGGGAAAATATTCTGATCTTTCTCCCAATATTGAGTGAACTGAATTTGTTGCTGGGTGTAAGTGGTTAGTCTTTCATGTCAGAAAGCTCCAAAAAAAATAAAAAAAATAGTTAACTACTTTCTTACGTAGTCCTCTGAGCTGATTGGGAGCAGAACAAACTGTACTAGACTCCATCCAGTTTCACTGACCGCAATAAAGTTACAAACTTAAGTAGACTTTCAGCTCGCGCCGAGCCCTAGGATATCACAACTGTAGTTGAATAAAACCTACTCTGAGTGTGCTGCTGTCGCTGGAGAACATAATTGACTATATTGTTTTAGACGACTCTAGGTCAAAAATCATTCCTGTCGTCTTCTAATGCCATGTATATCAAGCCCAGGCTGCAGTTCTTCACAATTTCCCCTACAAAAGAGCTTACTCAAAAGCCAGATTTCACAAGCTTTAAGAATTTCCTGTGAGAATGTATCATTTCCCCAGCCCGCTTGAAGCAGGTTGACTCAAGATCCCGCAAACAATATCCAATCTCTAATTTTCGACTTTTAAGAAATTTAATCCCTACTTTCTGGTCTATTAGTTAGTTATCTTGAATAACGACGCTGTTCATGAACCTACTGATCATTATAACCCTCGACGGACAAGAGTGGAGAAGAAAGTAAGATCTTACAAATAAATAAGAGAAGTAAAGCACCTTGAATTTTTCTCATTCGAATACTCACTTCCCATCTTCCCAAATTCTACCACAACCCAGAATACCACACATCCAAAAATTCACTCTCATCCATTTCTCTCCCCTTTTCAACAAGAGTATGCATGATACCTTCAAACAAAACCTTATGATCATTCCAAGAAGTCAAAATATGCTCACTCTCGGAAATCTCGGCCCGCCGCTCGAAAAAAAATCAACCTATCCATCTACGGGTTTACTAACCGTCCAACCGAGGATAATTCAAAATATTCTTCCACGACTAGTGCGATATATTTTTCATGAATGAACAGCTGCCGTTTTGGTTAATAACTAAAGAGCTAGTAGTCCAGTTAAAACTAAGAGACAATATAAATCCTGAGGATATGCGATATCTGGGTATGATAAGTGAGAAGTGGGCATTTCTGAATGAGGGAGGAGATTGTAATGGTTGGGTTACATTACATTTCTTATCTTTTTGGATATATGTGTGAGCCTGTGAGCGGAGTTTTTATTCATGGTTTTATAGGTAAAATGGTAGACTGACTCGTTGATAATACTACCTGCTTAACACGGTAGTCGGCATAAAAGTGGAGTAGAGGTTTATTTTTGCGGGGTTTTGGGGTATTATGGCTCTGATGGAATGGAAGTAGCTAATGGAGCCAAAATTTGAAGATATCGGTCACGAAAAGGGATGAAGATAAAGGCTTGAGCTTTTATGGAGGTTAGGAATTTTCTATGAGGAGGCTTCATGGTCGCAAGAGTGATAATAGCAATTGTCTCTACAATTAAAATTGAATTAATTCGCAAACAGTGGAATGGCTCGCTCGAGTCTCAAAATATATTAGTGAGCTTGATGATTTCGAAGAAATAAATACCCAAGAAGTTTGCCATCGTGGGGTTGAATGCTGTGTATATATAACTTTTGTCACTGAGATATCAAAAACACACATGTGTCACGGTAATCACGCTAGTCACGCTCACAAAACAAATCCTCAAGTGCAGCAACCACAAAGAGATGCAACGTTAAATTCCTTTACTATGAAATCAACACCCGTATTTGAGATAAATATCTAATTTTTTCGTTGAATCTGATTAGTGGTTATTTCTCCAGGAAATAAACACGCCGAGACCTTTCAGTGTTTTTTTTAATCAGAACTAACAGAGAAAAGCGGCTCTTCGAAGCAGAAATCTCCGCAGTGGCCACACTGCTGTCCCTTTTCACATACTCTATCTTCATCCGGAATTATCGAAACTGTATGTATATGTTAGTTCCATCAAAAATTGATGCGTCAACGGGACATTATGGACTTACAATTGATATCAAACACTTTAATCCTTAATGAGTATTTGATCAGGAAGGTTGACCTTTGTACCACTAAGCCAAGTAGAAGGCAAAATGAGTGGGAACTGCAACAATCCACCAAACTGATATACATAATTCTCATATTGACTGAGAGTGGTCTTCTTATCGCACATATCTTGAGCGTGTTGCTCTACAGTATCGAGGACCAAGAAGTTACCGCTAGCATAACTGAGACATGAGATACAGCTTGCTGTTTCATTGACAATTTTATTGTCGCAGAGACATTGAGCGACTACAGTATTGCGAGCTTCGGGATCGGTGATTTGAGAGTAGGAACCTGGGAGCGAGGATACTTGACAGGATTGCCATGCTTCGCGTGCGTTGATGCAAGGGAAATCATCTGTGGTGGCGGTCGGTTAGAGGTCAAAGAGGGTACGAGATTGAAATGATAGGGGCAGTAACGTGTTACTTACTGTAGCAGTACTGAACAGAAACATCTGTAGGTTTACCCCATATAGATTGTCTTGGCTCTAGTGGGGCAGCTGCACTTAGGGTAGCAGCAAGTGCAGAGATAAACAGAACGACCTTCATATTGATGTTATGGGAGTAAGAAAGGCTTGTAGATGAATATACAAGACTTTCTTGAGGTAATTGTGTTTATTCTTTGATATTTTCAAGTTCAATTGCTTGAGTTGTAATATGGAGGTGATTTTATGTGGGAGGAGAAGCTTTTTAAAGTAGGTATATAGACTATTGTACAGCTGTTAATTTCATATGGGGTATTGAATATTAAGGTCACTTGGGTATGATGTTGCAGTGAATGATAGATGAGGTGCCGGCCAGGGATAATTCTGTCACCTGGTGGATAACCTTGAACCGGCATTGACCGAGGCATTGACCACTTGTTTTCTGCCACCGTATCATTTGTAATGAAGCTATGCATAGTTAGGTAGGTGCAGATGACTGTAACATACTGATAGAAATACAAAGAAGATCATCTGCGCATGTCCTATTATCATGTCCGAGACCTCGATAAGAAAATATGTAAGACTTACTAAATAGGGCTTGGCGAGCCTCCTATGAATATCAACAATGAAGTTTTCTCCCTAAACTACTCAAAGTGTAAATTTGAGTGTAAATCCATTCTTCGAAGGTAGATGTGCATACAAGGAATGCAAAATGCATAAGATCTGCTCTAACTGGGGAGTTTTGACTCAATTGGGCTGCTAATAAAACATCGAAATTTGTAATGGAAAAATTCTAGCTCAAAAAATTATTTAGAGTGAATTCAGAAATGAGTAGATGACATCATCAAAATATGCTCTTCACAGCCATGGTGTATTTACATCCTCATTAGTTGCAATCTTCAACTAATGGATCATGCGTCTCATCCAGAATTAAAACTCTGGACTCAGAAAAGAGATAGAATAATAAAGATTAGAACAAAGATACCCAATATATTTCATTCAAAGTTACCTAATCATAATAGAAAAACTCTTATGATGACACTGGAAGCTTCAAAAGAAGTATGTTTATAGGCGGACATATTTTCCACCAAGACATCTGACGAAAGCAAGAGTTTATCCATGAGGTTCTCCAATTGGAGCACATTTGCCAAATAAATCTCCTCCAAGCTCCAAGCTTCTATTTGGAATGCTATATACTTCGAACATCAAATTAAGCGCCTTGAGACCCTACGATACTGCAACTTTTAAAGCCGCAAGATATTACACTAGACAAAAGCTAGTGATTATAATACGTCCACTAGAACGCAGAAGATGACTTGTTTAAGAATCTAGACAATTTTGTAAGCGCAGAAATTCTAAGCGTAGAGTAAATTTGATGGAGAGAATTAAGGTGCGGTGTCACAACTTACAAATAATCACAAGTTTAGATGGCCGGGTTTGAGTAGCATATATGGAATTATAAATTAGTCGTCCTTTAGCTCAATGGACCTACTCCATAACCAACTTAGCTTCTGATCTGAATCTGTAAAAAAAGTTGTTGAGAATAAAGCTCAATGTATAGCATTTGCGACGTCGCCAGCCTTGGATATATCCTCATCCAGAAGGTTTTATGGATGGCTGAGATATATCGTGACTGATGTGCAAATAAATATTCTCTATACATCAGTGGGATATTCTTGTTGGATAATGATATCTCTGTGATCGCCAAAAGTTCCACCACCCTGAATGGCCTCCTCATCAACGTCTTTCTCCCATGGCTTACGGCGCTTTCGTGCAACTGGCTTGGTACCCTGATCCGTAAGAACTGTATCGGGAATGTCACGGATGCCCGGGATTGTACCACCGGCTGTGATCAAAGCAACGATCTCAGCAAAAGATTGAGGGTATGGTGCAGTCTTTTGATCATCTGTGGTACTAGCAGGGGGTAGGTCATTTTCATGATGGGGATGTGAAGTGTTGGGGGACGAAGTAGGATCCGAGAGTACGGTGGTAGTCGCAGGAACATCAGTAGAGGAAGGCGTGGATGGATGGGTGGCAAGATATGCTTTATATTCATCGAAATTGATGTTAATTTTCCTCTTTCGAGAAAGATAGAAGCATTGAGCCCGAAGTGTCAATTCTCGAATTTGTTCAGGAGAAGATGCATTGCCCAGTATAGCAGAAAGACCACCCTGTTGATTGTCAGTACATAAACCTATGGAGGTATCAAGCTTCGAACAAGTTACTCCGGGCAAAATAATGAGGGGCAACATTGAGGTATAACATTGCCGAGGCTGATGACTGAGGGAAGAATTCAAAAGAGCTGCTTACCTGGAACTCATTATCAGTACTCCATGGATATGATTGGAGATCCTTATAAATGTTGGCGTCACTACTTCCAGACTGATCTGATGTTTCAGTCGCCATGTGGAAGATGATGTTTAAGGAGTGATGAGAGGAGTGAATAAGCAGATATGTAGAGTTCTGGAAGGACGGCAATCGCTATTTGAGGAGTTAATTATATGATGGCTGGATTGCTGTAAGGCTGAGGGAATCCCAGATGGTGGGATGTTGCAATGAGGAGGGCACGTGATTACCTAGTCAATCACTAAAATCAACCGTAGTGAAATTAAAGGTGTTAGTAGTGACCCGTAGCTCTTACATCGTCCAATCATATGATATAATCTTGTCAAAAGTCAGCGCTTTGACGCGGGTCCCATACCGAAACAGGACAAAGCTCAAGCGAGCGCTTCCTTGCCGCACCTTTAGCTTAGCTTTTCGCCAGAATAACACTCATGCCCTCCACAAAAGTACACACCAACATTAACAACTATCACAACTCTTACAACTCTCTCAACCCTCCCAAACACACCGACATCAATTGCCCGATTCCCAAAAATTTACATCTCTCTTTTGTTTTACTCATTTCTTTACCCTACAGCTAGCTGTGAGCTGATCGCAGCGTAATAAGCATCATGTCGGAATTCATAGGGTGAGCTTCCAAAGGCTGAAACTGAAGCACTTGCCTCCAACTTCCTACAATGCATGCTGACCATGGCGCGTCTATAGTTCGAGGATATCCCTGGTGTCAAGGAGTGATATTAGGTATTTGTTATAGTTGAGATATATTTGGCCGGATATTGACGCGAGTTAAGATATGTCGGTACTCTCCACGAGATCAATTCAGAGAACTCAACAGTAGCCTTGGAAAATGTCAAATCTCATGGAACAGAAGGACGCAAGAACAATCCGGATGATGAGATTCCACCTTCGGATAGTGTTTACGAGTACATTGTCTTCCGTGGTAGTGATGTGAAGGATCTGCGAATTGAGGAAGCGCCTGCACCCAAGGAAAACAAGCCTCCGCAGGTACCTAATGATCCTGCGATTCTAGGAGTAAGTGCGATGTTCTTGATAAACCAGCACCACTGGCTTTCTGGCACTGCCATATATCGACTTGTTATAAATGATGAAATGTTTCGGATGTTAAATCATATTGTCTCCGAGAGCGCAAAACCGTGTGGAGATTTTCCGTTGCCTTCCTTCTGATTTAGATACCTCAATCATATATTCGCATTGAGTGTATACAGCATGTTTACTAACAAAATTATTCTTTACAGAGCGGAACTCGTCCAGCCCCCTCCGCACAAGGACCCCCGACTCCTCAAAACCAAAATCCACGAGGACCTCCACCGCAAGGACAGAATGGTCCCCAACAACAAGGACCGCCTCCTGGAATGGCTCCTTTCGGGCAATACCCGCCTCCAGGATTTTATCCTCCTCCGCCTGCAGGATGGGGCCGTGGAGGTCCTCCTGGTCCAGGTTTTCCAGGAATGCCACCATTTGGTGCCCCGCCAGGTTGGTACCCGCCACCTGGACATGGATTTCCACAACACCCTGGACAATTTCCCCCTCCTCCAGGCTATGGCTTTCCACCACCAAATCAGCAATTTCAGCAACAAAATCAGCAACAAAAGCCATCACCAATCGGACCTGGCGCGAACAAACAACAAACTCCTACTTCCGCAAACGCTACAGACAAACCAGCTGACGCACAAGCTCCTGGTGCTGGCAGCACTGCTGCACCAGCTCCCAAACAAGCAACCCCACCTCCTTCCAAGGCTTCCCCAACTGAAGCGGAGGTCTCCGCTACGAAACCATCCCAGCCGGCAGCCCCACCCGCTGCGCGAGCTACCCCAAGTGGTCCCAAGAGCGGTCGTATTCAACCTGCAATGCCATTAGCTAGTCCTGCAGTATCTAAGGCTCCATTGCAAAACACCACTGCCCCAGCCGTGCCAAAACAAAGCGACGCTGCCGCAAGTTTGAGAGATGCCACACAAGCTGCGACTGCCGCCGTTGCTGCTGCAATGGCGAAACTCCCTCCAGTCGGAGGTCAACAAACCAATGGAAGCGCAGTTGACAACCTAACAAGAAAGGTCAACGAAATGCGAACAACCGATCCTGTTCGCGCTCCTAGACAACCAGGTAACAATGGATTTGCGGCAAGAGGTAGAGGTCGAGGTGGCCGAGCTTCTGGTCCAGCTAAAGTTGATGTTCCGGAGGCCGATTTCGATTTCGAAACTGCAAACGCAAAATTCAACAAACAAGATTTGGTCAAGGAGGCTATTGCTGGATCTCCGCTTGGGGAGCAGCCTCCAAATACTTCAACCGCGCCCGAAGCTGAGAAGGAAGAGACAGCACCTAAGGCATACAACAAAGCCACATCATTCTTTGACAACATCTCGAGCGAGGCAAAGGATCGTACAGAAGCTGCCGGTAACAGACCTGGTGGACGTGAGTGGCGAGGTGAAGAACAAAAGAAGAATGTCGAGACCTTTGGACAAGGAAGTGTTGATAATGGTGGTTATCGCGGAGGATATCGCGGCCGAGGCCGTGGCCGTGGGGGCTACAGAGGAAGAGGTGGTTATGGCGGTAACGGACAACCTACACGTGGCCGAGGTGGTGGTTATCGAGGTCGTGGTGATGCCCAGACTCTGGTACAATAAATCATACCGAGTTAACTGTCGAAATATGCTGGGTCAGGATAAGTACTCTTTGCTCTGTATCAAAATATTTGCGACAAATTTCTGTGTTTCAGATCAGAACAGCGATGGAGAGTGCAATCTTAAGGTAAGAAGGTCTCAGAGAGAGCCTCCCTTACTAGGTTGTGGAGAGTGAGGATTTCTTTGCGCGCATTCACGGTAGTTTTCTTTAAATCTAAACATGCATCACCAGGAAGGTCCCGTGAGCGAGGCCATGACTCACTGGAAATTCGTTGGTTTGGGTGGAGCTGGAGCTTGAAGCGACTTTACTCCGAATGAATGGAGCAGGGGGTTTTTTATTGACAGAGACAAGAAGGTCTCCTTTGATATCAGAGACATGTACTGCGGAGAGTTCCACTAGGTGTCAACGATGAGACGAAATAAAGGGTTAGCTGAAGGGAGTTGATATTGCTTGAGTGAAGATTGTCATTCGTCCTCCTTTCGAAGATACTAGGGGCATTTCCAATGCGGAAAGATATTCCAGAGAAATCAGATGAATATGAACAAATGAACAAGAAAATGTGGACATGGGTTTGACGGCCAATGGAAGGTGCATAACTAAGTATTTCAGTTTAACACCCTTCGGAAATATAAAATAACTATCAAACCAATACGGATTTCTATGTTATGATTTCATGAAGTGTGCAAATTGGACTTTGGTTGATCAGTTAAAGAGGTGTATTTATTCTCTTAACTTTGCCATGCGAACCTATCAATTCCTACCGCCAATAGTGATATATGCATTCCCAACACCCAGTCATGTAGTGTAGTCGGTCATTTATCCAGTCGTGAAGTTACTCATTCATTTATTGTACATATATATGTATAACCTCATATTCTCATGTATTCATCATCTCATCTCATCTCAAGAAGAACAACTACACTGCATAGCCCTACCCGGCCTTGGAACATCTCCACACCACCTCTCCTCTTCCTCTTGATCCCCATCCCAACTCTCTCTAAAAGGATCACTCACCATCTTCATGACTCTATTCAAAACATCTCTCTCGCCCCCCTTCTCAACCCTCTTGATAATCTCATCCAATACCCATCCTTTAGGTATAAATTTTGGATTTACTTTCTTCATTTCCAGCATGCGATTTTCATCATCCCCATCTGGGCCCCAATCTTCGTATATTCTCGCTTGCCAATTATCGAGCCAGTTGCTCAGACGAGTGGTGGCTGATTGGAGGGTATTGTTTAGACCGGTTACGCCTTCATGGTGGAAGAATTTGGTAGAGATTTCCTTTCGCGAGGTGCTGGTGGCGAGGGAGGAAATAGGGATGGAGGAGAGTTTACGGAAAAATTGGTTGAAATCTAATTCTAGACTTTCCATTGTATCGAGGAGTTCACTGAATAAGGTTTCAAAATCTGATTCTTTGAAGGTTTTAAGTCCAAGACGCGCTGTCATGAGACGCTTGTATTCCGCTAGGAAAGTGGCTCTGTATTCTTCGCCAATGCGGGTAATGAGGGCTTCTGCACGAGCGACAAGTTCGTCGGCGGCTTCCTGGCGGACACCTTTTTCGATAAATTCTTCGGCATCAACATCACCACCGGCTCCCATGAGCTCACCGAGGGATTCTCCGAGACGGACCAAATTCCACCAGATTATGGTTGGTTGATTGCGGTAGGAGTATCGTAGCATATAGTCATCATGGTTGGGTGTGTAGTTGGGATCGAAGTTGTCGAGGAACGCAAATGGTCCAAAGTCTATGGATAAGCCAAAGATGGATGTATTGTCCGTATTGAGTACACCATTTGTGAAGGCATATGCTTGCCATGCTGCAACCGTCTTTGCATTGCGTCGCACAATTTCTCGATATAGACGAGTAAATCGGTTTTCTTCAAGACCTGTAGGACCTTCAATTGTGAATTTAGAAATTCCTCTTTCGATGGTTTGCACTTTTCCATCATCTGCGGGATTCCTCGCTGGTAGTGACTCCCAGCCCTGAAATACATTCTCCGCGATATATGTACTAAGCTGCCTGATCAAGGCCCTATCCCCACGAGCTCGTAGTATATCAAATGTTCCAATGCGTAACCAAGACTCGGCAAATCTTGCCACAATCGCCCCAGGTTCTATTGCTTCTCTTCTAACCTTCGAATGGGGTAAAAGGGTCAAAGATAGCGCTCTAGTAGTAGGTATCTTTAACCCATTTAAAGCCTCAGATACAATGAATTCCCTTATACTTGATCTCAACACGGCCTTCCCATCCGCAAATCGCGAATATGGCGTTATTCCCGCACCCTTCAATTGTAACTCGTATCGGACATTGGTAGTTGAATTCGTGGTCTCAAATAGAGATATGGCTCGTCCATCACCAAGTTGACCAGCCCAAGATCCGAATTGCCACCCACCATAACATTGTGCCCATGTATATCCACCCTCTAGTTTCTCTTCATCCCAACCCCATAATTTGTTGCCAGCAACGGTTTGTTTGAATTCCTCTGTTGATTCCTCTCCCTCCTTAATTCCCAAGTCTTTCATCGCAGTAGGACTTACAGCGAGAAGTTCCGGATCTATCGCATTTTCAGGTCGAACCCATGTAAATAATGCCCCTTTGACCTGCCGAGGTCCAATTTCAGCGCGGGGTGTTTTGTGCGATGCGGCAGGTGTTGGGAAGAGAGGATCGGGAGGAAGTGACGAGGTAAATGTCCATGATTTGGGAAGATCTGCTAGAGATGTGCTGGCATAGGAAGAGGCCTTTGGGGCATTATTTTGAGTGATGTGAGATGCCATCTGAGCTATACGCATGCGTGGTATTGAGGTTAGTCGTGAGAGCATCGACAAATGTATTAATGATACGGGTCAAATGGAAGCTAAATAATATAAAATATGTGAGACCTGTCAATAAATGGCATGGCGTGGGATAAAATTGTGAATTTTATATTGGTCTTTCCAAGTAACCTTAGTAAGAACTGGTGAACGAGGGGGGCAAACGCAAATGCCGATGCAAATGTCGTCAGGCTTGTTAGGATGTTGAATGGTGATTACCTATCCCTGTATTCTGTAGCTTCCTCAACAACTCCCCCTGTAACTAGCTTGGTAAGCTATCTCAAACACTATAAATATAGTGAAGGCGGGGTTAATACTATGAGATCATCATTGCTAAAGTAAATTACCTAGGTACACCAGTACAAAATGAAGAAATACCTCTTTAGTGGTCTCATTCGCCGAAGATACTGATGACGCCTTTTCCTCCTTCATTTTCTTCATTTCATTATTTTTCATGAGTACAATATTCTCTTCCGTTGTCAAAGTATCCTTTCGTCCTCTCATAAAAAATACCTACAATATCTACTTTTCTCCTATTTCTGCTCGTCGCATCATGAATTCTGCAACTTCGGCATATCAAAGCTCTTTCGGAGCTGAAGGCAATTCAGGTATTGCTCCAAAGCAAATGGCTCAGTTACAAAAGCTCAAATTGAATGATGGGAATGAAATTCCAATGCTCGGATTCGGCCTTGGAACTGCTCATTATAAACCCAATTCCGATGGAACTGTCGATAAGAGGATTGTGCAGACGGCTCTTATGGCCATTAATGCTGACTACTATCATTTGGATGGAGCTCAAGGTAATTCCAATCATCCATGTGGTCGAAGAATTTCTATTTGTAACACATTCTTCCAGTATATGGCAATGAGACGGAAATGGGCATGGCAATCAAAGAATCCGGTGTTCTGCGGGAGAAATTCTTCATCACTACGAAAATCACTGGTACCCAAGTAGTCGACACTCAAGCTGCCTTTGAAGAATCTCTGAAGAAGCTCCAGCTTGAATATGTCGATCTGTACTTGATTCACGCTCCATTTTTCGCCAATACTCCTCAAGAACTACAGAGTAAATGGGCGGATATGGAAGCTATTCATGCATCTGGAAAAGCCAAGTCTATTGGCGTGTCTAACTTTCTACAAAGGGATCTGGAAGTGATTTTGGAAACAGCTAAGATTGTTCCTTCCATCAACCAGATTGAATATCATCCTTACCTTCAACACGTATCCCTGATTCCTTATCACCGCGAAAAGAATATAGCAATAGCCGCCTACTCTCCTTTGACGGCGGCCGTCAAAGCTTCTCCAGGACCGTTAGATAGTACTTACGCCGACCTAGCTAGAAAATATGGTGTAACTCCTGGAGAGATAGCTCTGAGATGGATTATTGATCAAGGAATGGTAGCATTGACTACGAGTGGAAATGAGCAGAGATTGAGAGCCTATCAGAAGATTAGTCAGTTTAAGCTAACACCAAAGGAGGTGGAGGAGATTGCTAGAATTGGTAACGAGAAGCATTATAGGGGTTTTTGGAAGAATAAGTTCGCGCCGGATGATAGGTCATAGATATATTTGATGCTGGGGGGATTTAAAAAGCATTGATTGAAGAAGCCGTGGCAAGAATGTATCAAATCAGTAAAGCTATTCACGGGTTGCTTTCGTGGTTTTGACGATGCAAATAGAACTTACAGTATATTATCTCAATAAACTGTCCAGACCTGCTCAGTAGCTGTGTCTCGTCTTTTGATACCTAGTATGTTTCCGAAATGTCAAACAGATCATATATAACCTAAATCAGTAACATAAATCTTAGTGGAATTAGTTCTGAACGCACTGAGAGGATGAATATCCTATACTAGGGCAAAAACTGAGGAAGTACCTGTATAAAATGCACAGTCCCAACTCAGTTCTAACCAGTGAATTACACACGGGTTACAATAGAGGTTTAAGAATAGGCTTTTAGTTTCTACTACCAGTTCTGTACCTGAGCTATTGAGAGAAGTATAGAAATTATGCTTAGTCATCCACTTTCGCTAGTACTGCGCTAGCTCTAGTTTTTCAACGCATCTATTTGCTGCTGTCATGGGATGTCCGTCCGTATACAACAAAATTTGTAATCAAACCTATGTTCCTATGTTCTTTTGAGAACTATCAAGCATCAAAATAGCACTACTTCCAAGAAGATAAAATCTACCATCTCCAAATCCACAATGCTAGACCGATATCTCTCACGGGAAAACAGACGCGACCAGAACAGATCTCCAGATGACAAGAAAATCTATTCTCGCAAATTTGACCTCCATCAGTATTTTTCCCCAGCAAGCAGAAATACAAAAAAATTCATCTATTATGATAAATTGAAAGGAATATCCATGATTCATGACGCCACAACCATATCCGGAGACCCGAAGACTTTGGTTGTTGCCGTACAGGGAGCTTGTCCGCATGACGGGAGTGATTTGGCGACGGAATCTTCTTTGGGTATTTTTTTTGGAGAGGACTCTTCATTTAATTTGTGTGATAGGATTGAGAGACCGGGAGGGGAGCTTCATACTAGCGATTTTGCGGAGCTTATGGCGGTTTTTCGTGCTTTGGAGCTTATTAATGAGAGTTCATTTTTTGAAACTTGGAGAGCTGATGCTGAGAATGGTCCGGCTTTCACAGTTATAATCATGACGGACTCGATATATGTGTACGAGTGTCTCACAGTATTGATTTGGCAGTGGCGCCAAAATAATTTCAAAGACCTCGATGCAATGGGTAAACCGGTGGTGAATGGCGAGTTGATAGATAGGATTGATAAGAATATTTTCGATCTCGCGGAGCGGAATATTTGTGTTCGCTTTTGGAGCGTTCCATCAGAGGATAATGTGGAGGCTGTAGAGTTGGCAAATCGGGCTTTGATACCTGGATGTTGAGATGTTGAGTCGTCAATCAAATGCTACACCGTCTATACACACGCGATTACTTTGAAATAGAAAGGGATGTGTTGGCATGATTTGGATTTGATCATTTCAAGTGTGAAATTACGCACCTTTGATTGACTTCGTTCAATCTTTGGTACTGGCCGGACAGAACAGCAGAGAGGCTTTCGGAATGTTTCTGTCTCCAAATTATTATTACGAATATTTCCATATGGCATGGGACCTTCCTCACAGATCCCTTTAAATTCATCTCGTCCCTGAAAATAAGGCTAGTTTTCAAGTATTCAACGAATGGCAACCCATATATACATACAGCCATACACAGATTTGAACGCAGTCGCGCAGCAGATACGACAGCGAAGAGTACATTCTCTCTTAGAATATTAAAAGATATAATTTATTCAGATGATAAGGAGACGGTCAATTTGCTTTTTAGCGCCATGGTATAGAGAGCATAAAGAAGTCCATAAGTGGCAATAATAATAAGTCGTCGTGCTTCCAAATTGGATATGTCGGTATAAATCAATTCTAATAGCATACTGCAGGGGGAATAGAAGGGCGAGTTAGAGAGCCTATATTATGAAAATTACAAATAATAGAATTAATGGATTGAAGATCAACATTATACAATAATATACAAAAAAGATATATAGGAAACTATTATTGTCTCAAAGAAGATAGTAATTAGGAACCCTTCTCTTTTCACATATATATCCATCTCCAAACGTAAAAATCATCATATCATTACAGCGTATTATCATAATTAAACAATAAACCACTCTCATACCACCAAAAGTTAAAGGTATTGTAAGATTACACTTAACCTTATACCATTTAGAATCTAACCTAAAATAATGAGAATCTATCTATCCCCCGTCATCAATTCTATTAATTTCCTATAAATTCTTCCCTTCCACCCTTTAAACCCTCTTACCTCTCCACCATTCCATTTTTGTATTATAAATTCTACCTTTTCCCTACTATAGATTATAAATTGCATAAGAGTAAATTCAAGCTGATCTTCGTGGTACGAGAGTTGTTAATTCCGGTTTTGGTGGTATGAAAGTATTTTGATGTAGCATAAATTAACTATCTACATTCTACCTATCAATCCGAAACCAATCTATCTCAAAGTATCTTGTGAAATCTTATAAACGGATATATACATATATTTATATATATTCAATACAACTAAAGACATCGGATGGTTCACCATCAGCTATATATCATATTTACCCTTATATTGACTTCCTCCTCATCATCTAGCAACACTCTGAACAATCCAGGTGAGTAGAATAAGTAAATCTGAGCTAATAAACTACAAAGTATGACAAATACATCTTTATAATTATTGCTCCTCTTCATCAACAAACGAGATCTAAGATGACTAGATGGATGGGTACTCGCAGTATAGATACTTCGTGTTTAGATTGTAAGACGTAGTTCTAGAGCTGTAAGTGTACTTACTACTTGTATTGAATTGGTTTGATGGTTTCTAGCCGAATTTCCATATCTGGGTTATTTCCGAGCTTTTCGACTATCGAATGGTGGGCTGATGGTATTTATTGTATTGTCTAGTCTAGTCGGTTTGGTTTAGTATTTTTAGAGTAAGGGCAAATTCACCAAAGAGGTAAAAGATGTAACTGATTCTATTAGCAGGGGGAGATGGTGGTGGCTGGAAGGGGAATGAGTACTTGGTATTGAATGGCTTGATTGTGGGAGAGGTGGAGTAGCTGGTATGTTGAAATGTGATTGATGAAATGAAATATACACATTGATTTATTGAGCATAGAGCATAGAGCAGTTCGGTAGATTACGAAATGTGATGGCAGTGGTAGTATGTTGGATGATACTATGGACTTGATAAAGAAGATGCGATAGTTACTAGAAAGTGGAAATATACAAATGGAATTGATAGGTAAGATATAAGTTCAAAATAACTTATCAATGGAGATGAACCCGGTTGAAGTGTCATCACTATGAAAAAGACATTGGAGTTACTACTCTCAAATTTTGGTTAATGACAAAACGCGCTTCTAGTCACCATTCATGAGTTTATGGCGGATACTGCCTCTACCTAAAGAACAAAAAGTTACATCACATGACTTCATGATGAATAGTAACCTTTGCACACCCAGGACTTCCTGTATCATATTCTTATGATTCCCAGGCTTGAAACATATGAAAATAGAGACATCGATGCGGAACTATAGATGTAGATAAAGAAGCGGGATTTGATTGATAATAGTAAATATATCATGGATATGTAAACACCGCCGATGGGCTGGACTACTTTGATCGGTGATAAGGTTTTGAGATTAAATTGAAGATAACCATCCTTCATGTATTAACAACATATCAATATCCTCGCGGCTATATAGCCTGTCACTAAACAGTTATGGAATATCGGTCATATGTATGCACAAAACAAAAATAGCATTGCCATAGAAACAAAAAAAGGCTGGCAATTATGTGCCTTCTCCATATTTTCGCACTCACTAAGCTCTACCACTTCTCCGCACACACCAGATATTGACCATTGTCATTATCGCACCCAGCCCTTCAAAATTTATGACACCAACCAGCCACTGACAAAGTCCAGCCTTTGCCTTATATCACCCGCCACACAATCACCGCCTAGTGACGCCCCTCTTACCAGCAAATTGAAAATGTCGGTGTGATATCCACACTCTTGTGGTGCATAGCTCCCGTGCAGGTCTAGGTATTCACGACCCCACCTGTGCATGCAGCACGCACAATTACACCCCACCCCACCGTGATTTCATCAATCCCGCGTGAGATTGTGGTTGTCAGGGATACGCACGAGTCACTGTGGAGCTTTAACTTTGGATAACCGAATTGTATGAAGTGGATGAGTAGGGTTTGAAGATTTGAATTCGTGATAATGATTTGCATATAATATGCGCCTCCGAGAGGTCATGTTATTGAGGGCCCAATCAGATAGGTGTAGCACATGATATCAACGAGACAGTTTAAGATATTCCTTTGACTTGATTCGTAGTCCTTTGTAGGAGAACCGGTACCGAAATAGAACATGGGATCATAACTCATCGTCCGAGCCCGATTCGGTCTCAGATCCATCATTTGCAGGCTTGGACGCAGGTACCGGCGCTGACTTCTTTGCGAACGGTAATTCTGTTTTGGCTGATAGTTCTGCGATTTTTTTTGTTTCTGTTGGTTTCGGTGCTGTTTGCATTTCCTCGTCAGATTCGTTTTGAACAACATATTTACTCACGGAATGGTGAGACTTTGGGTGCGGCGCCTCCTCATCTTCCGTATCAGTTTCCTCATCCGATTGATCAGGGGTTTGGATTTCTGGTTGGCCTGATTCGTCCGCTGTATCATTCTCATCTTGACCTTGGTCGACGTCCATCTTTTCGAATGCATCATCAGAATCTGAGCTCTCAAGCTGTACTTCTTTTCCAGCTTTGCGCTTTCCACTTCTCAACGCGCCCTCGGTTCGAGGCTTCCCAGATCTTTTATTTTGCAATGCCTCGACCTTTTCTGGATCGACTTTGGCGCCCGCTAATAATCTTTGTTGGTCCCTCACTTTGAGCTTCTTCTCGTTGAACATGAGGCTAAATTTCTCCAAAAGTTGGTTTTCATGGTCAGACTTTTGTTTATTTAATTCCCTGAAATTCTCATTGAGTTTCTTTAATGTTTCCTGTTGTTCGCCGTACTTGATCCGTAACGCTTCCAGTTCATCCTTTGACGAATCTGCCGATTTTGTTGCCAGAGCGCACCAATCGAACAGGCTAATTTCTTCTTCCTCGGTTTCATCTAGTTTGATTGTGCCGAGGCGTTGCTGGTATATATTTAGTACCTAATATGATAAAATTTGCCAACATAATGACCAAGAAGAAACGTACTCTGATCCCTTCAATGACCTTTTGGATCACTAGGGTCACGGCTTTCTTCTCCACTTTAGCATGAATCTCAACCCCTCTTGTCACATTCCCTTCTTCCTTCGGCGGCTCATGTAGTAGGATGGATGACAATATAACAGACCATTCTCCATCGGTACATGGAGAGTTTCTTGCTTTGAGTGTAGATATCTTGCTATGCTTCACTAGACAAAAATAAATGAAGTTAGAGTTAGGTCCCGCAATTAACGCATGAACTCCAAAATCCGGGTTGAAAATCAGGGACCCCCAGCACGGGATGATCAGGGTCGGAGCTTACATGAGACTGCAAATACGAGTTCACCATCGGTCCCAATTAACTTTACATCCAAAGGTCGTGACCCGGCGGATTCGACGTGAAGAAGAAAAACTTCATCTGGATTTGCAGCGCTGGATGTGATGCGAAGAACTGCTGGTAGATGCTTCGCTGCCATGATGATTTCCCTGGCGTTGATTAAAATGTGGTTTAATGACGTCTTGGTAGGTAACGAGACAAGAAAATAAATCCAATGGGTTAATAAGTGAAAAGAAAGACAAAAAAGAAGATCAACACATTCATTTGTGAAATCCAAGATCCAAGCGATGAATAGAATGAAAGACAAGCATTGAAAGGTAGATGGTCGGTTTGGGGTTGAATGTTGTGATGAAATAATCAATTTATTTACTTTTGCGAGATTATGTTATTAGTAAGGGGATAGAAGATCTTATCAGGCAACGAAGAGTGATAAGTAGTGAGGAACCTTTTCCTTTTCCTTCTTTACTCACTTCAGCTGCCTGGAGGGTCCAACTTTTTATTTCATGGCGAATCAAAAAGAGTTTTTTGTTGATACTCATTGTACGCACGCCATCCATCCCATCCATCCATACATACATACATACATACATACATACATACATAGGTACATAAACACAGTACAGTCAAATAATGTCATCTGATAGGTCCAATATATCCAACAAAACAAAAGACCAAGATAGCCACCTGCAGTTAAGATCTTACCTCACTAGCACTCCTACCTACTCTGTCTGTACTCCCTAGTAACCACAGGTACGAGGTACGCGACGCGTTTAATTTCGAAATTTGAATTTTCGTCTAATTCAATCAATCATTCTTTCTCATTCCCCATCAAATTCGTGGCTGGTCAATTTTTGATGTGGTGGTCAAGGCAAACTAGCCAGCCACGGAGCTTCAAATCATCCATCCTACTTTCCTACTCATCCACTCATCCCCAGTGAACACAGCGGAGATCGAAATTTTCAACCCACTTCAATCTTTTAATACCCACCCGCCAGGAGTACGACTATCAAGAGATTCATCTCCATCTCCATTTCCAACAACAACAACAACAATTCCTTTGGTAGAGTGAGTACCTGCCCTCAAAGGCCGCTGGACGGTTGGATACCAGCAAAGGTGGGAAGAAAAACATCAATACAATACGATAGATAAACAATCCAGATCAATGCAATTCAATTCAATTCAATTCAATTCAATTCGATCAATTGAAATGATTTGATTTGATTTATTTTCAACTCACCAAACTCAATTCACGCTTGCTCTTAAATCGAAGCACCGAGCACACCTAGCACCACAAATTCGAAACCACGAAATCACCATTGCGACCACGATTGCACTGATTCACTCACTCGTACATCCTAGGAATAACGGTTCGATCCAACGCGAAACAAAAACAAAACAAATTACACTTGCAGTTCCTGTTGCGGATACAATTTCAATACAACAACAATAAAATACACAAAGTGACGAGTTTTTTTACGATATGAATTTACGACAGTGCCATTCCAGCGGTTGAGCCTATTGTCAATAATTCTACTCATATTTTCCATCGCATCTGAGAAGGCACATATTTTCGCAATATCGCAACCTCCGCTTCTCTGCGACACACAAATTGTGATCCGAAATGGATCAATTGGTATTAAAACCTCGGAAACCTGTGGAGGACGACGTGGAAAATTGGGACGATGACGATCTCGACATTGGGGGCGATGATTTCACATTTCGAAGTGCTTCGGCAGCAACCACTGCGACAATGGTTTCGACACGCAGAGAATCCGTTTCTTCACGTCTATCCATAAGATCGGACTTTAATGAAGAACGACAAGTACACTTGCCGGAAGACGATGAACGAGCCACGAACGATGCGATCGCGACGGCGAAAAAGGCTGGCATACCTTTGCCGGAGAACGTACCTTCCTCAGCGTTACTGGGGGGAACAATAAAGAGGCTTGGTGGAAGAAAACTAAGAAAAGTTATTTCAGATGATTGGGATGACGGGGATATCCAGGTACCGCCTGGAGAAGCCCTGAAGATCAAGCGACAAGATGGATCCAAATTTCCGGAGACGCTCCGTCAAGTGAGCGGCCCAGGATCCCTGAGCCCACAGAAAACATTGATGGCTGCTCCGGTATTCCATACTAACCACAGGCCTGAATTAAAAACAAAGACTGCATCATCAAACATGCTTGATCGCTATCGAGATGAAGACGATGATTTCCTTGCAGATGGAGAGGCGACCATAAAAGTTTCCAAGAAACGCAACGCTGTGTCTATTATGCCATCCGTCACATCACCAACGCCAGAGAAACGTACAGAAAATGAAGAAGATTTCGAACAAGATTTGCAGCTCCCTTCAGATGGAGCTTTGAAGCTCACTACTCGTAAAGATATCCCGAAGACCCCTCAGAGTATCCAGGATGATTTTGACGATTGGGGTGAAGGTAGTTTAGGTACTCGATTTGGCGGAACGAAAAGAGATGGCCGATCCAACAGGAACTCAGATTCATTTGCTATGAGCCCCAGTATTGCTAGTTCCATGACTGCTGAAAGCGAAGATGAGGGTCTTGAAGGCTTAGTGTTACCAAGTGGCCCTCTCAATTTCGATGATATTCTCAAGAAGCGTCAACAGAACGATTGGCCCGAACGCCAAGTAGAGGTAAAGCAACCAAGAAGAAGTTTGGGTGGAAAGGATGACTTCTTGACTGGGCTTGAGCTCGGCGACGGGGACGTCTTTGATTCGAAGAAGCTCACATTAAATCGTAACATAAAGGTCAAAGCCACTAAACAACAAAGCCCAACTAGACCCAAGCCATCTGTTTCATTAACCTTTACGAACAAACCTGCGCCGCCTTCTACCTCCCGACTCCCTCGGCCACTTGGACATGAACGTATTCCATCATCCCTTGAACCTGTCTCGGAGAGTGGTGGACCAATACCAAGTCGAAATCGTAGATCACAATCTAGAATGGGTCATTCAACTCAATCTTCAATCAATGGCATTGGAATATCAAACGCGACATCTTCCAACCACCCAATACCTCCATCAACTCCCAGGCGTCGTGAACTAGGCTCAAAATCATCCGCCTCAAATTTACGCAATGAACCCACCACGACCAGTTCGCAGCTCTTGAAGCTTAAGCGATCAATGCCAACCATGAAAACTTATCAGCCATCGCCAGCCAAGCCAATGCCTACACGATACGAGAGACCACCGTCTCAGACCGAAAGTAGCAATAGGCCACTGTCAATGTCTCGGTCCAAGGATCCTATCGAAAGAGATCGATCGGGAGCTGAGTCCAGCATGTCCTTTGTCAGGAAGAATCCTGTTCCATTTTTACCTGCTGGTGCTCCAGTCTCTCAATCACACCATGTTGCTGCCAAATCATCCCGGCATCTTCGCCGTAACGATTCTGAATCCTCAACTAACAGTGCTGATTTTCGTCCTCCATCGAGAACATTTTCAAGGCAAACAATGCGATCGCCAAGTCCGCGCAGAACTCTTAAGGGTGCTGACATGCTTGCTCGTGAGGCTACTTTGAAGCGGCAAATCACAAAACCTATTCGACGGAGACATTTTGGTGATGGTTGTGAACTTGACGCTTTTGATGATCTACCTACGTCGCGAGATGTGGAGCAAAAGTATGTCAAAGAACCAATTGGCCGTGGTCCGCCGAGGCAGCTTACACTTCGCAATAAAGCTCATCAACACATTATGCCCACACGAAATGCGTCGCCTATACCTTTGACACCATTGACACCAGCGAAAAGTAGGACTGAACTACCGCGCTTTGCTCGCGATACTGCTGCAAGTCGTATGGCTCGAGAAGCGACGTCATCTAATCGCTCGGTCTCTGGGTCTGGAGCTCCTCTTGCTGCGCTTACAAACCAATGGAGGGCTAAGGTTGCAGCTACCACCGGACTTAGTCCTGTTCATGCACAAGGTTCCGTTAGATCTAAAAAGCACAAGGTGCCTCAAAAGCCACAACTTATTAAGCCATTGGGAAATGTTAATAACCCTAGATGTGTGTACTACCCCGATCTTTTTTTTTTCTGCCCAGAGCTAACCTTTTTGCGTAGCTGTGAAAGGGATGAAATATGACCCCATTAATTATCGATGGGAAGGTAATGAGATTGAAGTATCTGCCTTTGACATGCCGGCTTCCGCTACCTCGACAGCTTCGATACCTGTCCAAACACCACGAGCAGCACCGCCACAAGTGTATCGAGAGAAGGAATGCTCGACACCTCGTCCTGCGCTCATAACCAACATCAATTCTGCCCAAAATGTCCAAGTTGTTGGTGGCATGGTGTTTGATCCACAGCGTATGTGCTGGCTTAAGATGCCTGGTGATAGCAAAAGAGCAAAGAGCGATTCTGGCGATACTATGGATGGTTTTGATGCACTTGATGAGGAGGAGGATGTTTTCAAGGATGTTCCTGATCTCGAAGAAAGGTCCCTCCAAAGAATCGGATGAAATTTCTGGTTCAAAGGGTGAAGGTGCCCAGTGGTCTCAGCGACTGGCTTGTTGGCGAAGAGTTTGACGTGGGCCCAGAGTTCGTCAAGCGACAGAGAGAGGAGGAGGAGCGCTGGAGAAGGAAATGTGAGAAATGGACTGGGGCTGCACGCGACACGGAGGGAAACTCCTGGAGATGGAGTATCCGAGACGTAGTCAACGAATTATGAGTATACGACGGGAACACATCGGGCATGAGGGCATGCATTGTACATTCTTTGGGATGGTACCTTATCGGATAGAAAAAGATAGGAAACATGATGAGGGGGTCGGATGGATCTTGGTTTGTACTAGAGATGATGGTTGGTGGGTTTTAACGACGCTATTTGCATAATGCTTTTCTCTTTTTTGGAATTTTTGGGCGACACAACATTAGGGCGTATATCTGGGCAAAAGAATATCCTTGGTTGGGACGGGAAGGTTTTTTATTTGTGTGGATGGATTGGGATGCCATACCCTTACGACGAGACAATGAAAGGAACGAACAAAAGCTTAATAGAGCTACGAAGGTTATGACTGTTATGATCGGGTTTTTATACTTGACTATGTATTTTCTTGTATTTTACTCCTATCATTCGGTTTTTAGGGTTTCCTTCTAAGGGTTCGTGAGAAGAATAATATTATGGATATGGATATTGTTATTGTTATTTGGGTTGGAGATTGGAGATTGGAGATTTATATATCACGAATTAAAAGGAGTTTAGTTTTTCTTATAAGTCTTACATATATGCTGAGTGCTTTGGAAACTTTATTGGGTACAGACAGGTAGATGGAAGCTGGTGAATTATGTATGGATCGGTGCTAGAGTCGAAATAGGAGGTGGTTCTGGTGTATGTCCCCTTCTTTTAACTTTTGCTTGAGATGGAGATTGTATTGCTAGTGCATACATATAGGGTTTTTGTGTGGCTTTTTTTAATTTATTTTTGATGAGTATGTGGGTATGTGTGTATGGAGATGCTGCGATGCTGGGGATGATGATGGTGTTGTTGTGTTAAGAGTTTGTGTTTGTGTTTGTTTTGGTTTATTCGAATAATTTTATATTGATATTTTTGTGTGTGTGTGTGTGTGTATGTATGAGAGAGATAGAGTCTATAATATGTGGACGAACCAAGCGGATGTATTAGTATATACTATATTTTGTGCTTTATTTTTATTTTTTTCTTCCTCTTTTCTGTTTGTATTATTTTCTCATGGTTTTGAAGAGGAGTGAGTATACTGTGTCTGCGTGTGTATATGTGTATATATGTATATATGTGTATATATGTATGTATGTATGTATGTATGTATGTATGTATGTATGTATGTATGTATGTATGTATGTATGTATGTATGTATGTATGTATGTATGTATGTATAAGATGGTATAAGGAGGCTTGTGTAGGGATAGGGGTTTGAATATATACTAGAGAGATACATGAGTTGGGTGTGAGATTATTTGTATACTTGCATGATTAATTTTATTCGTACCTACTTATATTTGGATTTTCTGGAGGGTTCCTGGGGGTGCTAGGGATACTAGGGGAGTGAGTTTCAGCGCCCTTTTTGGAATGGGAGTGTAAGTTCTGCGGGTTTGGCTGAGAAAAGGAGGGTGTTGGGGGGGGGGGGGAGGGGGGGAGGGAGGTGAAGGGAAAAGTGTCTGGAAGGGTTTGCTAGTGAATGTATATCATGGGCTGATTAGTGATGAGTTCATTTATACACATATATATTTGGCCTGTGTAGAAGTGGGGTGATTGGGTGGTTGTAACTTGGAGTATGATCTAGAGTATGATTCTTTGAGGTCTAGTTTGGGATAATAATCTTATGAATCTATCGAATGGTGGCTATAAGTATGACTTGGTATCAAGCATAAGTTGAATTTTCCTGATCTAGCTCGGTATTTTCTTTCTGCAGTGGTAAAAAGCATCGTCTAGGAGGTTGACGAAAAATGGTGATTCATATTTTGATTTGATATATTTGGTATGAGGCATGGATTCGTAGGATTTCACTCGGGTAGTGACTCGAAGTGTGATCCTCAGAGGCATGATTTTGGAAAGAGTGTCAGTAATATTCATTCTGAGTACTACTCTGAAGAGGATCATCTGAATGATGGTCATGGCCAGAAAAGGAGTGATTTAAATATTGATTTGGAATATTGTTTGAATGGGGATTACTCGAATGATGGATTTTGACTCCGAAAATACCTTAGTGCGATGTATATTCAAGGAGACGGTGACTGTAATGGTGAATTTGAGTGTGATTCGAGGAAAATTTGCTTGGGAAATGTGTGAACGAAGTGAATGACTTCAATTCAATTACTACTGTAATAAAGAACTAAGCGAACGCGAAAGAGACTAGCTCTTTTAGTAAGTCTATATAAGACTTACTACTTTCAATATGTAGCTAGCTCTTTAGACAGAATACAATTAGACATACAGGACCTACGTAATCCGTGGGTGCTACGTCTTCCGTATCCTTCTCGTACCAACAGGAAATGAGTCGATTATCGGGTTCTTACTCAGTATATGGCATTATTTTGAGGATAAGTGACTCGAATAGTGATTGAAGAGTCAACTTCACAATGCGGTGTAGGTGTACAAAAGAGAGTGGAAAGTTCTCTCTTGTCGAAGTCCAGCAACTAAACACACTAGCTCGAACGCCCAAGTCAATGTACCCGAAGCTTCATATTTTCGCGTCAAATCAAAAGATATTTATCATAATCATCACGCTTGATCGTCCATTCCTTAGCATTATCGTCTTTCTCACCGTTACCGATCATCATCAACCCTACGTATTCGTTCCTGTAAGCCTCTCCGACCGCACCATCGGTTATCTTTTCTGTTACAGCCATCATCATGACTGAGCCACTTAGACATAGTTATTCTAGTAGGTCCTTACCATACTCTTTTGTAGATTTAGCATACTGATCTATCCCTAGAAGATGTTAACAGTTTACGCATTGCTATGGAATCTTTCACACAACTTGCAAAAGATGATCCGCAAAGACCGCAAGTCTTAACAGACCTCCGGGCCAGAACTGGAGCTTTATCAATCAATCTCCAAAGTGAGATTGACAAATGCAACAATCTCCTTTCAGATCTACCCACATATGTTGATAGAACTCCACATGGAGGTTGGATGGATGCCTTACGTGGAACCCTGACTGAAGAGTGTAGGAAGGAGAAACAAGTTTGCACGTCTCTGGAGTACGATTTGTCTTTTGATTTAGGCTCGACGTGGGTTTGGAGCAACGAAGTTTTAGGGGTAGAACAAGCATAGAGTATAAGCACGATAGTTGGTTGGAGGATCGAAGTTTCACTGGTTGGGCAAGCAAATTAGTATCTTCAATAATGGATTTACATTATTCCTAAAGATGTACCAAATCTACATTGACTACATGTGCAATCTATAATATTAAAACACAACAAGGGTTGAGTTGAAAAGAATAATATTAAAGATTCAGAAAGGTTGTAATATGTTTTGGAGAGTCTGGATCTGGACCATTACTCAGAGGAAAGTGACTGACATATTAAGTTCTGATTAGGGATTTGATATTATTTTGAGGATAAGTGTCTCGAAAAACAATTTTGATTCATTAATAAAATACTTTTGAATACTTTAAGGCTCCTTCAAGGTGCTTCCGAGACGTACAATTAGGTTCCATTCCCCTCGATTTTGGAGTTTAACACTCAAATGAAATCGAATCTCGAAAACGAAAACGAAAAGTTCGAAAACTTCAAGCTGCCTCGTCGAATTAAAGATTTATATCACTTTGTCGTCCACATCTCATCATCTATCTACCTGCGTTATCGATTATAGGATCACTCTATTAATATCGCCAGCTCTACATTCTCGGAAACCTCTTCCTTCAATACCGTCAAATACGGTGTTCGTTACCGGCCATCATCATGCCTCAGCGACCTTTGGAGCCATTTTCCGGTAGGTTCTTACTATAATTTTTGAATTTGGACCATTTTGATACTGCCTTTAGTCGAAGCCGAGAATGCGCGTCTTGAAATGGAAGCTTTTTACACCCGGACCGGCGAAACTATTCAGAACGTTTATTGGTGGGACTTTCGTAAGAAGCTGATGGAAACCCTTCTATCTTTGCTAGGAAGACTTAAAGGGCAATTTCTATTTATCAGGAATGATAAAAAAAATTAGAGCTATTTCTCGCTCAGTCGCTTGATAAGGCAGCACGTCTCGAAGGTCGAATATGTGGTAAAGGGTGTAATAGGTATGATTCTAGGGGAAATGACTGGAATATCAAATTGTGATTCAGTATATATTATGATTTGAGGATGACCTACACGAAAATCTGTCTTAATTCAATGACACAGCGGTTTTTAATTACTTTGAGTCAACTTTGAGGTGTTTTATAGGTGCATAAATAGACAGGAATCCCCTCGGTGGAAGGTTCAGCACGTCGGGAACCAAAAATACCTCTCCAAACTTCAAAGACACTTCTTCAAGCCAAAGACGCCTCAACTTACCTTCTTTCAAACCGAAGTCCATCTCGTTTATTTGCCTATATCCTCCACAAGATCGAAAATAATTAACTTCTACTCCACAATTATCCTTCATCGTCTATCTAGTGCATCAACCTGCATCGAAAATCACCTACTTAAGCATCATTACTACCGCATTCCAACAAATCTGTCCCTCGCTTAATCGCACCGTCAAGTCTCCTCCCTGTTACCGACCATCATGTCGGCCGCTGAATCTTCTGCTGCTGGATCTTCCAGTTTCAACCCTAGATTTACTAAACCTTTCGTTAACAGTGGGAAGAATGAGAAGGAATATCCCGAGCACCCAATGTCCTGTAGGTCATTGACATAATCCTTTATAATGAAAGAATTAACCTGTCATTAGCTCAAATTGATCAAATACGCCAATATCTGGTAAAGTTCGCAGACCTCATGCCCGAAGATCCAAATCGACAGACGGAAAGAGAAGCTTTGAAGGACCGTCTTACGGTATTAAAACTATCCCTTGAAGTAGTAATGAAAGAAAACAATACGCTGTATGATAAGTCCCACGAACAGTTCAAAAGTCGGCAAGTGCCTCAGAGGAGGTGAAAGATCGCATGAAGATTAATATGTCTGAATTCACACGGCAAATGGAGAGGGCGAAAGCTGATGCCAAAGATGTCGATATCTGGCTAGATCAAATTTACACCAACCGAATTCGCGAATATCCGACCTATGAACAACGGGCGCACAAATTTGCTCAGGAAGGAATAGCAAGGATGATGAAGGAGGAAAGTAGCCAATGGGATGTTAAAGAGTGATATCATATTGGCGGAAGAGCTTTAGCGGGGCTTTCAGCGCGCAGCGGATAGCGTGACTTTTCGCATGGGATTTTGGTGTGCTACAGAGCATTAGTGGAGGAATTTACTGCTTAGAAAAACGTTTGACTTTTTACATAGCTAGCAGAGCTTCTTCAATGGAACTTATCCTAGTTTCGCTGCCAATAAAACGTTTATGCTATTTTCGCGATAATATATCTTCCAAACTTTGAGAACACTGGTGATGTGGTTAATCCTGAGAGAACCCGGTCGTAAGCGAAAGTGAATTAATCAGCCCACTATAGCTAGGCGTATTGAAGTTTTTGATACGCACTGGAGAACGTAATACTGAATACCATACCGCTAGCAATAATAAGTGTCATATGAAATACCACATACCACTAACCATGAAAAGAGATAAATCGTTGGAATGTTGTTGATATTGCTTCAGTACTATCCATTTTGGAAGGAATTCATTGAATTCCAGTAATTTCATGTGTGGTCGATGGTATATGATATTTTATATGCATACTATAGTATAAAATGTCACAATTTAGACGTTCTCTGATGATATCAACCAATTTAATATCGACCAGTTACTCCCATCACTGGTCCCAACGAAAAGTGATTGCATTCGAGTCAAAATCTGGTTTATAATTCTTAATAGGATTTTGTATCCATGAATGATGGTTTATAGATACAAGGAAAATGCATCATCAAGCTGGCTTGACCCCAAAATGAAAGTTTGGTATCCAATTGAGACGCACGAAGTAAAATGACTGAGATCTCATTTGAAAAGATTTCCTCGGTTGGGGAAGAATCTTATCAAGGCACAAACAACTCTTTCTTAAACCAACAACCCGGAATAATGATATTTCCGCGTTATTTTAAAGATATGTCTCTTTTTCAATTACATACATCCCTGATGGGGTAAGAGGTGATATTGTGTAGATTAAAGAGCCTAATCGGAAGATTTCATCATAAAACAAAACGCCTGGCTATGCATCATTAGCCGAGCTTCTACATAGAATGCATTCTAGCTTTACCCTAATGCCTGCACATGTGTATACGCCATATTGTGATAATAACCACTGAAAACTATGCAAACCTAAATTTTAGTAAGTCGGCCGTCGAAGAGCGCCGAGGCAAAGCGACTCAACTTGGTCGGTTCAGCCTTCCACCACCTAATTATGAAAGAACCACACTTGTAGCTTGGTGACTAATCAAGAGTAGATACTGCTAATAAGAAGCAATCTGAGAAGATCATAGAAAAGAGAGCTAAAGTATCTGTATTTATTTTATTAATTAATTAATAAGAAATAGTCCCTGTCGAGTCCTAAGTTTTTAGAGAATATAATTACATGTAACCGTGCCGTCTTGCAACTGGACTGGAATTTTGACCGCTCCCCTTTTAATTGTCGCTTGCTATTCAGTATTCAAAACTCTCGCTGATCTTTTGTCGACGAAAATGTTTCGTACTGTTGGTTTCGTGGATTGGTATCGGAACGCTGGCTTCATTTAAGGGGCATCTTCCATTATAGCTGCAGAAAAAGCAGGAATGGGTATTTAATCTCATTTGTTAAATATCGGAGCTCGCATCGAAGATGGAAAGAAACAAAGTCGTTAAAATAATGTGTCAATTCTATGGCGATAGTAGTCCTGTGGAGTAATGATGATATTCAGGGCGTCCAAATTAATTGTTCTCATCATGACCGAATGTTGATCGGGCTTTAGATATGAGCTCCAATAACGACGTGAGACGTTCCCCATCGGAGAATATATGGTTGCTGATGCACCACTTCTGTAACTTGACTGCCTCATCTGAATCGACAGGTCTTGGGTATCCGCCGGCAAAACCATATTCAAATGTGCTCGTCCTAGGTTCCCAAGCAGGGCCATCGGGATAGGAACAGTGACCAGGCTTATACATCATAAGGTAGAAGACTGTGCGGCTCAGCTCCCAGTACATAATACAATGATGATCAATATGGTGCTCTGGTCCGAACAGGGTCGTGAAGTTCTCTGCGCGATCTCTTCCAGCCATTACCATATACATAATAATCTCACCCAGGTGCATCTCCATACAATTCTTTTGCAGAGAGAGCAAGCCGACTTCAGTGAAGAATTTCATCACTCGTGGGTCGCTCGTGCGAATACAGTCTCGGAAGTATCGAAGGCTTGGCGAAGCAATGTCTTGTTCCTCGGGAAGTCTAAGTTGCATTTGAAGTGCTCGCTTAGCCAGGCCATGTGCATCTTTATTTTGCTTCCTGCCAACACGCCATAGTCGAATATCAACATTGTCTTGAAGCAGCTCAAATATTTGTTGGATACGTAAAATGAGATCTTTGTTGGCAACCGGCTTTCCTTCAACAGTCTTAAACCCGTTTTTCGACCAGACCTGAATCCACATGGTAAGGCAGTTTTCAACGAACTCTGAATCAACAATTATAATCACCATTACTTTTCTAGCCCTGTTCTTGACTCTCTTAGCTCTCTCAATGATCCATTTGCGCAGGGTGATATGATGTGTGACAAGTTCAAGTGCGTGAAGAACCGATGTTAACTCGGCATAATTGTTGGTGTGCCTTTCTCCTGGAGGCCTTGCAATCAAATCACATGTGTTAAGTGGTGAATCCGGTCCGAAGAATACGCCAAAAGATGATTTTGTTGCCAGAGAGGTTCCATTATGTGGACAGGCTCCATCAGCAGCGATAACCAATGCTTTTAGGAAAGATCGTCTAGACTTTTTAGATGAATGGGCCTCATCAAATTCCAAGTAAGAGGTTCCAGTAGCTCTGTCATACTTAACAGCTTTGCTCACTGTGGCATCGCAAAAATATTGATGTGGCCGAAATTTCCGAGCCAGAGCTTGGATTTCTAAGTTGTTAGAGGCTTTCGATTGACTTTGCTCCAACCATCTAAATTCATTCATCTGTTTCTGAGCTTGTAGCTTTACCTCTGGACATGGTGCTAATGCCGCTGTTTTCTTAGGTTTCGAAAAATGTATATTTTTCATCGTTGATACTTGGTGATTTAGGAAAGAAAGTGTCGCGAAATTTGCGGCTCTCTGTCCTGCTTTCCACATCCTTCTAACTTAAGGCTTCGCTGGCTTGACTTCCTTTCAAAGATTGTCTTATTTCTTTGTTGAAGGGATTGCAATTATGGATATCATTTCAAATAGATAAATATTATTGAAAGAATCTGAAAAGAGGTCGAATGCATCGAGTAGAAGTCTGATGACTAGCTCACTACTAGCGCAGAATATTCATGTTTCTACCGCTTGTATAGAAAAACAGTTCATTCTTTTCTTTGGATTTTCACAGAAAGCGAGATTCCCGCGTTTAGCTCTATTCTCCCATGGTTCAAGATTCGGGCTAACACTTGAGAGGCTCTCCTCATTGTTTCACAATACTAGTAGTATTGCATTGATAGCTGCAGGCTTCCAGGTAAAGTTCCTGATACAGACCTCCCTGCATAAGATTCTGTTTCCAGCTCAGTGAAAGGAGATTTCTTGCTTGGTAGAATCTGTCTCAGATTTAAGTTCCATTCCACAACTTCATCTGATGGCATAAAAATTCTCTGACGACGATTGAGATTGTTCCTGTTCCCCACCAAAAAGAAGCTATGCATGCATAGGTAGCTGCGCTTATTTTCCCGAATGAAACCGTGTAAACTTTTTGAAATTTGACTTGCTTGATCAGACGACTTGTTGTGGCCACTCCATTTGATTTTCAGAGGTCAGATTCTATATGCTAAAGACAAAAGAATATGAATCTATGTGTAAGCATTTAGTATTCATCCGCTGGTCTCAGAGGCTGCTGCTAAAAAACAATGATTTATATGTTAGCCCAAATCCGAAGATTCCCGATCATCATCTCGAAATTTCAAGAGCTGCAATATGAGGGGTGTCAGGAGTATCAGGAGCTTTGAAAAAAATGAAAATCTTCCAGGCGTCAATTTTCAAATGAGTCACGCCTAATACTCCCAATGTTTCGAGGCCAGTCCTTGAAGGTAAGATCACACATCTTCCATGGCAACATAATTCACACAGTTTCTGGCTCTAGCGAAAAAGATTTTTTATTACATGAAAGACTGATACTTAAAAGGATTAAAACCCTCCACAAGGCGCTGATGGCAAGGTAAGCAAAGCAGCGGAAACAATGGCTCCCATGTGACTGCCGACACAATCAGTAGAGTTACCTTTTCCAGAATTATCATGTGCAAGAACTCATATCCTACAAGTTACTTACTACCAGAAGGTGAGTAATTTTGTCAGTTTCTGGTGCTTGCAAAGCAACGTGACATAGCTATATGTCATCATCCTTGAGGTGCAATGCATCTTGCCGAGATGCATACAGAGAACTTTTGAGTTACAATCTTCAAGATTATTCCTGGGTGGGAGGAAAGTTCCAATCATTTTCGGCCGTTTCGTTTGCTCTCGATGAACATCAATTAGTTTCTAGGAGGGTATGACCTTGCGTCAGTTGTAACATGTATCGATTAATTAATTGAGAAAGATAGGAAAGGAAGTGGGGACAGGAAATAAACTCTACCTACTCTGGTCTTCCACTGTTTCCATCACTTCTATCGCTCTTGCCTCAGGCTTTGGCTTATTTTCTCATCCTCAAGTGTGGTAGGATGGGTCGACACACGTGACAACTTTTAGCCTAAACTTGCGTCTCTCTAAACACTCACTTTGTTTCTTCATTTCATCTCTTCTACATTTCAAACAATCATCTCGGCAACTTGATCAAATCACATAGAACTTTCTACTGAGGTAAAGGAGATATATTTCTCGAACTTGCTTTAGTACATACTTATATCTCACTTTCGGAACTGATCTTGAGCTTCGTGGATTTGAGAAGTATCTCTTTAAAAGTTTTGGCATTTCACGTCAGTTTTACTTCATCTCCAATATGTCTTGCCACAGCCTCAAGCTTAATAAGTTCCTCAAGTCAGTGCTATCTTTCGCAATCCAATGCTTGTCTCTATCATCACCACGAGCTGACTTCGCGCAGGAGCTTAGGCAATGAAACCATCTCTGTTAATGTTGGTGTTGGTGACTCGGTATATAACATATATGCGTCATCAAAAGATCTTCTGTTCTAAATAATCTTTAGCGTCAAGCTTTTACTGTTCACAAAGCCATACTTCAACAATGTACTACTTACTTTGAGTCAAATAAGCTATTTGATACCATGGCTGGAGCACAAGGATTGATCTTCCTCAATGAGGAGGACCTAAAAGTCTTCAAACTGTTTTTAGATTGGACTTATAATGGTATGTTATCTTAGTTGCATGTATAAAATCCGAAGATCCTTGAATTTTCAAATGACTTATCAACCTCGTCACATTCAGGTACCGTTCAGAAACCACGAACCAAGATAAACGTCACAAAAACTCCATCCTACACAGAAATTCATCGTCTCGAATTAGAGCTGCTCCAAGATTTTAATGAAACCCTCAAGACTCTGGTTAGCCTGTACTCGCTTGGCGAGAGATGGGGTATCCGATTTTGATGAATCGCGCTATTGATGCCATTCAGGATGGTTATCTCAAGTACGGTACAGTTTTCGGCCCAGGCCTTGCAGCCAAAATCTGGGAAGAGACTAAGCCAGGCTCTGCATTGCGCGAGTTCTGTATTGCAAGCACGGTTATGCATTTGGGTAAGCGCAGTGCATTATCCTAATTATGCAGCCTGCATCATCACACCTCACTTTCTCATCATTTTAACCCTTCTCTTATTGTATACTCATAAATCCTCAGTTTTGCTTTTCTATTTCGATTTATCAGTTGGTAATTGCTAATATTGCATCTTCATAGATCGCGCTTGCATCAAACTTCGCAAGGAAGTGATGATGAACTGCATCGTTCTGCCGGGGTACTTCCAAGGCATGCTCAAGTGGCTTTCGAGAAACTTTCAGCTATTAGGTCGACGTTCCGAAGAGTTGGTAGAAAAATGGGCTTCGAATGAGAGTTTCAGCATGTCCCATAAGTCTAAGCTCTGTCCCTGCCACTTTCATGTACATCCGGTAAGTGTCAACCAAGCCTAAATATGTAGACCCACAGCTGCTGACTATATAATCACCCAGACTGGCCAGGCACACAAAGGACATAAATAATGCGAGGCTCCGTTTGTTGATTGCTCTCATCCCGGAGATGATGAGAAGATGGAAGAACTCAATATTTTCAACCTCGTATTAGGACGCGCAGTGATGGGATGCAACCTCAGCGATTCAGAATAGAGTTACATATGGGAGATTTTGAAGAGCCGAGAGATACTACAAAGGTACACATAACCTTGCGCTGTCGTGGTATCCGTCCAAAGATGTTAAAATGCTCACTTACTTTATTTTCTGTGTGATTTAAAGCTGTCAAAGGGCCGGTGCCCGCTTCATTCTTGTTTCAAATATCCTTCGCAAGAAATATCAAAGATTTTCATCCTCATTATATTCACTTGTGCAGATGTATACTTAATCAGTCCACTGTAGCTTCTATGTGGAGTACGGCAGCCTTATGCCGTGGGAGAATCTTTATGCATAGTTATCTCCTACATCCACTTCTATTTTCTGTAAGAGTGGCTGTATCTGAATTGCAAGAGAATCTTTCAAGGAATCCTATATTTATTGTTACCCAAGGTATGCGCCCCAATGAACCAAGCTCAATTACTTCATCTCAGTCTAACCTTAAGTAGGTATCTCACCAAGATTCACCAAATTTTTCAGTACTACCCTTCTTAGTAAGTTGACATGCAACCAAGAACAATTGCTGCGCTCATACCTTCTAAGTAAGTCATTATCCAGCCGGTCTTAATATCCAAAGCTGACATTCGTTCAGGGATTCTGAATACGCGCGAGAATTTAGCGTCACCGTCGGATCTCATGTCTTCAATATCTACAAGGACATTGCTATCAATTCCTCTAAAGTTTTTTCAAAAGTATAGCAAGACCACCCTACCGCCAGAAGAATAAATTTTCAGCTTGAAGACTTCGACGACGACAAAGATGATACAAATCCGGAGAACTTCTACACTGTCGATGCCATAGCTCACCTCATTGGATACATGTACTGTAACGATTTAGGATGTCCCACGTCTGATCCAAATCGCCATACTGGCTGTCTAGTAGCTTGGTGCAAAGTCTAAAAGCTCGCCTCTTATTTCGGCATGCAATCTGAATGCGAGAGCTCTCTAGACCGTTTCCAAAAATGTCTACACGATCGCAAACATCATCCCGTAGTTCCTACGGCAGAAGAAGTCATTGCAGTCTACGATTTGACGGAGAAGAATTCCGAGATACGTGAAGTAATGATTAGTGCGATGATGAAAATGTGGCGCTCGTTTAGAGTTATGATTGATAATTCGGGCGGGTTCAGTAAGGATACTTTAGAGGACTGGCGACGAAGCTTGGTGGCCGTTCCGGAGTTTGAGATGAGTGTTAGGAAGAAGGTCGGGAAGGAAGAGATTGACAGGTTGGATAGAGATGAATTGGGTTCTGACGAGTAAGCTTGACGGGTGAGATAAATTGGTGCTTTGGTTTTCTTTGCTTGTGATTTTACCTCCTTTGATTTGAGTGATAGAACTCTCAGCGCTGTTTTGGCATGAGAAACATTCACTGGTATGAAAGCATCTAATTGTTCTTTACCTTGCAATACATAGATGAGTCTTCTTTATTGTCAAATAACTTCGGAACTATCTTCCTTACGGCGCAACTCTAGCCATTTTCTCAGACCAAATCTCTTCGATGCCATTTGCACCAAAATAAAATATATGATACGAGCTCCTCACTATCGGTTTTTCTATCTCTAATTTGCAGTACACTGGCCCCAGCTTGAGGCTCTCGAATGCTCTGAATGTACAAGAGTATGAATCGTTTTACTAGATCCTTCTCCACGCTTTCCTCAAGTCTATCATCTAATCTTGTCTTCTTATACTCGATAATTAACTACCGTCACTTTTATCATATAACTGAGTTTTGGTTCGAGATGGGCGTCTAGTCAGGGAGATAGTATTTTTCGTGGGATAGTTACTATCAAATTAAGATTTCTTACTGTTGTATTTCAGAGGACTATCAATGTATTCATCCTCTCTTTGGAAGATTTTTTGATCAATATCCGTTGCGTGTGACGTTAACAGTAGTCACTTGTGGATTGTGATGTATAGGAAATTGGATTTTTAAACAGTCTTTGTATCCTAATTGGCATGTAAAATATATTCATCCCTCATAATTCATAAAAACATCCCACGAAAGCCAAACAACGCCATTATCCAAAACCCCATCTCTGTGTGGAAAGCGCCAGTCGGATGGTTTCCCATCCTAATTTTTCAAAACTCCATACATACCAAAGTAAACATAACCACAACGCTAATATATCAAACTTCCCTGACTTGAAAGGCACAAGAGTCTCCACTCGCACCGCACACATCCCAATAATAAAAAATTGACCCTACAATCCCCGATCAAAAGACATAGCTAGTTAAATCCCTACGCTCATAATACTCCGTCATCGCTTCATCTCTCTCTTGCCGTGAATACACATCCTCTTCTTCCGCAGATACTGTCCCACAATCTGACATCAAGAAAGGCGCAGCATCATCTAAATCCAAATCCGAGATATCGTCTAAATATTCCGACGAAGTAATAGGAGACTCGACCTCGAAGTAGGAATCTGGACTTGCACAACCGCTAAGATTTGCGTAGCGTGAGACGTGCATTGAATAGTCCCATAGTCGCATCCACTCGCTTGCTCTGAATGTCGTTGGATTTCTTCAAATACATCGGTGTTGAAAGCAGGATGGCGGTGGCAGAGGGTAGATAGCTGTCTATTCATGCCATCGAATCTTATTGAGAAGAGAAGGCCGCGAAGTTTTTCCACAATGAGATTCCGGAGATCATTTGCATTTTCTCGGTTATGATAAATATACTAGATTTCCGATGGCAGAGGCATCCAATACCCTGTCCGTAGGGTATCCCTACAGTGAACATACTCCCACAGAGCTTTATGTGCCAAATCCATAACTCCCATTTCAACAGCTAGCACGTGGAGTATTACCCATTCCGATATATGCATAGCAGTGTCATAGGATTCTGGATCACGTCTAGGTATCACATATACACATCCGTATATCCAAGTAAAGAATTGGTTGGATGTATGAACATCATCTTCGTATCGATAGATGATCTCGCGTTGACTTTGCTGGAAATCTCGAAAAGAGGTTTCTATGGGTGATAGTTCGATGGCGGAATCACTGTACTCTTCAGTCTTTTGGCTGTGCAGCTTTGCGCGAAACCAGGGGGATTTTTCGCAGAGGAGACTCTCGTGGAAGAAAAATGGTCGTCCTTCTGGGCCAACGATTACCGTGACGATTCCGGAGTATGCATGTCTAGTATTCGTGTCAGGGATGACTTGTTCCAGGGTGGACTCAAGATGTCAGGGGACCTTACTCGTGAATATATGAACCCATCATTCTCGTGAGATTCAGTTCCGAAAGACTATAGATTTGTACTCCGAAGATTTAAAGGCAATAAGTGATGGTGAAAAGATAAAAGCACAGGGAATTCTTAAATATCTCAAAGTTAATTCAGAACGATCATCTTGGGTGGCCGTCAAATACATCTCCACGAATCTAGCTCCCATCTGTCTGGCTTCTACGAATACTTCTACACTTGCGAACGCCAAGCCTCACCATTCTAAAGTCCCGGGCCTCAAAGTGATATTTCGGGTGTAGAAATTCAAGATTATCTTCCATTCTCTCTCAAAACTTGTCAGCTACAGTTTTTTTGGAGGGAAATATTGTAGATTACTATTCATCCAGAGTAATTCAAGGTAAAGAATGTTACCTCGAAAATACGGGAAAGCGGGGCAAACTGGATAAAGCAAATACGGGCGGGGGATTATCAATGCAGTTTTCCGTCTTACAGGATCTCCCTATCTGGATATAAGATTGATGTCGTACGAATTTGTGGGGTAGCACCAAACTGAGACGCTGCCCAATATAGTGCATCTTCCACTAAAATTATGGCCCCTTTTCCCCTGCCTGCCGAGACTGGAGAACACGAATTTATGGCGGCTAGATCGCCACCACCATGAATTAAATATGCTTAGTGGAACTAGTTGACGACATCTAGAAATATAATATAAAAATGTGAGATGTGATATCGTGAGTTTCTGTGCAACGGTTTATGCCATAGTTTGCAAACCTAGTTCTTCACCGAACGGGTATGCGCTTTAGCTCTAGAGTCGAGAATTTTATCAATTGGAGTATCGATGTAAGAAGGATTATGCAAAAGAGAAGAGCATGGTAAGCAGATGATTGACGGATGACTTTACTTGGGAACACTGGGTTATTCTTTGCAAGATCGATCTATAGTAACTCGGAGAGTTCTTGTTCAAACTTCACAATTCCATTATCTTTCGAGATTGCGAATATGGCAACGAAGATAAGATGGAGAGTAGTGGACATTGAGAAAGGCTTGTATGCAGAAAATGTCAGGCTTGTAATTACCGCTATATTCAAGGTACATGCAAGTTTTCCCTGCACACAATAAACGCGCCCTCCCACAATCAATGGGAAAACAAAGTTCAGAATAAATACAACTGTTTCTTCAAAACATTTGAATATCAGAAGCTTGGAATTTATCCATATCTTGGCATTTTCAGGAAATGTCTACTTGACCAATGGATCGAAGTTTCCAACCTCAAGTAACGAATAACATAAGTCTTTCGCTTTTTGAACTCACGGCTCATTATTGTTATTCACTTGTGGTAGTTTCTGCCGCTTAATCCTCAAGTAATCATTTAGGAACACAAAATATTTCCCACATTTCCCAATTTTCAAACTTCGATGAATTCCAAAATTCCTGATCAAATATCATAACTTAGACCCCATACACCGCATATCATTATACTAGAAGAGTTTTTACCTTAAAATAGTAGTTATATCCTTCTCTCGAAAATTCCGGCATTGCTTAATGATACCTATGTAGGCTAAAATACGTGCGAGAGGTCTTCAACGTCAGGAGAACGAGGAAGACAAAGAAAATTAGAATAGCAAGAACGATCAGGTCAACGACAGGAATGGATATAGCGACGATGGTTGGAATAGTGAAGATGGTTATGGAAATTGAGGATTGATAGGGTAGTGAGGTCCTAGCAGACCGAGACGGCGGGGGCGATGAGAATGACCGGGATGATAAGGGTGATCAGGGTGATCATAAAGATGGTAATGGTGCTGGTAATGAAGTTGATTATGCTGGTTGGGAGTAATTTGAGGTACCAGAGGAGGAAGAGAAAGAAGTCTTGGGCGACGATAAAGACCATAAAGACCATGAAGTCGAAGAAGTCGAAGAAGTCAAACCAGCCTCTCCTATGACTGCAGAACAAAAAATAATGTCAGTATAGGTATTGGGTACCAAACTTATCATACTAATATTTCCTACAGCCGAAGATTCCAGACCGCACGTACCAACTGGCAACTGCGAAAGATGTGTATTTCATTTTCGCCATTCTCGATTCCATGAAAGCTGTCCTAAGTGTAAGTTCAATTTCAATTATCTTTCGACTGAAGCTCCATTATGCAATTTGATGAATTTGATCTCTTGTTCAAATTTTGCATTTTCACTTTTTTTCTTGTTCATCTTTTCACATTCTTACCCCTCAAGCTACAGCCATCAACTCCTTTAATTAACCGAACATGTGATTACTTTTACCAATTTTTTTCTTGTACACAGATTGATTGGGCTCTTGTTGCTCAGTTGTGCCTATGTATTTCTGCTTGTGCTCGCTTTGGACAGGTTAAGAAGAAGCTTAGAAATCATTGCCGAGTACCGGCACAACCGCTCATCCCTACGGTAGCAGATTCCCTTACCTAAGAATCCCCGAATGAGAGAAGACTGGTAGGGAGAGTACTATGGTTTGACCCAAAGGAATTAAGAATGGTCAGGAGAAATCTACCAAGCCTGGAGCTTTCCATAATGCTGGTAAGACGAAGCCGTCGAAGTTCACACAAAACCGCGGCCAAGGATACACCATGCCGAGAAAAGACGACGAGTCCGCAAGTTATATACGCATGCTAATAGCGTGATGTTTATGACACTGAAAGTGAGCATCGGAATATTGAGGAGTTCGGCCTGAATAATCTTTATGGATTTAATAGAGACGATCACCCTTACCGTTAGTGATCAAGGAGAGGAGGTAGTGCCAGCAAAGATTGACAAGCCGGAAGATTTTCTTACAGTAGTGGTAGAATTGTAGAGCAACAAGCCGTAAGATTTATTGGTATCTCAAGTCTGCAAATCTTTTATCACATCATATACATTATCATTTTGGCAGTGAGCTAACTATTTTTCGCAGATTGAGTATCAGTTCAGTGTTGAGAGATTTATTCGCCATGCATGTCGTATGCGGTTGATAAAAGGACATACATGGCCACTTTTGAGTCAGATTTTATGGGATTGGTCAATGGTGGTCATTTTTGCTTTTCGGCGACTTCTTTTGGTCTTATCCCAATAATGATTCAAACGCGAATTACATGAATGTAGATATGGAAATAATTAGTTAAGGTGTAGCATAGATAGAATGTCTAATAACTTAATGATTTGACCCTACAAGTATATGTGCGCTTGGGTGAGAGCATTTAGGGTGAATTTGAATATAAATAGAAGCATATTGAGATGTACAATGATTACACAGCGCTTTTAATCCATGCCCACTTCTAGTTAATACAGCAAAACACGGTCATAATTGAGGCTAGTCCATGGACAAATTCACACCAGATTACTTGTAGACTTCCCAAATAAACTTAATTTTACTCACAGAGTTTATGGCAGTTGACGCTGTGGATGATTTCTTTTGCCGTATGCCGCGACTCTCGGTCTGACGATCTTTGTGCACCTTTACTTTAGAGCTGGGTGTCGCTGATGAGAATGGTTGCATTATGGCCTCAAAATAATAGTCTTGTTGAAAGCTCAAGGAATTTTTTCTGTGACTCATTGCTTCATCTAGTGGCGCTTTGGACAATGCATCTCGTGGGACCTTTTTTATTCACTTCATTTTCATGCACAAACGATCACTCAGAACATGCTAGAATATTAAGATCGAGATCTATAGATCTATCTCTAGCTAGCTAGTACGAAAGAATACTATTGTATTCCTTTTGAACTATCGATCTTTGCTCGAGATGATACCGTCGGTCTTGCTCCTGGTACTACTAGAGTGATGATGCCAGCTCCTTCAGGATTGGCAATTCTAACTGTACCTACAAAGACGTGAGAACTTTGCATAACCTACCAAATGAGGCTAGATGCACTTTGATGTCGAAATGAACATTCATTCGACCTTTCCAAACACAAAATATCTATTCATTCAATAAAGCCCTTACCCCGCTCTTGATACCAAATCAAGCTTCCATCAAATCTAGATGAATGCTCAAAACTGAAAAATTCGATTAATTCATTCAAAGAAAAAGAGCTGGCATCGGTGAAAGTGACATGTGAAAGCGGGTAGCCTCCAGAATGAACATCTGCAGATGATTTTTAGTGAATAACAAAGGTTGACTTCCACATCATCCAATCAAGCGACGGAGAATATGAGGGAAATTTGAATGAGTACCATCCCCATAGAAACATATAAGAACATCTTCATCGCACATTCAATTTAATTTCTCCATCCAACCTACACACCATTTTCCTCAACCTCAATCAGCTGGCATTATTCACATTCTCATACCATTTAACAACCTCACACTTCATACATTAATAGCTTGCATCATCCTGCAAGTTTATCATGTATGTTTCATTACTTTCATCTTTCTGCGATACTTTTATCGTGCTGACAGCTGTGGTATACATAGATCGGCTCGTCGCGTCCCATTCCACAACAAACACCTCTCCAGCCAAAACCAAAATGTCCGACAACGAGGCTGCTAGTACTCCAGCTCAGGCCAATGGCGGTATGAGCCAAGTCGAAGTTGATTTTCTCATGTGCTGCCTTCGCAATACTACTGGTGGCTCAATCCAGGTAAGTCATCTTGTCGCGCTGCGATTTTCTCATGCTGGCGTCGTTCTTTAACCTACCATCTTCGCTTTGCGACGCACAATTACTACTGTACTCCCACTTCCAGAATTCAACATCCCAATAATTTACCAAGTTCTTCATTCTTCTTTGATTGTAAATTCTCATCTGAAAATATGAAAAAAAAAAAAAAAAAAAAGTCTTTCATTCTTGTGCTCTACGATGTCACCACATCGTGACTGGAAGGAATGGCTTGTCCCCCCTTTTTCTTTGGCAAATGCCTCGCGAGAAATATCTCACATCCTCGTCAATTTCGCATTACACTTTCATGCCGCACATTTTTTGATTTTCAAATAATTGTTCCCAATAGCTGATTAGGGAAAAACTTTCAAGGTCGATACGCAAAAAGTCGCTCAACTCTTGAACTACAAGAACCCTCGTTCGGTAAGTCGTACTCTTATCCATTCGATATTTCATTTCCTGACCAATACTTTAGGTTTCCAACAAGGTTTCTAGCATCAAGAAGAAATACAACCTTCCCTTCGGTGCTTCCAGCCGCACCGCCGAGGAGATGGCAGTAAGCAAGCCTGGCAAAGGTGACGCCTCACCAAAGAAGGCATCTGATGCAAATGGTGATAATGAGCCCGCCGTTCCTACCACGCCTTCCAAAAATCGGGTCACCAAGACTAAGGCCATTCCAAAACCTCGTGTCAAAAAGACACCAGCGAAGAAGCCGACCAAGAAGGTTGCTGCTGAGGAGTCTCAAGAAGAAGAGCTTAGCGATGTTGAAGATGAGGAGATGGAAGATGCCAAAGAGGAAGACGATGAGTAGATATCTTTCACATTACATCTTTCCAGGGGCTGATGTTGGTTCTTATATAGCTGAGGTGTCATATATGCTACCTAAGCTTGATATGAGTGTCGCATGGTGGTTCTGTCCAACGTTAGCTCTTGAGGTCCTGACGCTTTTCTTTTTTTCTCCGTATTCATGGCGATTGGGGTTTACATTAGATACTAGAGAGAGTATGGGAGACTTAAATTATCAGCCATGGATATTAATATTTGTCAAGTGCTCGTTTTCAGGGATAAGGATGATCTATAGGTGGTTGTTGGTTGTTCCACTGCAGCATTGAGGTTGTTCTGGAAACTACAATATCAGAGATCTTTATACGGTTATTACTTATTTTACTTCAAATGTGACAGTGAATTACTTTTGCGATCAGCTCGTTCAAATTAACCACCACAGAGGCAGAGGGAAAAAGCAATATGGGGTCTGTGCAAACAATGTCAACCAAACGGAAACCCCGCAGAATTTGTAACATATTCTTTACAATGCTCATTTTCTGCCGCCTAAAAGCTAAAAATCCATGTTTCATGCATAATCCGACGATAAAATATGATAATGGCTTTTGGGAGGCAGCAATAATTCATTTTTCCAAATTGACTGGAAGGCTGCGGGAAGATGAGATGCAGCCAGACATGAGAAATTTCTCATTTCTGGATAATTCACTTTTGTTTCTATTGCTACCTACCTACTAATTAGGGTACCTAGCTAGCTATGGCTATAAAGTCACGGCTTATCTTTGCTGCTACTCAACTGCTTCTCTTCTTCTCCATCCGTCAACACCAAAACCTCATAACCACAACCAAAAATTCACAATTCTTGCAGATTAGCTTGCGCGTTCAAAGTCTTGATTGCAAAGAAGTGTTGCAACGAAAATCAATTACTTTACCTACTACAGGGTAAGTTTCCCATCTGAAATCTCGGTATCTTGTGAAGTCCTGATCGTCGATCTTGGAGCTGACTTGAAGGCAGATTCAGCAATCGCAAAGATGGCGGCTTTGACTTTGAGCGCGAAGGAGACCGAAATGCTTGTTGCTGTCATGTCTGAGATGGGGGAGATTCCTAATACTGTAAGTATCTTTATATTTTTCATCTCTCAATATTGTGCGGGACCCGTCTTCAGTCGAGCTTTTACTTCAATTGATCTGAAATATTGAACCTACCGTGTGTATTCTTGTTTATATCCAATGAATATCTTGACTTTTCAGACCTCATGATAAAGATTACCAACTCCCATCTGACGTCGTCTCCTCCAACACAAGAACCTCGCCGTCTCTTTAATTTACCAACGACGTCTGAGCAACATACTAACGGTCTCAATTAAATAGATCAACTTCGAACGTGTTGCTAGTCGGGTTGAGGTCAAGTATGCTAGGAATGCGCGTTCAAGCTTCAAGAAATTATTTGATAAGTTGAAGGTATAATGCTCCCTCGATAAAGTCCCATGTATACTCGGTCACGCATTCGAATGATACTGACTCATCGCCAATTAGTCTCAAGCAGGGCCTGCTCCAGATGACGAGAATGGCAGTATCCCGCCTAAGACTCCAAGCCCCACCAAGAAATCTTCTCCAAAGAAGAAGGTTGGCCCTAACAACACTCCCATCAAAGCCACTCCTAAATCCAGAGGAAAGAAAGCTGCAGCCAATAAGGAAGTCAAGGAGGAAGTGTTTGACAGTGATGAGCAGCTGGAAGAACCAATTTTGGACGACGAAGATGGCAAGTCATCAAACCACATTTCTTCCCTAGCAGCCAAAAATACTGGAAACAAGATCGGGGCTAGCCACTCTATTGGATCCTCTGAAAGTATTCAGACATCAGATGATGATACTAGGATGTCTATCGTCGAAGTCCAAAGGTCAATGCCTGCTTCACCCGGGTATAATGCAGATGATGAAGAATTTGACGCTGAAGAACAGATCCAGGCCGATCAGTTTGGCATGAGTGTTCCTGCTTATCGGGAGTGGCGAGCTCTTAACGTTTATACTGTTCACGACACCTTCCTGGATGATATCTAAGACGGATGTTTCTTTCAAGCAAAGCTTAGGCTCCGTCCAGATACTTCTAATATCTCTTCTTGTGGATCTTTGCAGTGCTTTTCTTCAAGGTTTCTCGTCTTCAAAAACACGCATTTATTTGCACATCCTTCACTTGCATCCACACTTGCTAATTTTAACCACTTCGACAGAGGATTCTTTTTAACTTCAATTCTTTCTTCGTCTACATTCGACTCGTTACTCTCGGATGGAGGGATGAATAAGCTTAAAATGGATGTCATTTGATTTGTTCGCAGCTTGGTTGCGGTATTGAGCATGACAGATTTGTTTCCTTTCGCCATGATTGTATTATGAGAGAGAAATGGGTTTTCAGGATTACGATATGAAGGGTATGATTGATATCATATGTTATATTAGGGAGAGGCCTAATGCATGATCAATGACGATAGCCATGGTACTTTCATAGTTTGCTTTTTAATGCAGTCTCCCATAATCAAAATAACAATTCTCTACTCATTGCTCACGATTAAACAATGCTCCTTTCGAGGTTGAAAGAACTATTCTTTCAGAAAATCTTTCAAAATTCACTATTAAGTCCATGATTCCATAACACACCTCATTGACAACCTAAACCAAACAACAAAATTAAATCTTTAATGACACCTCTCTTTACAACCACATCTCAAATTCTTTCATACACACAAACTCTCAGCAACGCTAGCCTGCCTTAAATCTACAAATTGACTATTCCTGACAAGCCAGTAAGTAGGAACCTCTCAACTACAGTCTGAACAATAAAAAGAAAGACGTCCTCCCCTCCTCTTCCCTCATCCCAACTTGTCAATTTTACCAGATTGGAAGACCTACCTCATCTAACCTTTTGCTGCTGTCAATTTTGACGTCCTTCCTGATTCAATACTGAAAATTTCGATTCCTCTCTGCAAGGAAGAAGACTAACCTATTTGGTTGTCTTGCTAGTCTATCTATCCAGTCGAGGAAACATCTGCAATACAAGAAGATATACGAAACTGAACTGCAACAATCTATAGAATTTGATCGTCATGGCTCCAGCTTCTAATGAAGAACAATTCAAGTTCCTTATTAGTTGTATTCGGTATAGCAATAATGGAAAGGTATTTCCTCTTTCTCTCCTCTAAGCTTCGATGCCTGTTTATTTGCACACCACCATCCCATCTACTATCACTGTCACGTCAAAGAAGAATACTAAGATCGAGCAGGTAGACTTCAGTCAAGTAGCCAAAGAATGCAACATTGTTACCAAAGGCGCCGCGTAAGTTAACTCCTTTCCAATTCCTCTCTTCTCTCCAAATCCAAATCCAATTCCCCTACTTCAATCCTCTATTCCCCATTCCAAACACTAAACTGACATATTCTCTTCTTCCCTAGCGCAAAACGCTACGAACGCATGATGCGCTCCCACGGCATCGCCCCAAACGCAGCATCCATCAAGCCAGCTCCTAGCTCATCGTCCAGCTCATCAGCCCCTTCCTCCACCTCCCGGAATAAATCCAGCGCTAGCAAGAAACGCAAGTTTGCTCCCGAGGAAGAGAATATCGATGATGATGAGGAAGAACCCTCCAATCAAAAAACGAGCAAGAGTCGAGTTAAGAGAGAAGTTAAGCGCGAGATGGGTGCTCGTGTTAATGATAATCTTGGGATTGTGAAGGAGGAGGGATATCGTGAGGATTCGCCTAGTGCGCAGTTACAGGAAGGATTGCAGAAGGGTCTTGGTGCGGGATTGTGTGATATTAATAGGGAGTTGGTAGGTTATTATAGTGGGGGTAGTAGTAGTGCGGGTGGAAGTGTTAATGGGGATGTACAAGGAGGTGAGTTTGGTGAGGTGGATGCGTATGCTGGTGATATGGGTACTGGTGGTATGAATGCGGGCGGTATGAATGCGAGCGGTATGAATGCGAGCGGTATGAATACTTGTAGGCAGCGGCAGAGTGGTTTTGACTTTCATGTGGGTGGATATGGGGGAATGATGGGTGCTCAGGGTATGAGGGGAAATGGAAATCGAATTGGTGGTCACTGTGAACAGGACATGATGACTTCGACGCCAAAAAGTCGTGCTGCTACCTCGGGTGGAATGGGTATGGATGCGCAAGAATACAAGTCTTTGGGAAAAGGTTACGATAATCAAGGCGGATCGGATAGTCCCTTGTTAGTTGAATAGAGAATGCTCCAGTTTGTTGTTGGTTGTTGGTGGTGGTGTGTCACTGGAGGATATGCAAAGGAAGGAGCTCTGCTTGTGTTCATGGCCTCTGCAGTTTGAGGAGAAATTCCTGGTACATTGTCCGGACTCTGAAGAAGGATTTTTAGTTTTAGCAGATGAGCAGTTAAGTGCAGGCGAGAATTTATGCTCATAAAAATGAAGGACGGAGTAAAATGAAAATAATTCAAGCCAACATTGAGTGTCGCTCTAAATCCTTAAACCTGTTTTTAGCGTCCAATGTTTTCCCATTGCTCCATCTTCGCCCTCTTAATGAAAGTTGAAGAAGGCTGTGATACGCTGTAATTTTCATTGCATATTTTCTCCAGAAACGAGGTTACCCGGTGACTGCTGGATCCAGATTTGAAGATTGAAGTATAGTAGATAGCACAAGACTAGAGTAAAGTCCAAAGATAACTTCCAAAATTGCAGCATAAATCCACGAGTAACACTGAGGCCTCATTACGGAAGTATTAGGTATGTATTCACTCTTGAAGGTTACTGAATAAGCGCTGCTGTTATATTGAGAATGATATCGTCAACTGTCTATTTCTACTAATATTCTCTTATTTTCCATTATTATATATGGTTTAAAGCAAGACAGAATAGTATGGTCTTGTAAGTGCATCTATTCTTAATTTTATCAGACAGGTTTCCACTACTCAGCGATAATTCACTCACTTTGAGTTCCGATTTCTTGTAGCTCAACGAGAAGTCAACGGGGCGCATGGTTAGGACTTTGGGTCTTATATCATGCCTAATTGCTACATGCTGGTTTGTATACTATTGTATTCATTAATCTAGGCCTCTGCTGCCGGGAGGTTGGTCGATGCATAGAACACGTGAGTTGTGCCTTGCTCTGCGTAAAAGATTTGAAAGAGTAGATTGTTACGTAGTGTCGCCCTAGATGACTTTGTTGTATAACTGCTAGATACCTACTCATCAACGTCAGATACTCGGTGTGAGAAGAGTGAGCCATGGATTGAAGTATAACATAATTGAAGTCTTCGGCATCAATCTTTCTAGTCTTATATAGAGCAACTTCGGAGTAACAAGTTGTAGTATAAGGCCCTCACATAGAATATTGCCCTACCGGACGGCTGGAGCACATGTTTGTAGATAAACGCGTATCTACCGTGACTGAGGACAACAATTAAAACCGCATCATGGTCTACAATTGCAATAGAAGAGAAGAAGGCCATAACCATAATATGATAAATATCTCGGCCCTTTTTGACGTCACCAAGAATATTCCCGCTCTCGCATGCACTCATGCCCCCGGTGAATTAAAATTATCTGTCCCGTTTAGGCTTAGTCACAGACACAGATAATACAGGCAGAGATCAAAGTTATTGATCGGATCTTTGTGATCTTAGTCCTCGCTTGTTTCGCCTTTTCTCATAACAACACAATCTTTCTACATTTCCAAAATCAAAAGCAAAAAAATATCAATTCTTTTCTTCCCGTCGTCAATTAAGGACACAGAATTCCTCTATCACCGCTCTTGTACTGTGAATTGTCTTGGAGCTCTTTTTAAGGTACGTTTCAACGACGCAATCATTTATCTGCCTCTGTTCTCCTGCAATTTCTCCATCTTCCATTCTCCAAGAACGGAACCCCACCTTCCCGATCTAGCAGTCACGCTATCCTGCACTCGATTACCCACATACCCGCAGTACAAATCTGAATCGATGGGCTATTGAGTATATTCCGAGCTATAAAGACGCATTTGATCAAGGCGCAATCAGCTCATAAAGGACTCTTCCTCTTGCTGATGATAAGCGTCGCCGCAGCAACCCTTGCCTTGGGAATCTTATCTCCACCACCAGCATACCAAGATCGAGTGGCTTCAAACCGTTTCAAATCACTCTGCACAAGATTATTACTTGTATGCATCAAGTGCCTTTCGTCTCTTGCCCAAGAAGCGTGTGATTCCGCGTCATACTTCACAGACTTGTCAACTGAATCTCAAGGGCAGTCGGTGGTGGATACCACCTACAACCTCAAGGCAGCAGTTACATACATATGAGTGCCAAGGCTTTTACACCATTCTCCTTTGGTACATGCGCCTGATCTCTATCCCTCCGCTGTCTCTTCGCAATTTACCACTCTTTTTCATTTCATATTCACCCGTTTCTTCTACCCCAAGTAAACTTCCCCGCTCTACAACTCCCTTTTCGGAATAGCTACACCCAAATACCAAAGGCCTGACAAGGTGTCCAAGCAATAAAGGCTGACAAAGATCTCTATTTTCCAGATAGTTCTTACTTTCTTCAACAACTTGAAAACAACGTACTACCAGCCAAAGAGCGAACATGCCGTCAATCGATGGAGATATCAACATGACCGACTCACTTGACCGTAACCAAGAGCTCGAAAACATCGAACAACGAATCATCAAGGTTGAGAAGCAAGAATCTGCCCACCGTGGTACTGTTGTCACTCCAGCCAAACCTGGTGCTGCTTCTAGACTCACAGCAACCCCAGCGACCAAAGATCGAATCATTGCCTCAATCGAAGCAGATGAGAGCTATGACCCAGTCACGCCCTCCAAGTCATTAACCAGAGGTATTCGGGGCAAAGGGACAAAGAGGGCCGAATCACAATCTTCTAAGAAAGCTGCCAGTGCTAAGGCCGCGGCTGGCAAGGTCGTCAAGACTCAACAAAGTCCAAGTAAGTTGCCGAGGAATTAGTTGTTTTCTTCCTGCCCTATACTTTGTTTCTGGTCGGAACCGTATATTTCATGGTTGAGCTGACGGTCCCTGCAGAGAAAAAAGACACAAAGACTGACTTAAAGAATCCCCAAGCCGCGTTGCTTGGTGAAACTCTTGCTGAAGATGACGATAATGGTGAAGACTGGGAAGATGACAATGACGATGCTAGATCAGATGAGAATACCTGGAGCCAAGTAAATAAGGTTATCGGATCCACTGGCAAGCCAACTCATCCAAATGGTCGAGCCGAGGGTCGTAAACTTGTTTCATGGCACAGTAAGCTTCTGTTTTTCTCATCTATGAGTACATAGACTAATCTTCCATAGGAACACGAATGATGGAGAAGCTAATCTTGCACATCGTGTTCGAATGTCGCCGTGCTGATATCAATCTTCCATGGGACAAGATTGCTCACAGGCTCTGCCCTGGCAGCTCCGGTGCAGCCGCACAACAATACATCAACAAGATGCGGGACGTTCTTATCACAGAAGGCCACCTTGTTCCCCCTCCTTTGGGAAAGAAAGCCGTGTTTGATCCAAGCATTCGTGGATACATTCGCGACACAGATGCTGAAGACCCCAAGGCGTCCCGTTCTGTTGGTTGGCTCGAAGAGATCGTCGACTTGAAAGAAAGTCTTGTTGTTCCTGGTGTCTCTAGAGGCTCAGGAACCTATCGTCGTGATAAGACTCGATGGCAAAGCAACAAGGCAACCATGGGCGAGGAAACACCTACCAAGATGGTTGGCGCTCGCGCTCGTTCTGATAGGCAGCTTTCAAAGTCGACGCTCAAGTCAAAGGAGAAGGTTGTAAAGATCAAGAAGGAGCGATCTGAATCACTTGATCCTGCCGAGATGCCATCAGACGAGGATTATGACCCCGGAAACCGTCTTAAGATCAAGGGCCATCGCAAGCGGAAGGTTAAGGTTAAGAATGTGCGTAATTATGAGACGGATGAGGATATGGATAAGGCCACCGAATCGCAGAATGAATCGTTCGGGTATTCGGATTACGAGACATACCTTTTAGAGACACCAAGTAAGAAAAAGGGCTCGGGAAACGATGTCATGACATCTTTAACTGCTATGCCTGTTACGCTCAAGCTTTCCCCGGATCTACTCAGTAAATTTCCTGCCGGCCTTGCCAGTAAATCTGTTCAAGATATGCTTGTAGGCACTGAGACTGAGGACGATGGATGTACCGAGGAAGACCATGATGGCTCCGAAACCGCTGTCGGCGGTTCTCCTGGAGACGGCGACGATGTTTTTGGTCCAGAAAGCTTAGGCCTCAACAATATCCATGGTTTTGAGCCACAAACACAAGCTTTGTTCCCTCCTAACAACTACGTAGGGGGTATGAACTACAGCTATGACCTTTACAGTCAGGCCGCTCCCATAAATGCTCAAGGTTATACGTCGGTATATACCGCAGGCTACAACAACCACGGCTTTTCGAATGTCCAAGCTGCATCCCTTGATAGTACTTATCGCGGCGATTCATACCCTAACGACATGTTTTTGGGCATGCATAACTTCAATCCAACATCCGCTATGCATGACGGCCTGAATTATGGTGGTTTAAATGAGACAATGCGTGATATGAATGGAGGTCATGATAACACAAGTTCATTCTTACAAGGCACTGAAGTCAGCTCAAGCAATAGTAGTTTTACACAAGTTCTAACCGACGCCGACTATGACCAGGGTGCATTTAATTATGCCAATGCTAGCAGCATCGTTCCCAGCCAGAGCTTCGAAACTCCTGACGCCGATGGCTGGGTCGAGCAATTTGCCAAAAACATCCCTTTCAAGCATGACGGCAATCTCTGATTCGGCTTCTGCGTTCGAAGTTTCGTGGCCCTTGGCATATCAGCAATAAGTAATGATATCATGCCCACTCTCCCGTCCAATGGACTAGCGATTTTCAAGACATTTCGATCTGTACAACAATCTTTTTCTTTCATTTCTTCTTTGTATTAACAATTGATTTTGGACCAGTTGGATCCATACTTTTATATCAACTTTAGCATCTCTTCGCTTTCCGTGGCGCTTGGATGCAAGAAAGTCGTCATGAAACACTGGCTGCCGCATAGTCTTTTCAGAATTATTCACCATCGTCGTGTGTCAAAGCTAGTTCTTCTCCTTAGGAAGTCTTCTTGACCTGGCGAAGGGAATAAAACGGTTCCAAAGACAGAAACATACCAATCATGAGCAAGGATTACCTTTGCTCTTCTTTTGCTGAACTGTTGTATCTGCACGATTGAGCTTTCCGCGTCGCTTCCTCATTCGACTATCGATTTGCCCTTGTTTCCAAAAATTTTGAGACGAATGGGAGTTTTCGTTTGGATTTGGATGATGGTCGCCTTGAATGGACATTTTACTCGTCGTTTGCTCAGCGGTCTGAAAAGTGGGAGACAAAAGATCTTGTATCATAGATAGATGCCCAATGACAATTATCTATGAAGTCCCTAGTGCTTCGTGAAAATGTATGTGAATTTTCCGGCTGATGTGAAGAGCGATTCAGCAGGAGTGTGAATATTGGCGTGGCACGACATCGTATGTGCTTTGTAGAGGCACAACTATCCATCTGCTTTGAATAACACCTTTGCATAGGGCAAGCTGGAAAGAATTTCGTCGTACTCCCAACATGTTCCAAGGTTGCGAGACTAACTTGACTAGCCATTGTAGGGAGAGAAGTCCAAAGCAATGTGTTAAGCAAAATGACCACAGGATTTTTGTCATGAAATCCCCAACTGTGTCTTCATCCATTAATCATTGAAGAAAGGGGTTCTAAACAAACACAAGATGGATTTAGCTAGACTAAATCCATAACCAAATGTGAAAAAGAGCCACGAGTTGGATTGACCTGTTTATGCGAGTGATTCATTCCACAGAGCTTTCATTCACAACTGGTCACACCATTCGTTTCGGAGGCTCAGTAGGGAGTTGAAAATGAGAATTCGTGGTCCATCTAAAAAGAAGGAATTGCGATCATCGTACGAGATATTATGGTGTGGTTTTCCAAATGGGTACTTTCCATTTATTTCGAAGAGCGAATGTACTTGTATAAGTGTACTATGGAGACAAATATTCTCACTCTTTCGCAACCAAAATAAGGCTAATTGTACTCCTTTGTTCGCCGAGCGAGTGTGACTTTGCTTATATGCGGCGGTACGAGGTGTACTGGGTGGCGCGATTTTGAAGGTAGTTGTTGGAATGGGACCGAACTATGTGGAGCTTGGGAGTTGGAAACATTGTTTCAGTATTAGTATCAGCAAAGAGATTAGACCAAATGATCTCTCACCATGTACTAGAAGTAGAATTTTTGTCTATAGCTACTACTGAGAAATAGTCATGCTTGGACTTTTTGATTCCCAGTCTTCGGTCTTGTTGGAGAATCCAAAGTGTTGTTAAACTTACAGACAGAAAAACATGAAGGAAGACAAATGCGGGCGGTCTATGAGAAGAACTGCTGGGGTGAATCTTATAGATAAGATTGTTCATTAAACAGCTGATGTCCGTGCCCCTCGGACTTCTCTTTCATCTTCTTTGATTATTTCAGTTTATTGAGTTTATGTAGTTAGATGTGAGGTATAACTATTTGGAAAGAAATTAGATCATTGATCCTACTAGTTTGTAGATGAGTTTTCCTAAATTTTGAAAATGTTTTTCTTTTGAGTGAGCACATCAGGTATTAGCAATGATTGAGAAATAGAAGATGGAAGACTTACCTAATGGTGACAACAAGATCTTCCGATGTTCAGGCGATTGGGAGGTACCCGGTCTTTGTTTTAGTTAAGTAAAATACAGTTTACAACATGATAGCCAAAGTTGATTGGAATGTCATTCACTCATAAAGAGAAGGCCCATTCAGGGAGTAGACATCAGACAATGATTACCTAGGTACCATCCCTATTAATCGTTTTAAGGAGTATTTCAGTGCTTTTATGATATTTATTCAAAGTTCTTCCCCACAAATGGAGAGTACATTTTATTGAGGTAGTTGATGGCTATTTTATGGATGGTATAATAGAAGTGATGCTCCATTAAATGATTTCATAAAGTAGAATATCTTGCCAGGCCAAAGATAATGAAAATTCCACTGGAATGTCAAGTTTTAAATATATGCATTCCCCCAGCTGATTTAAAACTGGAGGTCTGTTGTAAATCTGGGGATCCTGAGAGGCAATTACCCTTTAACCCTCGCTTCAGATGAGAACAACTAGAAGTTGATGAACTTGCATGATACTGATATAAGGCAAAAGGAGACTGGTGGAGTGATCAGGAAAGAAGGAAGCACTTTATAATGGATTGGTAACACATAGAGGCAGGTAGGGAGGCTGTCAGATTTATTAATGATGAGTTCTGTAGCCAGTTGATTGATCTACAATCCCAAGCTGGGATAAAGCTACATACAACATGGTTTGGGTTCTCCTCATCTTGCTTTATACAGATAGTTGTTTACTTGTACTATTCAAGTATTGACTAGATATCTATCCGGTATTCATCCCTTTCATTACCCTACGAATGTCTAAATTGACTTGAAAAGTTTTGGATCATGTTTAAGCCTGAGACTTGCTATCAGGATTCAGACATGTGATGATATGATAATGATCAAGACGAGTTGTGAGGGATCTGTAGGATCTGTAGGATCAATGTCTATCTCAGTAGACTAATAGTCTAGAATTGTGTTAGATAGGCAGTTACAAACAAGGAAACTGTTTAGAAATCAGAGGTAACTATTGACAAGAATTTGCAGGAATCCATCATCATAACTACGCAGATGCCAAGCGTAACGAAACAAGGACAATCTTAAAGACAATATCGAGGGCTATCAATCAACAAGACATGGTTGGAAGCACACGTAGCTTCTATATAACACACTAGTAGCCACATTTTAATGATAATTTGCCTTATTTATGCCAACACAAAGAATGCTTGTTAGACCATCCACAGGCAGGAGAGGTAGCGCTGGCGACCAATTTTCCACACATGATAACTAGTACTTCTCGTGTAATTCTAGCAGGCTATTAGATTAAAGTGCAGCGGGGACCTCCAGCTCAGAGTGTATCCATCCAATTGCAATCATTAAAATCCCTTCTAGCAAAGGAGACGAGTGACCAGAGGAGAGTTGAGTGCTAGTAGATGCAAAAAAAATCATACATCTAGACATCAATGTCAAAGCTGCTTCAAGCAATAGGATAAGTATACAGTATACACACATAGGAATGTCATGTTACACTTGTTTTCATCACTAGTCTATCAAGGGGTGAACGTTGTAGTGTTCACTGTATTAATAAGACTAATCTGAGGTGAAGTTAGGTTAAAGTGAAGTGAAGTGAGGTGTTGACGGTGTGAATTAGTCAGCGACTTTATCCTCGGCCCCCTCATTCGGGATCTTCCGTTTGCCAAAATGTTTCTCGCAGATTCGATGGAGAATGGTTCTTCCGGACATGGGGCCCAGAAAAATTATCTCCAAGATCCCAAAGTCTCCATTCTTAACATTTCCTTAAATCAATCAAAAAGCCTCCTCTTTTATACCCTTGAGTGCTTTCAGACCAGATTTCTTTTCGTTTCGTTTTCAAAAGCGTCTTTCATTCAATTGATTTCAAGATGCAACGAGCTTTGAGTTCTAGAGCTAGAGCTTCGGTCCTTACCGGATCGACAGCTTCAAAGCTTCGTCCTTTACAACAATTGAGATTCGCCCATAAGGTATGTTGATTTCAGCCTGGTGCAAAGCCACAACATAGATTTGTTGAAATTTATGTTAATCATTTTGTCATTTAGGAGCTCAAATTCGGTGTTGAAGGCAGAGCAGCTCTTTTGGCTGGTGTGGAGACTTTAGCAAAGGCTGTTGCCACAACCCTAGGACCCAAAGGACGAAATGTTTTGATTGAGTCAGCATATGGCTCCCCAAAGATCACTAAAGGTTTGCAAATTCTTCAAAAGGCTTCTTTGAATGCACAATTCTAACTGTTGGTGAACAGATGGTGTAACTGTTGCTAGAGCGATTACTCTCAAGGATAAATTCGAGAATCTCGGTGCTAGACTTATTCAAGATGTTGCCTCAAAAACCAACGAGACAGCTGGTGATGGAACCACAACCGCAACTGTCCTTGCCAAATCTATCTTCTCCGAGACTGTAAAGAACGTTGCTGCAGGATGCAACCCAATGGACTTGCGCAGGGGTACACAGGCTGCTGTAGAAGCTGTTGTTGAGTTTTTGCAAAAGAACAAACGTGATATCACGACCAGCGAGGAAATTGCACAAGTCGCAACTATCAGTGCAAATGGCGATACCCACATTGGAAAATTGATTGCCAACGCCATGGAGAAGGTTGGAAAGGAAGGTGTAATCACAGTTAAGGAAGGAAAGACCATGGAAGATGAACTCGACATTACCGAGGGAATGAGATTTGACCGCGGTTACGTCTCGCCATACTTCATCACCGACACCAAGTCGCAAAAAGTGGAGTTCGAGAAGCCATTGATTCTCCTCTCTGAGAAGAAGATCTCAAACGTTCAAGACATTATCCCAGCACTTGAGGCATCTACTCAACTTCGTCGTCCTTTGGTCATCATTGCTGAGGATATTGATGGAGAGGCACTCGCTGTGTGCATTCTCAACAAGCTCCGTGGTCAACTCCAAGTTGCAGCTGTCAAGGCACCCGGCTTCGGCGACAACCGAAAGTCCATTCTTGGTGATCTTGGTATCTTAACCAATGCCACCGTCTTTACTGATGAGCTTGATCTCAAGCTCGAGAAGGCTACAGCAGATATGCTCGGTACCACTGGATCTATCACTATTACCAAGGAAGATACTATCATTTTGAACGGAGAGGGTAGCAAGGATGCCATTGCCCAACGATGCGAGCAAATTCGAGGTGTTATGAATGACCCTGCCACCTCGGACTACGAGAAAGAGAAGCTCCAAGAGCGTCTTGCCAAGCTCTCTGGTGGTGTAGCTGTTATCAAGGTCGGTGGTGCATCCGAGGTTGAGGTGGGTGAGAAGAAGGACCGATTCGTTGATGCTCTCAATGCTACTCGTGCCGCTGTTGAGGAGGGCATCCTTCCAGGTGGTGGAACTGCTCTCCTCAAGGCTGCTGGTCAAGCTCTTGGTGGTCTCAAGCCTGCCAACTTTGACCAACAACTCGGTATCAATATTATCAAGAGCGCTATCACCAAACCAGCACGCACTATTGTTGAGAACGCCGGAACAGAAGGATCAGTAGTAGTTGGTAAACTCATGGATGAATTTGGATCCGACTTCAACAAGGGATTCAACAGTGCTACTGGAGAATACGTTGATATGATCGCTGCTGGTATCGTTGATCCTTTCAAGGTCGTCCGCACTGGTTTGGTTGATGCTAGTGGTGTTGCCTCATTGTTAGGCACCACTGAGGTTGCCATTGTCGAAGCACCAGAAGAGAAGGGACCCCCAGCCGGCGGTATGGGTGGCATGGGAGGAATGGGAGGAATGGGTTAGTACATGTATCTCACACGTCCCAATGCACTAGGCGCTAACAGTTTCGCAGGAGGAATGATGTAAAAAGCTATTGGTCAACGTAAAATCAAATACCCGTCTGAGCCTCATTTGTTTGCGCAATTGCTACCAGGCAATTTGGTACCGGACATAACATTGTATAATACCCCACTCACCCTTTTTCGTTATTCGTCTTGCATGGCATTACGGAGCGATATATGTGTTTAAGAGAGCATGACCATGTAAAATAATGAAGCTAAAATGATATATAAAAAAAGTTAAAATTCATGTTAATTGCCTTACAATGTGATGTGATTGACTTGATCTTCAAGGGTGATTTACTTGATTGCGTGTACTTTTCTTGGAATCTATCTGCCTTATAATTGAATGCGTGTTAAGAGAATTGGATAGGACATTCTTTTAGTAGGTAGATTTGGCAGAAAAATCTATCTCACATCACTACTTGATGATTTCCATATTCCTAACCTTAGCGTCCTGTAGATTTACCCTTCTGCCTGCCCAGGTACTTGTATATGAGTATTGATATTTTATAATGGGCTAGACTTCTCCGTCTAGGATCTGTTAATATTTTTAAACTGTATTGTTACGACGGGCTACACAACTACCAAGACACGTGATCACAAATGATCAGTAGCGCTCATTAAGGATCACTAAGGATCACGATATAGGTGATCACTGGTGATCATGAAGGATCACCAGTGATCATAGAAGCATGAAGGACTATATAATCAAGATGGATTTCCTTTGTATAGAGCTTCGTGCTCAAGATCAATCATTTAGTATACTCTACTATTAGTTACGAATTGCATTATTGTCATTACTTTAAGTCCCTGCTTGACGCCTAGTTATAAACCACCTCGAGAGCCTAGAGCACTTCCACGTGATCTAGACGGCAAACCTCGTAACATGTAACGTGGTTTATCAGCGAGTCGCCACTATCAGCGAGTCGCCACTTTTTCAATATCTTTTATCATTCAATTTCAAGACGCGATATTTCAACGAATTATTATGGAAATACAATCAAAAGAGGCCAGAATAATCTTAGCTATTGAAGCTATTCAAAAATCAAAAAATCTTACAGTTGGAAAGGCTGCGAAAATCTACAAAGTCCCTCGAACTACATTACGAGATAGAATGGGCGGTCGAATTCACAGAATGGAAACTCGAGCAAATAATCTTAATTTGACTGAAAAAGAAGAAGAGGTGCTTATTCAGTATATTATCGATATGGATGAAAGAGGATTTGCACCTAAATTAAGTGGTGTAGAAGATATGGCGAATTATATTCTCGAATCAAGAGGTGCGAAGAGAGTTGGAAAGCTCTGGGCTCATCGATTCGTAAAGCGTTGTACAAAATTAAAGACGTGTTTTAGTCGTGTTTATGACTTTCAAAGAGCTCTCTGCGAAGATCCCAAGCTTATTGAAGAGTGGTTTGGATTGGTATCGAATATGCAGGCGAAATATGGTATTCAAGATTGCGATTTCTACAACTTCGACGAAACCGGCTTTATGATAGGTATAATATGCCCTGGAATGGTTGTAACTAGTTCTGAAAGAAATGGCAGAAACAAGGCAATACAACCAGGCAATCGAGAATGGGCTACGGCAATTATATGTGGTAATGGAGAGGGTGAAACTATACCTCCATTTCTGATAGTTCAAGGACAAGTTCATCTTTCCAATTGGTATACCGAAACCGATTTTCCTGCGGATTGGGCTATTAAACCTACTTCTAATGGATGGACGAATAATGAGACAGGTTTAGAATGGTTAAAGCACTTCGATAAATATACTAGTCAACGAAGAAAGGGCAAATATCGAATGTTAGTATTGGATGGGCATGAAAGTCATGAATCGATACCTTTCCAATCATATTGCAAGTCAAATGACATTATATATGTAAAGTTACCATCGCATTCAAGTCATTTAACTCAACCACTTGATATTGGATGTTTTAGCGTACTCAAACGTTCATATAGTTGTCAAGTTGATGAGTTTATCAAGGCATATATCAATCATATTTCTAAAGTTGAATTCTTTATAGCTTTCAAAGCTGCATATCAACAATCGATTACAATTCAGAATATGAAAGCTGGCTTTCGAGGAGCAGGACTAATACCATTTGATCCTCAAGCTGTGCTTTCGAAATTAGATATTCGAATTCGCACACCTACCCCTCCATCGATCCTTTTGGAATCTGCCAACTCTTGGGTCTCTCAAACACCTCACAATCCAACTGAAGCTCTTTTACAATCAACTTTAGTGAAATCTCGAATTGCTCGACATCAATCAAGCTCTCCTACACCTATATTCGAAACTGTAGTTGCATTAGCTAAGGGTACAGAACGACTAGCTCATGAGAATACACTCTTAAGTACAGAGATTCGTATGCTTCGGAAGGCAAATGAGACATTAAGCAAACGTCGACACGTTAAAAAAACTCAATTACGTCAAGGAGGAGTACTTACTGGTCAGGAAGCTATAGATATAATATCACAACAAGAGGTGGATATTCAGATTCGACGCGACGAGCGTCAAAATAGGGGAAATTCCAATGGGGAATCATCTACTAATCGATGTTGTAGTAAATGTGGAAAGACTGGTCACAATTCAAGAACTTGTTCTAATAATATAATAGACCCTATATTATTAGATTCTTAATAGTTTAAGTCAATTGATTCAATAATTGTTGATTAAAATAAGTTTAAAGTGGTTGAATAAGTGAAAAAGTGGCGACTCGCTGATAGTGGCGACTCGCTGATAAACCACGTTATAGACTTAGTCTTTTATATAACGTGGTTTAACACCGAGTGCACCATATCACCGAGTGCACCACTTTTACCTCAATTTGCACTTTCTAACTCATATCATTCAACAATCATTAAATCAATCAATTAAAACTATTAAGAATCTAATAATCTAGGATCTATTATAATATTTTGACAAGTTCTTAAATTATGATCAGTCTTTCCACACTTATTACAGCATCGACTAGTAGATGATTCCCTATTAGAATTTCCCCTATTTTGACGCTTGTCGTGTTGAATCTGAATATCAATCTCTTATTGAAATAATATATCTGTAGTTTCTTGTTCAGTAAGTACTCCTTTTTAATGTAATTGAGTCTTTTTCATATATTGATTATAGGTGTAGGGGAGCTTGATTGATGATGAACTATTCGAGATTTCTGTGTGAACGAAGTGAATGACTTCAATTCAATCACTACTGTAATAAAGAACTAAGCGAACGCGAAAGAGACTAGCTCTTTTAGTAAGTCTATATAAGACTTACTACTTTCAATATGTAGCTAGCTCTTTAGACAGAATACAATTAGATATACAGGACCTACATAATCCGTGGGTGCTACGTCTTCCGTATCCTTCTCGTACCAACAATTTCATTAAAGTTGATTGAGAAAGAGCTTCAGTTGGATTGTGAGGAGTTTGAGAGATCCAAAGGTTTAAATCGAAAGGGGGGGGAGTAGGTGTATAAATTCGAATATCTAATTTTGAGAGTATAGCTTGAGGGTCAAATGGTATTAGACCTGTTCCTCGAAAGCCAGCTTTTATATTCTGAGAGTTGATTGATTGTTGATATGCAGCTTTGAAAGCCATAAAGAATTCAACTTTAGTGATATGATTGATATATGCCTTGGTAAACTCCTCAATTTGAGAACTATATGAACGTTTAAGTATACCAAAATATCCAATATCAAATGGTTGAGTTAAATGACTTGAATATAGTAGTAATTTGAGGTATATAATATCATTTGATTTGCAATATAATTGAAAAGGTATTGATTCATGGTTTTCATACTTATCTAATACTAGTATTCGATATTTGCTTTTCTTTTAACGAATAATATGTTTATCGAAATGCTTTAATCATTCTAGATCTGTTTTATTATTTGTTTATTTATTGAAAGTAGATTTAATAGCCCAATCCACAGGAAAATCGGTTTCAGTATACCAATTGAAAAGATGAACTTATCCTTGAACTATCAAAAATGAAGATATAATTTCACTTTCTTCATTACCATATATAATTACTGTAGCCCACTCTCGATTGCCTGGTTGTATTGTCTTGCTTCTGCTATTTCGTTCAATATTAATTATAATCATTCCAAAGTATATTATACCCATTATAAAGCTAGTTTCATCGAAGTTGTAGAAATCGAAATCGATAATACCATATTTCACCCGCATATTCGATATCAATCGAAACTACTCTTCAATAAGCTTAAAATCTTTACAAAGAGCTTTTTAAAAGTCATAAATACAATTAAAACATATCTTTAATTTCGTATAACACTTTACGAATTGATATACCTAGAGCTTTCCAACCTTCTTTGCCCTTCACAATTCAAAAATATAATTCACTATATCTTCTATGCCACTTAATTTAGATGCAAACCCTCTTTCATCTATATCAATTATATACTGAATAAGTATCTCCTCTTCTAAATCGGTCATTTTATAATTATTTGCTTGAATTTCTATACAAGAGACTAAATCATTCATTTTGTAGAGAAGTGTTATATGTGTTATATTATATAGCTTGGCAGCCTTTCGAATGCTTAGTTTTTTATCTTTTTGAATAGCTTTAATAACTAAGAGTATTTGAGCTTCTTTTCTATTTGATTATATAATAAATGATTGATAAATCGCGTGTTGAAGTTGGAAAGTGCAAATTGAGATAAAAGTGATACACTCGGTGATATGATACACTCGGTGTTAAACCACGTTATTGAACTTGATATGATATAATATATTGAATACATAAATGGATATATTTTGTTTTTATAAAAGATGTTTTATATTTTTTTAAAAGAATAAATTCTTTAATAAATTTTTTAATTATTATTATTATTATTATTATTATTATTATTATTATTATTATTATTATTATTATTATTATTATTATTATTATTATATTATTCATATTCAATCAGGAGCTTCCTACTACAAACTCTCAACTTGATCTCAGTCTCTCATTTTTACGAGAACCTCTCATTATGTTGTTAAAGGGGTAAATTTTCTCGTAAGTTGCCAGCTTTCATTGTCCAAATGGAGTGGGCAGCACGACAAGGTATTCTTAGCGTCCCACTCAGGTGATCACACACCGGCAAGCAACCCCACCAATTTCTTGACCTTCATCCCCGTTCGCAAAATCCGAAACTCCCAAAGATAAACATCTCCCAAGCTTTTCTCTCCCGCTCTTCCTAATATCTTACAATTACCACACCATACAGTGAACTTTGGAAAGCAGGTCTTTTAACAATCTTAAGGTATGTTCCTCATCCGAGGCTTGATTCTGGCTCAAAGTCGTTCGATTTGTTTATCTGTCTCGTTGTCAAGTATCAAGTATTTATTCGCTGACTTTCGGTCGATTTTTTAGCTTCTACAAGACAGCTCGTCGCATAGACTCCCTTGACATCATGGTATGTAGCTTCTATCTTGTTAGTTGCCATGCAACCATTTACTAATAGAGCTTTATTTTACAGTCTAACTCAGGGTCAGTTCGCCCCACTACTCAACCCTCTACTGCCAATGAATTGCGGTGACCGCCGACCTTGATGCGAATCTATTCCCACCTTTAATCTAAGCAGAATCGCAGAGCGTTAGTTGACAAGTTTCTGCAGTATCACTGTCGATGACGAATGTATCGAAAAGTTCAACGAGATGAAGCTTCAAAAGAAGATCAAGTGGATTGTCTACAAGATCAACGATGAAGGCACAAAGGTTGTTGTCGACACCTCCAGCGAGTCGGCAGAGTGGGAACCATTCCGCGAGGTTCTCGTGAATGCGAAGGCACTCAACAAGAACGTATGTGTGAAAGCTTCTTGTAAGGAGCAAGCGCTGATAGACACCTGCAGAAAACCCAGGGTAAAGGCCCCAGATACGCTGTCTATGACTTCAACTACGATTTGGCCAACGGAGAAGGACAGAGGTAATCCAAGCAGTATTTGGTTTTTATGGATCATGGACTAATATTTTATCAGAACCAAGCTTACTTTCATTTCATGGTCCCCTGATGATGCCAGTACCTTTGTAAGCTCTGCCGTCCTTATATCGCCTTCTGGCACTAACAAATTCCCCAGCCTAAAATGATGTATGCCTCCACCAAGGAATCCTTCAAGCGTGCCCTGTCCGGACTTTCGGGCGATGAACTTCAAGCAAATGACGAGGCCGACCTCGAGGAGAATGAGATGTTGAAGACAGTCAGCAAGGGAACCGCTGCTCTCAAGGCATAGATACAACTTATGGTTTTGGGAACGAACATGACAGGAAGGAACGCAGTTTCATTGGGTGCTTATTGCCTACGATGATTTGCCTGGGTGTGAATTTATTATTCTGAAGACGGATTGATCATTTCAGCGTGACGATTTTTGAAGACATTAAAAGCGACTTTTGCGGAAGTACCTGTTTCTTAATTGGCGAATGTGCCTGTGCCTTTCCAACTGTACAATGCTGAACTCCTTACTATGTTCTCCAATAAATTTATGCACCTCATTTACTGCTATCCTCCCAGGCTTTCTTGAATACTTCAAACACTCTGTTTCCTTGCTCTTCGTCCCTCAATCTTTGTACCAGGAAGCCCTGTAAATCACCCCAGAACTCTTCCCCAGCAAGACTTTCCAATCCACTAGGCCCTTGTGCAACAGGTGCCTCAGCTCCCTTCTCCGGGGTCTCAATTTTCCTTACAGAAGCAGCTCCACCCATTACCATGATGCTGAATTCGACCTTGGTTTCTTCTTCGCCAATAACATCTTTCAGAACTTTCGCATCCCCGATTGGCTTTTTGTTGTAAAGTATCCTCAGCTTTTCCACAGGAATCCCTTCTTTCTCAGATAATGACTCTTTCAAATTGAGAATCGAAGTATTTGGTGAGAGGGCGGAAAGCGTCACATTCAGCGGAGGATTTCGTGATGATTTGAGTAATACGTGAATACTACGTTCTTGTCCTGGAGCCAACTTTTGACGCTTCGCAGGAGGTTTTCGCATCTTTGGAAGGATAGTCTATTATTCTCGTTAGTATGAAGAAAGATTAGGCAAAGGGAAAGGTAAAGGTAAGTGTAAGTGATGCAAAGTAAGAGGGGGAGGGAAAACGTACTGCCCCTCTTGAGGGATAATTTTTTGGATCTTCAACATGGTCGGCAGTGATTTTGAAAGGTCTTGACTCGAGAGTCTGAATGAATGACTTGGCGAATGTAAGTTCAGTCATTCTGAAAAATAGTCTGAATAAGTTGAGTAAAAGTTGAGGAGAAGGAAGGTTTGGTGTTCGAATTTTACAAATTAACAAATTAGCCCACCAAGTTAAGACTTACAAGTCACCATCCGTTCACTCACTTCATCACCTATCACAAGAATAACCATAGCACAGATAAAAAGGCTTGGCATCGGCGTATCGGCGCCCGAGCTTGATAACTTTAGTATGACGCTAAACCTTATCTGCGAGAAAATTATATTCGTTTAGAAAAAAAGTTCCCTCAATCGCATTTGCGAATCCTCATATTCAACTCATAATTTTTATTACGAAACTGCAAAGAAAAAGCATTCAAAATGGGTGTAGGAAGACGTATGAAGAAGCAGGGCATGCCCGAACCTCTCGATGAAGCACATTTCACCAATTTAAAACGCAAAGCTGGAATGTCTGTAGCAGAATCGAGGGCAGAATCGTTGCAATACGCTCCCGATTCCAACAAGAAACGTCGAACTTCAGACAAAAAGTCCAATGGAGCTATCAATAGCAAAAAGAAGTCAGCGGCACCAAGTGCGACGAAGGGAAAATTTACAAATTCGCTACTAGTTCAGAAACCTTCCGGAAAGAAGTCGAAACAAGCTGCCGCTGCACCATTACCCGTGTCAGATGAGGAAATGGAGGATGGTGACTCTGATGCAGCAGATCTCATGAATGACGAGTTTGACGAAGTAGATGTTTCTGACGACGACGGGCCTGGTCTCCCAGATGATTTTCTTGGCTCGGACAGTGGAAGTGATGTTTACGATTCCGATGATGATCATCCAAAAGCAATGTTCTCCGAGGATGAGGATGAGTCCGACGCCGAAGAAAAACTTACAGCTGCAAATATTGCAGGACTCTCAAGGAAATTGGATGAGCAACAGGCAGAGGAGGCGGCAGAGGCACAAGCCGAGTTAGAGGAAGCTGCCATGCAAACGAACATTGCTGGAGATAAGCCTCATATCTTCGACAGCGACGATGAAGGAGAAGCTCCCAAGACTAATGCTTTATTAGCTCCGGATCTACAACTTTTGCGATCCAGAATCAATGATACTATTCGAGTTCTAGATGACTTTTCAAACCTTTCTGAGGAGGGCCGATCCAGAGCCGAGTACACGGCTCAATTGATCAAGGATATTTGCGCGTATTATGGTTATTCGGGATTCTTAGCGGAAAAGCTCTTCAACTTGTTCCCACCCAAGGAAGCTTTTGCATTTTTCGAGGCCAACGAAACTCCAAGACCTGTAGTCATCCGAACAAATACCTTACGAACACATCGGAGAGACCTTGCACAGGCATTGATCAACCGCGGGGTAGTCCTCGAACCAGTAGGAAAATGGTCCAAAGTCGGCCTGCAGATTTTTGAGAGTGCCGTACCATTGGGTGCCACTCCAGAATATCTTGCTGGACATTATATTCTACAGGCCGCATCTTCTTTCCTCCCCGTGATGGCTCTCGCACCTCAAGAAAATGAGCGTGTCCTCGACATGGCATCCGCTCCTGGTGGAAAGACAACGCATATTGCCGCATTGATGAAGAACACGGGTTGCATTTTCGCCAACGATAGCAACAAATCTCGTGCTAAGGGTCTGATCGGTAACATTCATCGTCTAGGTGCCAAAAATGTGATTGTGTGCAACTATGATGCGAGAGAGTTTCCCAAGGTCATTGGGGGTTTTGACCGTGTCTTGTTAGATGCACCATGTTCTGGTACTGGAGTCATTGCAAAGGATGCTAGTGTGAAGACAAACAAGACCGAGCGAGATTTCCTCATGCTTCCACATTTACAAAAACAGCTCCTCCTCTCAGCTATCGATTCAGTTGATCACGCAAGCAAGACTGGAGGTTATATCGTTTACTCTACATGTAGTGTTACGGTCGAGGAGAATGAGCAAGTTGTACAATATGTGCTCAACAAAAGGCCAAACGTTAAGCTTGTGGAGACTGGCCTAGCTTTTGGTAAAGAGGGCTTCACGTCATACATGGGCAAGAGCTTTGACAAGAACATGAAGATGACGAGAAGATATTACCCCCATGCTTACAATGTTGATGGTTTCTTCGTCTCTAAATTCAAGAAGACAGGTCCATCACCAAAGAGCCGACCTGGCGAGAAGGAGGCTGGGAAGGGATTTGATGAGCTGGATGTTGATAAAACTCCTATCAGGGAGACCGAGGAAGAGGATGCTTTCGGAGGGTGGGATGAAAATGAAGATGAAGAGTATATAGAGAAGGCGAGGAAGAACACCTTGAAACGCAAGGGTATCGACCCAAAGGCAGACAAGTCAAAGTCGGATACCAAAGTAGAGAAGACCAAGAAGGAAGAAAAGACTAAGGCAGATGCAACCGAGAAGGAGATTACGGGGAAGACTAAGAAGGAAGAGGACAAAAAGGATGGAACCACAAAGAAAGATACCATGAAGGAGAGCAAGGAAAAGAAGAAGAAAGGAAACAAATCCAAATAGGTTAGTAATTTAAAAGGTTTCATGAAGGGGGTTGTATAAGGTTCTGGCCAGAAATGGTGTTGGTTGCATACACTGGCGTTTTGGGTTTGGAGGAAAAGTACCACCTAGCTTCCTTCTATCTTCTGGTAAAATACGAAATTTTTCAAGCATCTGCTCCAGACATTTCTATCTTGCTTACGCTCAGCATGTTCATGACTGACAATTGGGTTAAGCATGAGCCCTCTTCATATTCATATCCATGATATCTCATTCTGCCAAGAGTTGGGATAAAGGAATAGGTCACGTGAAGTAGGTTGAATAGGTGGGCGAAGCGATTAGGATACCGACTTGCATCGATGATGCTCCTCAGATGCCAGTGCTCACGGTAACTATGTACAATGCACTATGCTTGAGTTTAATTTCACAGGAGAAAGCGGCTCTACTGGCTCGCAATGTCGTGACGCAAACCTGTCCGCTCATTTGATACTCCGAGTTGTGACTTTCTGATTCACGTTCGATAGTTTGGCTAAGAAGCAGAGAACTTATTTAGTTTGCGGCATCATCAGAAGTAACAGGAGTGGTGAAGTGATTTCTCGGAACGTTTGCTAAAGAAATCCAATTATTGGCTCGGCCGGCAGCAAGAGCAGGACCCCTGTGAGCCTACATGGTTGTCTCACTATACTTCACATGGGAAGAAAGTGGTGCAGCTTTTGACGAGTGGTGATGAACAAATGCAGTTATGCTGGAAATGATAGGCACTGTTTAGTCGTTTGGATACAAATCCCTAATCCCACCACCTTTGACCTCTCTCCGCAAGCAAGTTGCCGCCTATATACTTCTTATCCTATATAGCTTTTTCGTGAGGAATGCATCTCACTATGACACAGAAACTAGAGGGCTCCAGTAATGTGTGAATCATGTGACTTCCTTAAAAACCTCCTCAAGAACACATCTTCGCAATACTTCTTGATCTGTGTGATCAGTCAACCCATTCACGACCAGCACCCTCCTCATCACCCTCGAGGTTTTCTTCCTCCGTAGCTACAATGCATACCCTCTCCAATCAGCCGCTTCTCTTTTTCTTCATCATCCTCCACCTATTCATCCTTCAATCCTAAGAACACACCACTAAGGAAAAATTCTCAAGTGGTAATCTGACATCTCATTCATTCTCAGTACAATCTTATGCAGTTCCTAACAAAAACTCCTTGCTGCGTGACAATAAAACATTGTCACTGACACGACATTTGATAGACGCTTCCTTGGTGTAGTCACCGCACAGCGTGAAACAGGAGACTAACTACCCATCAAGTAGAGATAAACAAACAACTTGAGGTTGGGGTTGCAAATTGAATGGTAAACCGTACGTGTTTCCTCTCAGTATGTCAATGCATGCATATTCGGACATTTCTTCGCCGCGAAGTTGTCTCATTCATCAAGCGGGTAGAAAGGAAGCAAAAGCAATAAGCAACCCATGGATGAATGCAGTCATCCGTGCAAAGAATCCAGCATATGGAATGTTTTTGCTTCCGCAGACAAAAAAAGGGGCTACGGCCTCGGCTACCTAATGTCCATGTAAGTTTCCGGGGCGGAACACAGCCAATGGGACCGAATAATTGATTGGCTAATGGAGTTTCTCTACCCCACGTTTCTTTGCTTCTTTCTTTCTCTTTTCAAGTTGCTGATCTGAGTATATGAGTTATCATATTCCGATGAGGTCGTCACAAAAGAAGAAAAGAAGCATTGCTTTTGATGGCCATGAATCCAATTTACCAGGAGAGAACTTGTGGTCGCCTTGTCAGCAGATCTTCTTGTTGGCAAACATCCTGGTCATTGCAAATACATGTCGTATAGAATCTGAAAGGGTGTTTAACCACCACCTATACCGTTTCATCGTGTCTATAATTGGAAGTCTCCAGTCCCCACCTTCTAATCTTCTAAAAAGCTTCTGCGAATATTACCTATGCTTTCTCAGATCGCAAGTCTTGCCCGGGTACATCGCCTGAAAAATGTCTCCTTGCGATTTGTACAATGATTTTGTCATTGTTTCGTTCTCGGAGTTAGTCAACTCTAAATATCCCTCCAACGAAGCTAATTCTTCTTGAAAGGAACATCCATGTCGAGCTCATGGTTAAGATCATCTTCGGTGACGAATGGGAAGTCTAGTTGTTGAACGAAGATCTCTTGTGTGCTCATTCGATCGTATTTTAGCGCCCCTTCCAGGGGAATTTCCTGGAGTCCAGAGAGAAGGTAATGGTACTCGAAGAAGAACACCAAAAGCTTTTCATCAACTCGTCGAATGGGTTTAGGGGAAAAATGTTCTCCAGTGTCATAAATCACATGATGATCTTATTTATTCCTGGTTTCGTCTCGAAGAATAGGCCACTCTAGTCAAGCTATCACAAATGCTTATAATGGATGATCTGATGCAGGCCACCATAGATCGGTACAACACATGCAAAAATTCACATGATTGGCCAGAAGATATCATGCCTTGCCCTGATGTCGAAGAAGTCAAATACATCTGCGGTCATATCTCTGCTTCGACTTTGAGGTTAGGAATTGTTCACGGTCTTGCTGCAACATTTTTGAAGAGGAGAATGCATGAAAAGATGTTTGAGCTTTGGTATTTGTCAATAAGCTGCTATCCTGATCTGATCCACGATGTTTTGTAGAACCTAAAGCTTGCGGCATAAAAAAGGATTCCGTGGATTTGGAGAGCACTGAAGTTTATGATAGCTCTTTTCTCGTGGAATGATGACAGCTAGATAACTGAGATTGTTTTCCAGTATGTGCTTTGTGCGAACATAGCTTTTCGTCACACCATCTCGATCGCTGCTCTAGAAACCAATCAACGTTCTTTAGAGACAATTATACATATGCAATACGGTCTATTGGACTCAAAAAGAAATATCAATTTGCGGCTATTTACTTAGCTGTGTAATAATGTCCCTAACGAAGATCAGAAGCTTGTTGAGGAAGTATCCTGACTTGGGATTCAAAATCCTTTGTAACATTTGCGTATTTGCCGAACCATCCTTAACTCAGTGGCTTAATTCCATCCTGAAGATATTTATCGTTAATGCATTACAGCTTGATTGCTTGGGCCTCTTATGCTGTGAAGTTACTGCCCTAATCATTGATTCCTTTTTCTGGCATCAAAGCGGGTAGCGGCATCTTGTATGCTAATCATGTAATTGTCACTATCGTATTAAGGTCCCCACGCTACCCCACCTCCACAATCTCGATTAATTCTTCTTTCTCAGATACAGCAAGTCATCTCAGTGTACTCTAATCTACACAGCGCTTTCAATATGGCCTCGCCTTCGAAAAAGGCTTCAAACATCTGAAATCCAGTCGGCGATAAATGGGCAAGTCTGTTTCTCGCTTTTTGTGGCTAAATATAAATGGCCACAGGTATTCTATCTTCAATCAAAAATGCTGTTAAAATTCGTCTGTCCGAAGCGAAAGCTTTAGACTCTACCGGAAGACCTACTTTGCTCACGAGTGGAATACTTCCGAAAGGCATTTAAAGTATGGCTCAAGGAAGGAATCACCAAGGAGTTGTACTTCCCTGAAGATGGCCCAGCAAGTTTTGGTCACCTCCTCGACTGGATCTTCGGTCAGAAGCTTGACTGTAGAATGAACCATGGGTCCGATGCAGGGCAAATATTAGATCATAACCCCCATTGGTGGAGGCTTGGAGCTCTTGCTAATAAGCTTGGTGTCGATGCTCTATCTACAATTGTTGCAGCTCAATATTAGATATGAAACCAAACGTCCCTGCTTCGGACATGGTCTCATATATCCGTAAAAATACCAGGAATAGTTCGAAGCTTCGTAAACTTGCAGCAAGAAGTACGCCAAGGCTGCCATGGCTTCCGAATGGAAACCGGAATTGTGAGTGCGAGCCACAAGCACGAATGCGACATTTACCGTACAAGTTATGAAGAAGATACGCGTTTACATGCGGAAATTTGCACTACTAAGCAGGTGCGATTTAGAATCCTCTATGGTTCATGGACGTAATTGGAAGCATTTCTCTATGAGGGGCTTGATTTATATCATACTAGCAGTCAGGCAGTATGTTGACTTGAAAACTTTGGATGGTCCGTCAGGCTGTATTGCGTTCCCGAGTGTATGTAGGCAGAGTTAGATGTAGTGGCGGTGCTTGGTTTTGAGGGCGTCAACGGAGCACAACAGGATGTTGAGAGTAGTAGCGATGGGGTTCCTGGGTAATAGTTGGAGTAGTTGTTTGCGTTCTGTTTACAGTGATTTAAGTTAGAAGATTAATTTCGTCTCACATTTTAGGTCTGACATATTGATAAGATACCCTCACACACCTACTGTTGGTATGTTGGAGACGTGTGCTGCAAAGGTTGACGGTATCACAAACACCACAATCTAGAAACACTTCAACAATGCTGCTGTTCTTAATAAAATGCTCATGATTTTAATGTGTCAATCTCGAGAAGTACTCAGCTTCAGGCGGTGTTCCGTCACAAGTAGACAGACCCAATGAAGAAAAATGACCCGCCTTTGTGATTCGAAGTACTGGGTGGATGACAAGGGGAACGATCGTTTCCCGAAATCTTAGATTTTATGATTTAAGCTAGAGACTCATATGATGGGATGCCATTTACTTAAAACTTCGGGGATATCAAAAATGGCAAATCTAAGGGAGAGATCTTGTGATCACTCGGATCACTGTTTTCGGACTTAGAAGGACCATGATCTCGTGGCTTGGCATCGGATACGAATGTTAATCACTGAATGGGGGAATCTTTGGTCAAGTGGTATTATTGCTGATCCATTTCAAACGTCCAAAAAGCCATCCGATTTCCACTTCAGTACACAATTTGTTGATTTATTTAACCATGATTCACCGCCTAGTATATATAATCCAGTTATTCATGATCTAGACAAGGCTTGGTCCAACTGATATGTATGGTAATGATGGACTGGAAATTTCAAAGCTTATTCAACAGCCTATGAATCAAAGAACCAACCACTAAAGGCAGAGTATGCCACCGTCACTAGTTAAAACCACAGAAGCTTATTAGCACAATGAAAAGCTTCAACAGCCTTAGTTAAGAAAGCAATGCATTAAAAGGTGTCCTTATTTGCGCCGCTTTATTATTTGTGCAGAAATATGAATGCACATGGTATTACAATAGCAATGAAATTTAAAGGGTGTGAAGAGCACATAGAACTTCTCAAAAAACCTCTTCCAACCCCGCTCGCAGATCAATAGGGGATTTTTAGCGAGTCAAACACACGATCCCACCGATATTCTGTGATATGATTTGTGCTCTGTCCTTCACCCGTATTTCTCCTCCACTCAGGATACCATTGGTCCGTGAGATCAAATTTAAATTCCTTCAATTCTGCTTCCACTTCCTGGGATTGAACTACATTGATGTTAGATGGTTCCAAATTAGTAGCAATAGGAAATGGCACCCTTCCTCGCCTAGCCCAAGCCAATGCGCCGCCTTCTCGAAAAGCCTTGGAATTTTGCGGGAAGATGTCCTTTTCCGGAATCATTCTCACTGGATCATTAACACTTTTTTTGGATTTCCCAGAACCAACGACGTAAAATCGCCTGTATTTGTCCAGATGTGCATAGGCCCAACCTGCAAACCAAGCGACTAGCTTTTTCTCATCATTCTGATCAATAGACGGAGGGGCAAAAAGTAATGGACTCCGCGACTCTTCCTCGGATGGATCACAGTCGAATGGGGAGAGGTTAGCGGGTAGATCCTTGCGGAGCATATCACAAAGAAGCCAATACAAATCAAGTCTCGCTTCACACTGTTCGTGGCTTAATCCCTTCGCGCTTAGCTTAGCAAGCATTGATGGGTCGCCACTGAGGTTTCTCATGAGTTCTTGTTGCTCCTCAACCTTGGAAATAGAAAGTTCCATGAGGAAATTTGGCAGTTCGTGGCAGCACAATACTCTAATTGAGCCATTTATCGAGCTTTTGAGCTTTTTCTGATACCATTTTAAGAAGTTAAGTGTCATAACCGGTTCTGCAACCAAGAAACTTGGTGTTAGAAGTATGGCATATCCTAAAGGCAACAGGCGCTTTGTTACAATTTGGCCCAACTCTGGTTTCTGGGTGATGTGGGAGAACGGCATCTTCGATGTGCTATCTTGGATGCACCAAAATGTGTAATTCATCCCTTCTGTTGTCATACCATGAACCAGGTCTGTGTCAGAAATCAGACTAAGCGCAGATGAGTGTATTAGTACAGCTCCAGCGTTGACATTTTTCCTGAAGTGGTTCCAGCATCCTGGCTTTTGGTAATTGTAAATTTTGCTATATATCGAGCAGCTCTTAAGCCATGATGCTATCAATTCCGCGGTAGATTGGTTCGACGCAGGAAATATCAAACAAAAGTTGAAGATAAGTCTCTTGACTTTTTGGTCCTTGACTTTCTGGTCCTTAGATTTTTGATCCATTATCAGTTTTTCGTAATCAAGATGATGGAAACTTTTCATCATCATATCTCTGTACGAAAGATCCGTTGATGAATTTTGGTTGATTTTCGAAGATTCAACGGAACTTAGTATATGGCTCTGAGTTCCAAATACCAAATATCTCAGCTTAGCATCGGTAGGAAGGCTAGGTGCTACATCTAAATACTTCCATTCTTCGACTGCAACTGGATAAAGTAGAATGATATAATTGTCGCTAACACATGCTAAACCAGATATCCATAGGCAGAGGTATTCAGCTATGTTTTTGACCATATGGCATCCGGCTTGGTCAGTGGAGTCGGTGCTAATATTCTGTTGCCAGTAGGTGTATTGTTGAATGTGACCGTATTTTGACTTGAAATCATGCACCGTGCAGATTTGTTCGAAATGTAGAGTCTCTGCACTCACGAAGGCTTTTTTCCAATCTGAAGCATCCGTCGGAAGGCTTGTAAAGTCGAGGTTGGTAGGTTGAGCTTGTGGACCAAACGTGACTGCTTTAATTTTGGCACCTGCGCTTTGTACCTCCCCATTCATCAGGTCATTATCAAAAGGTAACTGTTCAGCCTCTTGATGATTTCGCTCAAGCGGAGGGAGATCAGGCGCTGCGTTCATCTCGACATCTATCGCATCGTCGTCACCAGGTACCGGAGTAGTTCTTGCATTATGCAGTGGGCGCTGTGAACCTCTTTCCCTTGAAATTCCCAGATCGACTACGTCTGGGTCAACATGACTCGTATAAACTACGGGACTATATTGAGCCTGTTCGTGCTTGAAATAACAATTCCTATCCAACTGGCAATGGCCCTGATTCCAATACTTGCAAGGAATAGACTTCAATGGTATAGAACCAGGTTTCGTTGCCACGGGAAAATCATTGTCGTTTGAATGGGCTAATTTACATTCATCCCCTTTCTTGCAATTATTCTCCGAGTACCAATAATAGCAGACCATTTTTGGACCACCTACACTATGGGGCGCCTGGGATTTTCTTGACATGGTTTTGCCAGACGAGGCCGGCGGTACCCATCCAGGCGGCGGACTCCTCACTGGGATATTGCTGTTCGAATTATGTAAGTCTCTACATGCGTCACCACGTCGGCAATTCCCATCTAAATTGTAGAAGAAACAGATTTTTTTCTGTGAGTCAAACCATCCATCGGGGGCCGAGACAACGGGAAGTCGGGGATCGTCGACGTGAAGATATTTGCAATGACTATTATAGCACCCTTGTGGCTGGGTAGTGAAGAAGCATCTTGTTCGTTGCTCATACGGGATATGCTGTACGTCCTCCCATGACATTTCAGCCGGGTGCGGAGCAGGTCCATGGGAGTCTTCTTGCTGCTCATGATTTGGCGTAGCTGGTGGCACTCTTCGATTTTCCTCTTCGTTCTGTGGAGCAGATGAAGTCCTCCGAAGAGCCTCTGGTTTTTGCGCAGATGAAGCTTTTGAAGGATTGATCAACCCACCAGGGATAAAAGCAAGATCTGGTGCTTTTTCCGCCATCGTTCTACCAGCCAGTTCCACTTTTCTGAGGATGTGTCTGGTTTTGAAATGCCGCTGGTCTTTTGATGAATCTGCAGCAGCTTCAATCAAACTGGCTTTTTGTTTTCTGGGAGCTTTACCACTGATGAATACATTTTGTGAGTATAGAGAAGAACCTCCGCGCATGGCACCTCCTCCTCGAATTTTTGGTGTACCTCTAGAGGATGTAGACTTCTTGGCGGCTGCTATCTCCAGGGTATCAGCGGCTCTTGGCTTTGAAGCAGCTTGCTTCTGTGATTCCTCCTCTGGTCGGGGGGCAGTTTTAGAAGATGAGGCATCCAATTTTGCCGTTTGTTGTTGATTGACAAACAGCGGTTCATCAGACGATAAGTCCGAGTCATTTTGTACAGGTCCCTGAATCTTACATATGGTTAGTTCACATATTTGCGTGATTTCGCAACTGCCCAGGCATACCTCAGGTTTTTTCGTAGCTTGAACTTGCTGCTGTCTTTCAGGATTCCTTTTACCATCGGGTGTAGGTGAGCCAACATTTTGACGTAGAACTGTAGACTCTTCTTCGCCAGCATCTGCATCCGAGTCGTGAGGAGAGACAACTATACCCTGGCGCTTCCTCTTTTCACGTCGCAAACGACGACGTCGTAATTTACCATCCTCGACCCTCCTTTTTAGAGCTTCGAGTTTTCTGGTGTCATATGGTGTATCCAAGCCCTCAAGTTCACGAGATTGTCGTGATTTCCAAGCATCAAGAATGGGTTTGCCCAATATGTTCCTTCTCGGCTCCCACTGTGAGATGTAAATATTAGCAGTATACTCAGGATGAGTTTTGATATGATGAGTATTTACAGATGATTCTTCCTCTGGAAATCCCGCCCACCTAATCAGATACAGCTGTTGACCGTCTTCCGATTTTTGGGCCAAAATTCGTTCGACCGTGAATTCGTGATCTGAAGGATATTGCTCCTCATCATCCGTCGATTCTAATAGTAATTTGGAAATTTCGTCTTCTTCAAGTGAGGAGAAGACCTTCGTGTTCGCCTTTTTGGACGACATTTTGCACCATGATATTGTCCAAATAGACCGGGTATGAGCCAAGGATAGAAGAAGACGGTTGGGGAAATACAATGTGTAGCATGTGCTCAGTGTTGTTGAGTAGATTCAATTTATGAGGTCAACCCGCAGAGGATGTGGTAGGAGGAGGTACATTAATTTGATTTGGGTGAGTAAGAGGAGAAATCATGGAAGATACATGATTTCTGTTGAATTAAACGGAAAAGAATACACCGTAGATGGGAGACGGTAGATGGATGACGGAATATTCTGTTGATTCGCTCGAGATTGATAGGGTAAGGCCATGAATTCATCAATTTCCTCTTCCTCTCATGTTATTCTGGCTCGTCTGGTGGTCTGCTATCCTCATATAGGTATCTACCTAACGACATATCATACGAATATCAACTGAGACCGTGACCAGAAACGACCAAATAAATATGTCATCACGTGATTTCGTACCATCTCCCAGTGTGAAATTTTAAGGTGACTAGTGGATTATTAGGTAATCAAACCAAAAAGAGGTAACGTGGTTTATCATCGGGTCGCCAATATCACCGGGTCGCCACTTTTTTCACCATTCAACCACTTCAATTTCAATTCGCGATATCTCAATGAATTATCATGGAAACACAATCAAAAGAAGCCCGAATCATCTTAGCTATTGAAGCTATTCGAAAGTCTAAAAATTTGACAATTACGAAAGCTGCGAAAGTCTATTCAGTACCTCGATCTACACTACGCGATAGAATCAACGATCGAAATAACCAAATGGAAACTCGAGCAAATGGGCATAAAATAACTGAATTAGAAGAGAAAATGCTTCTTCAATATATAATTGATATAGATGATAGAGGGTTTGCATCTAAATTGAGTGATGTGAAAGATATGGCGAATTATATTCTTCAATCGTAAGGGGCAAAGAAGGTTGGAAAGCTCTGGGCTCATCGATTCGTAAAGTGTTATACAGAATTAAAGATATGTTTTAATCGCATTTATAACTTTCAAAAAGCTCTCTGCAAAAATCCTAAGTTTATTGAAAAATGGTTTCAAATAGTATTGAATATACGAGCGAAATATAATATTCAGGATTGCGATTTCTACAATTTCGACGAAACAAGCTTTATGATGAGGATTATAGTTGTTTATATTAAAAGATTGGGTGGAAGAGGCCTCTATATTGACTATATTACTACGTCTGTAGGCGTATTAAGATCTCCTCTTGGTATCCTCGGAGGGGACCAATATGCCTGCTTATGGTTCATCTAATCTAGCCTGTTTAGGTAACCGTATTACTAATCACGACACGTGATTAGTACCGGTAACTTCTATTCCTTTTAACAGTTTATATAATTGTAATTAATGTTGAACGAAATGGCAGAAGCAAGACAATACAATTAGGCAATCGAGAATAGGCTACAGCAATTATATATGGTAATAGAGAGGGTGAAATTATACCTCCATTTCTGATAGTTCAAGGACAAGTCCACCTTTTGAATTGATATACCGAAACCGATCTTCCTACAGATTAGGCTATTAAACCTACTTCCAATAGATGGACGAATAATGAGACAGGGTTAAAATGATTAAAGCATTTCGATAAACATACTATTCATCGAAGAAAGGACAAATATCGAATATTAGTGCTGAATGGATACGAAAATTATGAATCAATATCTTTTCAATCATATTATAAAGCTATTAAAAGATTGGGTGGAAGAGGCCTCTATATTGACTATATTACTACGTCTGTAGGCATATTAAGATCTCCTCTTGGTATCCTCGGAGGGGACCAATATGCCTGCTTATGGTTCATCTAATCTAGCCTGTTTAGGTAACCGTATTACTAATCACGACACGTGATTAGTACCGGTAACTTCTATTCCTTTTAACAAAAGCAAATAATATAATATATATAAAACTACTAATGTATTCTAATCATTTAACTCAATCATTTGATATTGGATGTTTGTGACGGAAAAGTCGTAAACGGAGTCAATTCAATTACTTAGAATCTAAAACTAAAGAACTAAGAAGATTCTAAGTAAGAAGGTCTTTATATACAGGGCTAGTGCACGTGAGCCACTAGTGGGATAACAACCGTCACGTAACAATGTTTTAATGTTCTGAAACGCTCGTATAATAATCAAATTGATGGATTTATCAAGATATATATCAATTATATCTTTAAAATTGAATTCTTTATAGTTTTCAAAGCTATATATCAACAATCAATTATATCTCAAAATATAAAAGTTAGATTTCGAGGAATTGGATTAATACCATTTAATCCTGAAGCTGTACTCTCAAAATTAGATATTCGAATTCATATATTTATTCCCCTCTTTTTCAATATAGATGTTACGACGGGCTACACAACTACCAAGACACGTGATCACAAATGATCAATAGTGATCATTAAGGATCACTAAGGATCACGGTATAGGTGATCACTGATGATCATTAAGGATCACTAAGGATCACGGTATAGGTGATCACTGGTGATCATTAAGGATCACTAAGGATCACGATATAGATGATCACTAATGATCATGAAGGATCACTAGTAATCATGGAAGCATGAAGGACTATATAATCAAGATGGATTTCCTTTGTATAGAGCTTCGTGCTCAAGATCAATCATTTAGTATATCCTACTATTAGTTACGAATTGCATTTCATTATTGTCATTACTTAAGTCCCTGCTTGACGCCTAGTTATAAACCACCTCGAGAGCCTAGGGCACTTCCACGTGATCTAGACGGCAAACCTCGTAACATGATAATTCTTTAATAAGAAGACAAGCTATTATACGACGATGTAACAAATGTAGTAGTACTTCATATAATGCATGAACTTGTCAATTAGATCCAGCATTAATTGATCCTTAGATTATATATAATTTAATTCTATTTTATAATGTTGTTGTAATTTTATTTTAATTGAAAGATAATAATTGAGGTAAAAGTGGTGCACATGCTGATATGGTGCACATACTGATAAACCACGTTACTCGGGAAAAGGTGAAGTTTGAATTGAATTGGCGGAGTGAAAAGATTATATCAGCCGCGCGCCTTGACATCAATTTTGAAACCATCTATTCGAACAGATAGCCAAGAATATTAATATAAAATGGACATTCGGTCGAATTAATCAAACCGAATCAATCAAACGTTGATAATAATTAGGTAGTTAAGATTATCTACTTCAAGTAAGATGTAAGATTTTACATCCTTCTTAAAAAAAGGTTGTCAAAGGTTACCTTACCTACCATACAGCAGGCCTACCTGGGCAGTAACTTGGTTATTAGGTAGAGAGAGAGATAGTAGATACTAGGTAGGTAGATACGAGGGATGTCCTTCGCAAATCGTTAAATAGGCACAAAAGTGAAAAAGGAGGGCCAACTACCTACCCTACCTAGACTATGTACTTGAAGTGAGTGAAGACCCAAAGTGACTCAACCTTGAACATTTGAAGTGATAGGAATTGATTCTATTTATTTATTCATTTATTTACTTACTTTTTTATTTTATTCATATGACTCAAAATAATTGACATCTCATTTAATACCCAAGTAAGAGCATCACAATTACAATCCTTCCTCCGTACGAGTCTAAAACACCCACCAGTAACCCAACCCAAAACCCCAAACCACAACCTTACAACCCCCCGGCTTCTCGCATCTCCACTCCCTCCATCCATCCATCGCAACAACGAAATCCGTCAACTTTCAAAACCCCCCCCTTCAATAATAAAATACCATTCCAGCTTCAACATCAATCATGGCGAATGACGAATACGACGTAAGTATATCCATCAAATCCCATTCATCTTGCCAAACTCACAGGATATACTAACATCTCTTGGATAGTTCCTGTTCAAGGGTAAATAACATCCCTCGTCTTCCCCCCCTCACAACCTTCTTCCCGCCTTATTACTGTCGTTTCCTTGGTCGCTGACTTGGTTTCTTTCTCTCATAGTTGTCCTTATCGGAGACTCTGGTGTCGGTAAATCCAATCTTTTGAGTCGATTTACTCGAAATGAATTCAATTTAGACTCAAAGTCGACCATCGGTGTAGAGTTCGCAACTCGATCCATTCAAGTGGATGCAAAGACAATCAAGGCGCAGATTTGGGATACCGCTGGACAGGAAAGATATCGCGCCATTACATCCGCTTATTATAGAGGTGCCGTTGGAGCTCTTCTGGTCTACGATATCAGCAAACACCAAACCTACGAAAATGTTACAAGATGGTTGAAGGAGTTGAGGGATCATGCTGACTCTAACATCGTCATCATGTTGGTCGGAAACAAGAGCGATTTAAGGCATCTTAGGGCTGTACCTACGGAGGAAGCCAAACAATTTGCGAGTAAGGAAGTCCTTCATCTACGAAGAGAATGTCATGTTGACCGTTGTCATTGCAGGCGAAAACAACCTATCCTTTATTGAAACCTCAGCTCTCGACGCGAGCAACGTTGAGCTTGCCTTTCAAAACATTCTTACTGGTATGGCTCCTTTAAACATTTCGCTTTGATTCACAAACGTTAATAATATCTCCCATTTTAGAAATCTATCGAATTGTATCTCAGAAAGCCCTCGATAACGGTGATTCTGCACAGGCCACTATCGGAAGTGGTACAAATATTACTCTTACACCCCCTCCTTCAGACGAGGCAGCGAAGGGAGGCGGAAAATGCTGTTAAGTAGCCAGGTGTTCTTAACTTTGCGCAACTATACGGACATATTGGTTGGTGGTTGATACAAAGGTGTGGCGTCTTTAAATGTCATTACGGGAGCATGGGGGGTCACGAAGTCAGGGCTAAGCAAAGCGCTCAAAGCACTCGATGAGCGGGCTCAAGGATATCTTCCCTTTTTTTTTCCAATTATGTTGTCCGGTGGTTCTTCCTCTCTGGGATTTCACGTCTGCAACGATCGCTACGCTTGTCTAATTCAATGGATTTTGTCTTAATATGTCTGTCCTAACGATTCTTTCAGAACTTTCTTCTTCCACTGCCTCCGCTGACTTGATCTTCGCCCATCTTCCTGATCTCTTCATTAGGTTTGACCCAAGCAGAACTAGCATCAACCATCCTGCCTGTGCCAAACATGTCTACACACCATTCGATAACGCCATCAAGCTCCGTTCTACTTTGTTCCTCGAGTGATGCCTTGTCAGCCTCCTTGCCCTGTGTCTCTCTGAAGGTTTGAACAGCATCCAAAAACTTTTGGCCATTGTCCAACGAATCCCTGTCGCCACCATTCCTATGCTCTTTTTGCCACGCTTTCCAAGTCTGACCACTCCTTCCCCAAAGCTTTGAGTATATTTCTGACTCGTTGACATCGCTGTACCATGCTCTCGCATTATCGTAATCTCCCTCGATTCGGTGCAAAATTCCATGTAGATACATGCCTTCGAATGCTGGCGCCGACTGCATATGACGAGCCAAAAAGTGTGCAGATGGTAAGTCAAGATTTAAAATGTGTAGTGCAGTCTCTAGGGTTGGATGGAGTTGGAGGGAGGCGATCTCGGAGGTAAGAGTTGGATCGTGGGGTGATGCAGGTGGGAGGAGTGGGGCAGGAATCTTAAGAAGTCGTGTGTGAATGGATTTGAAGGTTGCCATTATGGTTTTGTGTGCAGTCTTGCACGGTGAGTTGAATGAAGAAGGTTGGATGAACAGATAGATGGTACTGAGGTATCAATGGAATGTGCTGTTTAAGAACTTATACTATGCTAGTAGGTCTAAAAGCTTGACGAGCTAGATTAGTGATTTTTATCTGAATGGTAATCAAGACCAAAAGGGGCCATCATCGATAGGGGAAGTACTAAGTAAACATAAAGATATCGTATGTGATCACCGAGACCCATGGATCTTAGTCAAAGTCAAATGCAGGAACAAATGTTGCCGAAAAGGAAGATCTTTTGATCTATGCATATCGTCATGCCGCATACAAGTAAGTGCCCAGTCTATCAAGTTCCTCGGTAGTGCCAGATCTCCATATTATATCTACCTACTAAGGAACCTATCTAGGTACTATAAGATAATTGTTTAGCCACAAGGCTAGACATGAGGCTGATCACGAGGCTGAAATTTCATCAATTCATGGTAGGGGCTAAGTGGCTGGTAGGATTCATGGAGAATAACGCTAGCAAGGATAAATTGATAACGCGCTAAGATTAAGGCTGCGCTTACACTATCAAAAGAAATTCTTAAGAAACTTTAAAGATCTCAAGAACTTTTTTGCGCGCGCCCGATCCGATAGCCTTCCAATATATCTACTACTTAATATACACAACACAACATATACAATGGCTTCTGTTTACAAGTCATTATCAAAGACCTCTGGTCATAAAGAAGAAACCCCGACTGGTGTCAAGAAAAACAAGCAAAGAGTTTTGATCTTGTCTTCAAGAGGAATAACTTACAGGTATATAAATTTGTACCGATGCGATGCAAAAAATCGCAGGAAAATGCTAACTCTACAACTTAGACATCGACATCTCCTCAATGACCTTGCGTCCCTACTTCCCCACGGTAGGAAAGATGCGAAACTCGATACCAAGTCAAAGCTTTATCAATTGAATGAATTGGCAGAATTATATAACTGTAATAATGTATTTTTCTTCGAGGCAAGAAAAGGAAAGGATCTTTACCTGTGGATGAGCAAAGCACCCAATGGGCCCACCGTGAAGATGCATATGCAAAATTGTACGTTCATCTTGACATCCCGCTGTGAGGGAAGGTCTCTCTAACAGCACCTTAGTACACACCATGGAAGAGCTCCATTTCACAGGAAACTGTCTCAAAGGTTCCAGACCCATCCTCTCTTTCGATGCCTCTTTCGACAAGGAACCTCACCTCCGTGTACTGAAAGAACTCTTTCTCCACATCTTCGGCGTGCCAAAGGGTGCTAGGAAATCGAAACCTTTTGTCGATCATGTCATGGGATTTACTTTGGCAGATGGCAAAATCTGGATTCGAAACTACCAGATCAGCGAGACAGAACCATCGAGAGTCAAAGGTGCTGAAGAAGAAACTCCTACAAAATCCAAATCGAAAAATTCGGGAAACAAGGAGACAGAATGTAGCTTGGTGGAAATTGGACCAAGATTTGTATTGACGCCCATCGTCATTCAAGAGGGAAGTTTTGGTGGACCGATAATCTACGAGAACAAAGAGTTTGTGTCCCCTAATCAAGTCAGAAGCGAGATCAGAAAGAAGAAGGCAGGGAGATACAATGCGAGGGCAGAACAGGGTATCGAGAGACTGGCAAAGAAGGGTGAATTGGGACTCAGAACAAATGGAGGAAGACAGGCGCCAAAGGATGCCCTGGATAATGCTGAGTTGTTTGCTTAGGCTAAGAAGATTCCCTAATTGGCGTTTGGTGCATGGAAAATATGATAAGGGAGAAATTAGGAAATATTTGCTTGCTGCGTGTAAGACTTTTCTCCTTGACCAATCCGGAAATCTCCTTGCGTGACAGCAACTTTATGAAATCATTCATGGAAAAAACATTCAATTACACGAGACAAATGTGTATTTTTTCGATACCATCGTATCTATCAAATACATACACTCTGTTTATTGAGGGCGGGCACCCTGATCAACGCTTGATTATAAGTATATTATCAATTATTAGACTTTATTGATTACTCTATAGAAACTAAAAATAGAAATAGTAAACTTTATATTGATATTGATATTGATATTTGTCTCTTATTAATATCTTAATCACTTGTATATTAAAATAAAGTAAATAAGAACCAAAGTTTTACTATATAAATAATATAAGTAAGCATTGTATAAAATCAATCGCTGTTTATTTACATTTATCCTCAAATTCCATTTCTGATGTACAAGTCACTCATAACACACCCACACCAGACCTGGTAAGACTTCTGAGATACCTTTCAGCGTGGTGCAAAAGGTATCATGAAATGGAAAGTTGCTGGAAATGATAAATCAAAATGAGACGTTACTGTAGACTAGAGAGTAAAATTTTCGGTTTTGCATCTGGGTATCGGGAAAAGCAAAGCTCGCTGGTTGAATTGCGGTCAATAATTTCTCAGGTTTCGTCAATCATATCGTCAACGGTTGTGAGAATAGGACTTCTTCTCGAGTCCTAGATTCTTCTACTCGAGCCTCTCGATGTCCTCGTTGTCATCCTCGGCTCTCTTCTTCTTTCTCGAGGGGCTTCGGGTATGGCCATTGATAGAAGCTCCATGCTCTGAAGACGCCGCAGCTGTCACATATTTTCTCTTTTTTCCATTTAAACCAATTTCAACTGTGGAAGATCGCAGGACTAAAGCCGAGGCAGACGGTTCGGGCGTGGAGCTATTGTCTGCGAACCCTCTGGTATTGTTGTTTCTAGATGAGTAAAGGTCATCTACCCTGACTGACAAGTCTGCGACCTCTTCGACGAGCTCGTCGCGCATTCCATCTAGAGTTTTCTTTTGCTCCTCGGCCTGCCCATCCAGATCTTTGACGGCATCATTTAGAGCCTTGAGATCCTTTCTCAGTGCAGCTAAGCCACTATGGTAGGTCGTAACACTTTTTTCGAGGTTAAGCTGGTCCTTAGTCAATGCATCCACTTCCTGGCGTAAAGACTCTGTACCTGGATTACCTATAGCTGCCGGAGATTGTTTGCGGGTAGTTTGGCTTTCAAAATCGATCATTCGGCTATTCAACTTCTCCAATTGGATCGTATGGTCGGATTGTTGCATTCTCAAGTCCGAGATGATCCTTTCAGCATTTTTTAAATCCGGATAAAGCACTTCTAGCTGGCCCATCATGCTCTTCGCTAGATCTCCTGTCGATATGTTATTCATTCGGCTAGACAAATGAGTTATGGCAATAGTATTCCCGTTTTGGTTATTGGTCAAAATATTGAGTTGATTATCCATCAGAGTTGACGATTGAGCGAGGGCATTTATATTTTTCAAAAGTTCATCCAGGCCAGCTTGGAGAGCAGGGATCGACTCCGTTTTCCCTGTGATAATTTTGATCTGTTCTTCCATAACCGTATTACTCTTTTGTAATGACTGTATTTCGGCGCCGAACTTCTCAACGCGTTGATTGATGGCTTGGTCTACCTGGCTCCGCTCGTGTCTGTACGTTTCGAAGGCCCTCTTGAAATCTGCAACATCTTGCGCTGCAGTGGAGAACGGCGACAATTTTGCGACTGCCTCGTTCACGTTGATAGAATCCATGTTTTTAAAAGATTCCTCCAATGCAGTTAGCCTGGATTCGTAATTTAGAGTCGTGCTATTTTGCCACCCTTTGATTAGAGCAGCTTCCTGTGAAGAAGTACGGCTAGTGGATCTAAGAAGAGCTTCTATTTTGTCGAGCCTTTCTTCAGCGAGCTTTACGTCCTGTTTTACATCACGTAGTCCAGTGTGGACCACCCCAATCATTGTTGCGCTCGATCCAGTTAATGCTTTTGACGTGGCCTGGGGAGCCGAAATGGACGAAGTTTGAGGGATATGCTCCAGTCGAATGACCTTATCCTGAAGAGTATTTAATACCACCTGGAAATTTTCAACCTTTTCAAGGATGGCCTTGTGAGCGTTTAGGAGCACAACAACGCTTGTCTTATCATTCTCCAATCGACCAAGTCTTTCCATATTTGACGAACTCAAGCATTCCAGAGAATTCTTGTAAGTACCGAATGACTTCTCAAGGTCTACAACTTTCTCTGCAAGTTGATGAATACTATCATCATTATTAGCTTTCAGCGTGGCAAATTCTTTGTTAACATGATGCTGGGATGTAGTCATCTCCTCCTTTGAAATTTTGATCGACGCTTCAAGCTTTTTTATAGAGTTTCCATAACTATCCAGACGGGATGTCATTGAAGCAAGTTCACTTCGGGTAGCTTGATGCTGTTGATCAAGTTTTGTATATTTTTCAGACAGATTCTGACATTCGCGCATTGCCTTAGCTTCGCTGTTATAAATCTTCCCTACAATTTGTGACTCGCTTTTTCCGATCTTGCTAATAACCTCACGATGATCGGCTTCAATATCCCGGAAACGTCGTTCGCTGTCTTTATGATTCATACAAGCAATTGTCTTCTCAAGATCCTTCACTTTCACCTCCAAGCTCTGGCAACGTTCTTGGAGAAGCTTCGAGTTATCGGTGGTAGGAGCAGTTTTGATAATGAGACGAGAGGCAATGGCTTTGGCTGCATCCCTTTGTAGTCTCTTGGCTTTTTCGAGCTCTTTCTCTGTTGTCTCAAGGGCCTTTTCCGCCTCAATTTTGCGTTGATTTTGCACTTCTAGATGTGTAGGAAAGCCTTTCATGGCGGAATACATGTTATGTGTTTCCTCGACTTGCTCTTTCAGACGTTCTTTCGCCGAGTTCCGTTCTTGATTCAGCGCACCACGAGAGTCTCCTTGGTCAGCGAAATGCATTAACGCATTAATAACATCCTCTAGCTGAGATTGTTCTACAACTGATGGTGATCCACAGGGGTTGGTGGTAGCATCAGTAGGGACAGCCATCATGCTGTTCGATTTCGATTGCGTCGTATCCGTTGTAGGATATGGGTTGGCTTCCGTACGACGATTAGTTCCTAATTATATATTGTTAGTTTCGATTACATAATTTCATTGCGTTAGGACTAGGAAGTAAAGGCAAGAGTAGCATTTGCTTCAGAAAGGAATTGAATTCAAGAACCACGCCATTCTTAACGACTTGAAATGAAAGCCCTAGAAATTCCTGCTGCTACAGAGCTTCTCAATGTCCAAAATACTTGAACACATTGAAAAGACTATCCTGGTACAGAGATGTTTACTTCTCCGGTAAGCTTTTCAAAGTTCTCACTCAGCTCAATTGCAGTGACTTCTAAACCACTAACGTTTCAAGGGTGCTAGAAACAAGGAAATCTTGAGTGTTACTTGCCATCTGATTCCGATCCAATGACATTTGTTTTTTTTGTTACTCTTGTTGTCATCGCCGTAGGAGAAGAGCTATTGGAGTTAAAACGTTGAGTGTTTGTCGAACTAGTCTTCTCAAAAGAGCGACTCCCCCAATTGCCCCTGTCTTTGTTTCTCCTAGCACCATTATCTCTGCTATCGTGCTGTCTATCGGACCCATGATTCTCATAATCCTCATTGGTAACGGGTCTGTCTCTGACATCACGATATTTGTTCGAACTATCCCTCTCATAATCATGGTCGTCAATGGGCCTGTCCCTGACATCATGATACCTATCGGACCTATGCCTATCATCACGGTAAGCATCTACTGGTCCTCGTGGAGATGGTCGCTCATCTGAGTAATTCCGGCCAGACATTGCTGCTGAAGACCAAGGATGACTTCCTTGCTTATCGAAATACTCTGATGGTGAAATGTATTGTTCTTGATTTTTATTCAGCTATCATCGAGAAGTCGATGGAACTAAGCTTCTTCGCAATTAGCAACGGCCCCAGATGTTTTAATGATGAACCTTGGATACCAACAGCTCATCTTAGTAGATGTACCCAGAGTACGGGAATGGAAAGGCAATGCTCTTCTGATGGCAAGGCAAAGAACGATTTGAGAAAGGGTATTTGGATTAAAAAAACTTACCGGGGGTATGGCTAGCAGTCAAGTGAGCCAGATCAAATCTGATTAGTTGTTATATTGATAACATCCTTGCTTGGACAGTAAACACAGAAATTCAGATATATTTGATTTGTTTAGATAAACCCAGGCTGTGTTTAAAGTCCTATACAGATTTAGTCGAGGCTTCAAATTGCCAAGTTTGGGAGAACTGAAGTATTGATTGAGGGAATTGAAACTCGAAAATCAAACTTCTGAGGTCCAATATCAGTTTTATTAGATGGCTAGAATGGGTTTGAAAAGTCCAAGTGAATTTCCAAACCACGGTTGTCATCAAGTTTCGGTAGAAAAAGTTCAAAGGATCAAGGATGGACTTTTCAAAGCATAATATGAAGTTATATTCTCTATTCTGAGATAACTTTGTGAGACCTTTTGAGACTTTTTGAGACTTTGTCTGGTGAATTTAAGAAAAGGTTGCAAGTAAATTATAAGTTACGAATGGTAGAAATTACTTTTTGCTCAAGTTGTTTGAAGAAAGTTGAAAACAAGGCGTCTGTTAGGTAGATTGTGTAATAATCAACGTGATTGGACTCCGTGTTTGGTTTGCGTGTCTAGGCACCTAGCATGTATTGTAGAGAAAGATGAAGAGAGGAAGAGATGAACAGATGAACAGATGAATATGAAAAGAGATAAGAGAAGTATAATTAAGTTATAGGTTAAACCAGTAAACGCGCGCTTTTAAATAAAATTTATTAAAAAGAGATGAATTCATGAGAGAATAAGCTAGCAGGGTTAAGCCATGTTTTAAATGATAAGCTAAACTTCAAAACGCCTAGCGCATAAAGCAATAGTATTAGATTCACTTACGGTTTGGATAAGCTCACCCTTGATTTTTCATTGGACAAGCAATTTGATTGATACTGGACTGGAAAAGAAGTGATTATCGTGACTTGAGTGGTTTAGTGCCTACTAGGTAGTGACCCTTTGATATTGAGTCTGATATACCTAGCACATTCGAGTTCATGGGTGAGAGTTCTTGTCATTCAACAGAAAAAGATTTGGACCGAAAGAAAGCAAGTACTGAAAGGCCTTATCCATATATACCTTGTGTGCCTACTTCTCGCCTCCACAATATGTACCACCTAGACATTCTGATTCTGAAAGCCCGAGCTTAAACACCTGCTAGGTACTATCTATCTACTTATGTTCCAGCCTTATTGGTAGTGTCCTGTACTCACTCACACCTACCTACCGAAACTTTTTTTTTTTTTTATTGTAGGGATCAGAACTTCCCTTCCGCCTCGTCCATAATAAATACTATCGCAAACGATAACCTACCTAACCACTTTTTACTTTTCCCCTCCACCCCCAAAATACCTACCTACCTACCTACCTACCTACCTACCTACCTACCTACCTACCTACTCACCAAACCTACCCACCTCTTTCTATCCTTCCACTCTCATCATATTGCAAATTCTTCGCCATGGCTGCAGTAAGCTTCATATTCATTCTATTCTGTATCTTTGACTCTACTTCCAATCATACTTACAATTTTCTAGGCAATTCAGACCGTCTCCGAGAGCAAAGAGTTGCGCGGGCTCAATTTAATTGCTGCTCATTCTCACATTCGCGGTTTAGGTGTTGATCCAGACAATCTGGAACCACGCGCATCCTCACAGGGACTTGTAGGCCAGGAAAAGGCGCGTAAAGCTGCTGCCGTGATCCTACAAATGGTGAAGGAAGGGAAGATAGCAGGTCGAGCAGTTTTGATCGCAGGCCCCCCAAGGTATGTGATTTATACTCGGTCATAAAAATTCCTTATTGACTTGTACCTGTCAGCACGGGAAAAACTGCAATAGCAATGGGAATGGCACAATCTCTAGGTTCGGATGTGCCGTTTACCATGTTGGCTTCCTCGGAGATATTCTCGCTCGAAATGTCAAAAACTGAAGCTCTTACCCAAGCTTTTCGAAAGTCCATCGGCGTGCGCATAAAGGAGGAGAGTGAGATGATCGAGGGAGAGGTCGTCGAGATACAGACCGACAGGAGTGTGACCGGTGGTACCAAACAGGGCAAATTAACCATCAAGACCACAGATATGGAAACTGTATACGACATGGGCAGCAAGATGATTGATTCCATGACAAAAGAGCGTGTAATGGCGGGAGATATTATTTCAATCGACAAATCGTCGGGCAAGATTACTAAGCTGGGACGATCGTATGCAAAATCAAGAGATTACGATGCAATGGGTGTGGACACGAAATTCTTGCAGTGCCCAGACGGAGAGCTGCAAAAGCGCAAAGAGGTGGTCCACACTGTGAGCTTACACGAGATCGATGTCATCAACTCGAGAACCCAAGGTTTCTTGGCTCTCTTCTCGGGGGACACGGGAGAAATCAGAAGTGAGGTTCGTGATCAAATCAACACCAAGGTTGCGGAATGGAAGGAAGAGGGAAAGGCCGAGATTGTACCTGGTGTTCTCTTCATCGACGAAGTTCACATGCTGGATATCGAATGCTTTTCATATATCAATCGCGCCTTGGAAGATGAGCTCGCACCCATTGTCATAATGGCAAGCAACCGCGGAAATTCCAGAATTAGAGGCACCAATTACAAAAGTCCCCACGGATTGCCTCTGGACTTCCTAGATCGGGTCGTTATCGTTAGCACTCATCCATACGCCAAAGAAGAAATTCAACAGATTCTCTCCATCCGTGCACAAGAGGAGGAAGTCGATGTTTCCCCCGATGCACTCGCCTTGCTCACTAAAATTGGTCAAGAGACCGGTCTCAGATATGCCAGTAACCTCATCACCACATCACAACTCATCTGTGCGAAGCGAAAGGCGAAGCAAATTGGTATCGAAGACGTTCAACGAAGCTTCACTCTTTTTTTTGACTCTGCACGTAGTGTCAAATTCGTCACCGACTTTGAGAAGCGACTCATCGGCGAGGAGGGAGGTGTGAACTTGTCAGTGACCAATGGTCATGGCGATGCGATGGAACTTTCATGAATTTAACGAGGCTAATAAGATATGATTATTCGCCGTTGAGTCGTTCCCTATTTGCTGTGGCAAGAAAATGCACAATGCTTGCACCTTTATGTTGTATATTAAGTCTGAGTAATAGTAGGCGCAATTTATTGGAGATGTAATAGAGTGAGCGCGTTGCCATCTAGCTGAAATGGGGTAAAGACAGGTCGAGGCCCCGTAATTTCCTATGTTTTGTGAATTGTTTAGATGTTACATTGCTCATGTGATTATTTAAAAACAAGTACTTGTCTTTGAGCTATCACTGCAAAAGAAAAAACCCCAAATTTTAGATGTAACACTGGAACTATGTGCGCTCATTGCTTTTCCATATCCCCGGGTATCATGTCATAATCATACAAAATCCACAACTCTGCTCCAACCACCCTCTTGCCCAACTCTCCTGAACTCGACACCCTCGCCAAAGTAGCCCGCATCCTGCCATGCTACCATCGTTTGACCATCAAACGGGCCTTGCTTAGCAGCGCCATCACGACCATCAGTCCATCTATACTCCCACATTTTGGTGGCCTTCGAGCTGTGCTCTTGGTCCATAGCCACTTCTCCCGGCGGTTCTACCCAGTCTTCTCCAGTCTCTCTCCCATATTGACGTATAAGCATTTCTCTCTCCTGCTCATAAACATCCGTTTGCCCTCTTATGAGTAGTTGATCGGCCGCTCCTGTAATAGCATTGATAGCCTCTCGTATCCTAACCTGTTCCAGATCTTCAGCCTTTCCAGCATCCACATCCATAGAATCATCTTTCTGCTGTTGCTTTTTCAATTTCCATTTTGGTATTTTCTTCGTTTTCGCTTGGCCCCTACCAAGTCTAGCGAGTGCCTCGAGAACGGTCTCGCTCTTCTCCAGTTGTAGTATTAATGTTCGTAAAATATCTGACAGCAACATGGCATCATCTTCCAGCCTCTTTTGCCGTCGCTCCTCCTCCCGTTTTTCGTGTGCTTCTGCAGCTTTCTTCATCTCCTTCTTACTAATTCCTTCCAGCCAACTGTCGTGCACTGCATCTCGATCTGCCGCATTTCGCACAAAGTTGCCATTCGCATCAAATTTACCTTCTTCCTGTTCAGCTTTCATGTTGAACGCATCAACTTTGGGAGCATTCCTCTTCAGTCCACCAGCGCCAACCTCCTCGTCCACATCTTCTTCTTGCGCGGCTAATACGGCATCTTCCTCATCATCACTGCTTTCTTGGTCGTCCATTGCATGTGTCGACAATTTCCCTTTCGGATCCAATGTGAAATTCCCCGATACATGACCTCCGCTCTTGCTACCTAAGACCTGGCCCTCAATCTCATCTTCCTTTAAAAACCGTACTTCTTTCTGTTTCTTCCGAGCCTTTAGCTCACTCTTGTCCTCATTGCCGTTTCCAAATTCGTCTTCCAAGTCTGCAAACATGTCGGCATCTTCCTCTATATCCGTCTTCCCGTTCGCCCCACCGAAATTTTCCTTGTTATACCCATCTAGCGCTTCTGCCAAATTTACATCACCCTTCTTTGCTCTAGCTCTTTCGTCTGCGCGCGCATCAAAGCCTTCATTGTCAGAATCTGAATCATAACCATCGATATTGACAGCCCCTCTCTTAGTACCCGTCCCTCGACTCCCAATAACATCTGCGTCCAGAACCGCATCCTCCTCGGGTTCATCAGCTACCAAAGCGGATGGATTTCTCAAGTCAAATTTTGGTTTCTTTGAAGGGCCATCCTCATTTTCATTACGATGTGAGCGGGCAAATTCCTCACCAGCACGTTTCGGTCGCGCAGCTGCATATCTGGAGGCCATATTTTGTGATTCACAACTTCGTTGGGGTTTGGAAGCTTCGAGACTTTTAAAATAGAAGGAATGCGAATGGATATAGCTAATCCAGTACAAGTAGATTTTAAATATCAGTACTGAAGTAGCTTGATGGACAATTTGGGAAGCTTTAAGGTTTCGGAGTTAAGGATTCCCCGCCATTGAAAGCAAGCGAGAAGCGCGAGAGCTGGTTCCTGCGTCATCTTTTGGCGGCCTTTGAGCTCCGGTTACAAACTTACAATGTACTGCGTACGGTACATCTATCTACCACACACATCCAGACCAACATTCTGATTGTGATTTCTCAACAACATTTGACCTCTCGATTCTCTTGTCATACTCAAACTCAATTTTACTCATCTTACTCATCCTACTCACCCTACTCATCCTACTCACCCTACTCATCCTACTCACCCTACTCATCCTACTCACCCTACTCATCCTACTCACCCTACTCATCCTACTCACCCTACTCATCCTACTCACCCTACTCATCCTACTCACCCTACTCATCCTACTCACCCTACTCATCCTACTCACTCTACTCACCCTACTCCTACTACACTACAGATCTTGCCTTATTTACAAACAAAATGGTATGTGGAAAGCTGCGCAAGTACTAGAGTTTCGTTAAAGTACTGATCACTTCTCCTATCAATAGTCGTACTCGGGTTTTTACGAAGGGGACGATCCAGCTGCTATGTATCAATGTTACAGCAGCGGGGAATGCGAGGACCTCCAACGTTTCGATGAGTACTATCGATGTTATCCACTGTCATGATACCAGGTCCCGAGCGAGAGAATCTTAATTATTGGAGGGAAAATCATCATGCCACCATCTGCTCTAGAGAAACTTACTCGATTGCACATTACCTACCCCATGCTCTTTGAGCTCATTAATAGTCAGCATCCTGATGGGCCTAAATTAACACATGCTGGTGTATTGGAGTTTATCGCGGATGAAGGAAAGGTCTACCTGCCGCACTGGGTACGCATTTCTTAGACTTACCGAGTACTTTACTTTCCAAACTAACAACCTGACTCCAGATGATGCAAACTCTCGGACTTGAAACTGGAGATCTCTTTCAAATCAAATCCACCGACCTTCCTCCTGCATCTCTTATTAAACTTCAACCACAATCCGTTAATTTCCTCGATATCTCCAACCCTAAAGCCGTACTCGAAAAAGCCTTTCGCGATTTTTCTACACTTACTAAAGGCGATATCTTTAGCTTCTACTATAACGATACTGTCTACGATGTTGCTGTGCTGGAAGTCAAACCAGTCACTGATAAGATGGGGGTCAGTATGCTCGAAACAGACGTTTCCGTCGACTTTGCAGCTCCGTTAGGCTATGTCGAACCAACACCGATGAGAGCCAGTGGCAGTGGAACGAGCACCCCGAGAAGTGTCATGGGCGGTTTACCTGCAGGTGGCATGCTTCATAGTCAAGGAACCATGGCACAAGCCATCAACTACGATGCCATTGCGCCGACCTCCAATTCTGTCGCACAAGGTGCAAAAGCCGCCTCGTCCAATTTTGTATCCGGAGGTCACAAACTAAATGCGAAGAAGGGCGCAAAAACGCCTACACCCACTGCCTCAACTCCTGTTGCTGGAGTTAGCACGAATACACAAAATATATCAGTTCGAAGAACGAATGGTCCTCAGCCTCTTCGATTGCCACCGAATAAACTCTTTTTTGGTTACGAAATCAAGCCAGTCAAAACGCAAGCAGATAAGGACAAAGAGAATGCAGATGCGAGGCAGCCCCATTTTTCGGGACAAGGACAGGCATTGAAGTCTGGCAAGAAGGTTGAGGCGAAGAGTGAACCTGCTCCAGATTCTCACGCCAAAGGCGATAGTATTGGACGGCGGTTAGATGGGCAAGGTGCCAAGAAGTAGTATGATTGGACTAGATGACTCATGATGTGTACGATGGCGTTTGGAGGCGGGTAATGTCCCTGGCGTTCGTAGGTTTGGCGATCACCGGTGCGTGGGAAATAGGACTTCTCATGCTGTAAATCCATGCAGTAAAAGAAAGTTGAATACTGAAACTGCCGGTAAATTATGGAAATCCGTGAAGCGATCTTTCATGTGGTCAACAAGTACTGGAGGTTCTTAAGTGACCAGCATTAGCCAAAGCTATCTGGGGAAGACTTTCCATTCCCTATGCCATAACTATGCCTTTTCCTCAAACAAATCACTGCCTTCTCCCATACCTAGAATCATGTGAAGGCTTCTATAGTGGACATAAGACAGTCTGGGGTATTATTATTATTATTAATATTGCCTAGCTGCTTTCAACATTCATGTATTCTATTCCCACTGTTAAATGTAAAATCGGTAGTGTAAGTCATCTGTCTCTTCCTTCCTCGTTTAAGGAGACGGTCATTTGTAAGTCACCTACGCTCCTTCTACAAGTACTTCGACATAAGTAAATGCTGAATTTCTTCTTGGTCTTCTTCTTTGGATGCGGAAATGCTCGATCATTATTCCATGCAACATCATTCAACTTTCGTGTGTGTATAGAGCTCTCTTATCGTTTTGGATATCATCACTAGCACGGTTTATCACTACGCATTTACCATACAAGCCCCTTTTGAGCAATGCTTGCTTGAAACCTAGCATCACTTGAATTTTTGGCTAGCCATACGTTACTAGCATCCGTTTGCTATCGATTCCAACCTACGAACAGATATAGGTAAGCATTTGTTCAATCATACATTCTCTTCCCTTAACATGTAGAACAAAAAATGTAAACATTAATAGCTGACAGCCAAGGGGAATCCTAACAGTTTCCATTCTCATGGTTAGGCACGGGAGATAGGGTTACGCCACTCACAACGGCAATTCCACTGCTAGGTCAATCTATCAATATTCGTTGCCAGAGCTCAGCCATATCCACAATGAAGGCCTTGCGTGGTAGAAATCAAAGATATTCTTCCCAAGAGGATGCCTATCTCTTCAGTTACAGGGAATGGCGCAATGAAAAAGTGTCGGAATCATGGGCTCAGTTTCTTGCTAGGTTTCAAAAGAAATTCTGGGTCAATCCCCGTAGTTCAGCGTCCCTGTTTCATAGGGCTGAGAGACTTTCTGGTCGCCGCCACCAGACGCTGTCCCGAAATGGAGAAATGATGCGCCACATGCTTAAGATCCGCAGATCCAGCCTCTGGTGGACCTGGGGAAGGATTGGCCAGGCATTTGGTACCAATGCGAGGACAGCTTCTGGGGCATATAAAAGTTTCTTACAGAGAAACGGGATTGATGAAGGCCAAGATGAATCTCGTCGCATAATATGGACGATATCAAATAGAAGAAAACTTTGTAGGGCACGTCATCTCGGCCACTCATGGGAACAAATCGCTAGGCAGTTCGGCTACGAGGAGTATATATGCATAGCAGCGCATTACATACACTCTTACGGAGAAGGAAAGTCGGGGTACTTGAATGCGTCTTTTCATCCAAAGTATTTCTTTTCTACAATAGAGAGAACCAGTATTTATCATATGCAAAAGCTTTCCAGCAGGAGAGAGATTAAGGACGAAAGTATAGATTTTCCATGGGAGGAGAATATTATGGCACAATACCGGAGAAAACAATCGCTCCCTATACTTAAATGCGATGCGGAAGAAGCCGGAGCATCTAGAAGTGGTAGATCACAATTATGCTTCGGCGCTGGAGAGCCCGTGAAGGGCCAGTTGACGTTTGGACTGAAACATAACCTTGGAATAATGGAGTGTGATTCTATGAGAACGACTCAGCAATTTCACGACAGAGGTGTAGTTGCTGCACCGGTAACACTTCGAGGTGATGTTCATGCACACACGTCTATAAAAACAATAACACCAATATCCGGTAGAGGAGTTGCGGGAATGAGAATCAATGGTGCTCGGACCTTGTCCAGACCTGATACTCGACCATTTGGAAAAGGTCACTGAGCTGAGCTCATCCAAGTTCTAGTCCCAACAGTTCTTAAAAGCAGCCGATGTTTCAAGCATGGTTTGCAATTTTATACAAACCAGGTGTACTGCCGTTCAAAACGAAAGTCGAGAGTTTTCCACAACCAGTAGAGGACAACAATTTTGAGCTCACGTCTCTTGGGGGCTAGATGGTTCAGATTTGGAGTGGTTTTGATTGTTGGAGATGCATTCTCTTTCCTTGGGCTTTTTACTTTGTGGGCGCACTCCTGGAGACGGAGATGCGGCGGTTCTGTAATGATATTGTTAAAGGGGCATATACTATCTTTGGAGTGGGTGAGGCTTGTCGGAATATTGAAGCATCAGTGAGAAACAAACGATACGAGAGTGAACCATCATTTATTTGCATTGTTAACGTCTCAGAATAAAACATACATTCGTTCAAGTCCATAAGCAGCCATTCCGATTCGAGACCAGGCAAAGTCTTCTAGACTCCTGCTCTTCAACTTTTAATGAAGCTCTACTTCATAAAAGATTCATAAAGAGCATCTTCACAAGATTCCTCCCTCTTAAACATGACGCCACCTTGATCCTCAACGACACCAGTAATGTTATTGAATCCATCCATAACCTGATTCCAAGGATCGAAACAATATCTCATGTGGTCTCGACGGCCAGCCTCCACGGACTCCATGCTCTCTGTCTGTTTGTATAGAGGTGGACCGAAGAATGAGGTATCCATCATGCGATTTTTGAGGTTAGCAGTGCTTAAAATAGAACTGTGTAGGCTAAAAATGCCAGGGTTAAGAAATGTAGGACTGTTAGGTGAGGTAGGCGAATCCATAAGGAAAGGGGTTGGAAGAGGGGAGGACTCTGATGAAGTGATTGGGAATGGGAGAAAGAGGTCGGACTCTGTCTTTGTTTTGAAGTGGAAAGTAGAAGAGTTGGTGGGCTCAAAGTTCGTGATTTTAAGCGTGGAGAGTGGATTGTTGCTGTCCATGTCCGTGGCTCTCGTACTCGTAGAAGGACAGGTATGATCGTTCTGGGATTCAGATTTCGTGACAGAGGAAAGCTTCACGTCTTGGCGACTGTCTTTACGATTTTTAAACTTGAGCTCTCGTTTTGCTGGTTTTTTCTTCTCAACCCTAGAACGTCGAGGAGTTGCAATTTTTCTAGGACCAGTTGGCATTGAAGTCGTGCCGTCCATTTGTTTCTTGAAACGAAAGTACCGCATGCGCGCAGCATGACCATTGGTGATCTCTTGGGAAAGAACAGGATCGTGTGCTACTTTGTTCCAATCAATCTGTGAGGTCAGGCTTGATACTATAAAGTAGATGAAGAAGGTGGCTTACATCTTTAAGACATTTCTGGCTGAGTATTGCATACAACAAGCGGTTAATGGCTCCGTCATTAGTCATTGTTTGATTCGCTCTGAAACTAGCCAGCTTAAAGTCCCGCGGGGTACCCGTCGTGGTTTCGAGTAGCTCTGGTGTATTTAAAGAAGGGGGAAAGAAAATAATTCGAAGGGGTCGGAAGCCTTGCTAGGTAGCTTGTGCGGCGTACCAACAACGCCGTTGGCGATCCAGTAAAGTGCAAATCGTTTGATTCCAAGGCGGAAAGGCGCAGAACTTACAGGGAGCACTTAATCGACAGCGTGAAGATTTTGAAGAAAAAATGTAAAGTGTGTTGAGGAGAAGCAATAGAAATACCCATGCTCATAAACAAGTTTTGCTCAGAATAAGGTAGTAAAATGCATCTCCACAAACCTGAATTTATGAATAAAAAGTTTTAATTCCTTTGAACTGCCCCTTTTTGATTGTGCTTATGGCGGACGAATGAGCCGAAAAGCAAGTTGAGGATATCTGCATCATAGTGGATATGATAATCGCTCGAGCCTTTATTTTTTACGGGTACCTGAATAGGGAACCGTGATGGGGGGAATCAAGATAGTTTTTCTTTTGTTTATTTATTTATTCATTTATTTATTTATTATATATAAATTAAATATATTAATTTTCATATATAACTTTTAATTAAATATTATAACTCTAAAGACTTTGAAAATTTTTACTGTATTTATTATTTATACTCTTTTTATATTGTTTTACTTATTTTGAAATTCACTCACCTCATCAATAATTTTATCCCCACCAAACCCTTCTGGTCTTGTTTCTATCTCCCATCTACCATCCTCCCAAACTTCAGCAATCTAACCCGTCTACAGACTCAAATTACAATATCTGCCTTCTTACATCTCTTACATTGACTTATCAAATCATGCCTTCTCAGTGGGACCATACGGCTGACAAAGATTTGTTGTTGGCTATTATTGAAGGGAACAATCTAAAGACTATTGAATGGCCTGCCATTTCTGAAAGACTTCAGAAGAAAGGTTATTCTTTCACCAAGGAGGCTTGTCGGTGCGTACAAGGATTTCGTTTTATGAAATCTATTTCTTTGCCTCTGCTTCTCAGTTCTATATATTGCTTTGGCAATATAAACCTCCTTGGTCTTCATATTGGCTCGACGATCATCTTCAATAAAAGGCATTTTTCAATATTGAGATTTAAGTAATTATTTCTCTGTAATTACACTGCAATGGTTTAATGTCATTCATTCTTCTCTTCGTGTAATATTGTCATCTGCAGATTGCTGTCGCATTTTCCCAGATCTCTAAGCTTACAGTCATTACCTTTTCTCATGTCTTAATCGTTCTCCAGCACTACCACTACCAAAGCCTACTTGCTCGACAACTAACTGAACAATATACAGACAACACTTCCAGAAAATCAGAAAAGAATCTCGCACCGGCTCATCTTCCGCATCCGTCAGTACCACTCCTGCCGCCACTCCTGCCGCCACTCCTGCCAAGAAACGTAAATCCAAGGCCTTTTCTTACGAGGACGGGGCTGAAAACGATGACGATGAAACGCCCTCGAAGATACCATCCAAACGTGTCAAGAATGGAAATGGTAACCAAACAGCTACTCAAGTCGGAGTCGAGGTTGAGGAATAGATGTGCTCAATGACAATCAGTATGTATTCTGTTGGCGTAGGCGGCCGGCCTTTGCGTGCAAAAACAGGAACATGGCGCTGATAATTGAGTAGCCAACAATGCCTAGTCTTTGGCGCATGTTCTTGCTCCACTAACCATTGGATGCTGATTGGAGTGGAGGCCATTGGTTTATACAAACTTGATACTAAGAACGAAGCACCATGGTGGAGGCAAATGCATGGCCTAGCATCATCTCACTTAGTTTCAATTAGTTAAGACTTTCTTGCATTGACGAAGAGCGTTGGAGGGTTACTCTTTCTGCAAATCATACTTTTTTTTCCCAACATGGCAGTACACAACGATCTTACCACTCTTTGTGCCGTAAATTCTTGCCATAACGATATAGTTCCAGCATCTTTCAGGACTCTGTTTCCATCTCTTTCTGAGTGGTGAAGGTGTCCGCTTCTGTGATCACAGATGGTTCGCCTATGTCTTCGCCCAGCCTTCTCCAAACTCTGCCTCAAGTAGTTGCAAAAATGAGATTCATATCGACACACACCATGTAATGGCGGCCTATCCTCGCCGGAGATAAGCTCTGCCCCAGATCACTCTATGCAATACTTCAAAACGGCTTCCACGTTGCTTGGCTGGTTTCGACGGTAAGACTTACTACATAGTACCTCGTATTTGAGCATTAACTGATACTTCCTCGTTATACCACTTGCTCAAACATTCTTGAGGACAGCATTCTCTGCTATTTTTCATGTAACATCCGACTCCTTTCGAATTGATGTCTTTGAATTCCACATAGACGACTAAAGTTTCCTTCGTTGCAACAACTGGTACAAATAATTGCAACCCGACTACATAAGCTGCAGCCACACGAAGGAATTTATTCCACGTTGCCGAAGTAATCCGTGGCTAGAAATATTATAATGTAACGGACAGATTCGTAAGAGCCAAACAAGTAATCAGCATGGAGTGTGAAACCTTGTTGGGTGCAGAAAACAACTCATTTTGTAAATGGTTCAGCCTTCAAGCAAACGCGACACCAAACCACGAAGCGCATTCTGGCATCACACCCGGGACAGCAAGCGCCTATCAGGTTCCACGTTCAAGAGCAAAAGGCCGTAGGCCATTTGAATTTAGGACAAGCAACTTTGATATCCGAAAACAAAGAAATGCAGCTTCGTCCAGAGCTGGGTTCGCTACAGATAATTCCTCTGCTGGATTGCCTAAAGCTGTTATTTATTGTGTGACGAAATTCAGGTCATATTCCACCACCAATCTCCGCAAAAGCCTTCTCAGAATTGCATCTTATCGTGGTCGCGGGTTGCTGGATCATTGCCAACAAACTAGGGGCACTGATTGGAAGATCATGAAAATGGCACTAATTTGTGAGCCGGAAGTGAACACCTTCGCCCGTTCAAGGGGTCCTTATTGTAGGTGTGAAGAAGGTTGTCTTAGTACTGGAACTATGGTTCCTGACTAATAGAGTAGACCCACAATCGTACTTGCCATATTGAGCCTAACACCGTCACTTCGTAAATGCTTTCCATAGCGCTTGCACTACTTTATTAGCCGACGAGATCAAATGAGATAGCTCTCCGGTTGTGAATTTCAATGCCGACGTTAGGTGTCTGGGCATCCACATGCACACCAAATCTTTAAGTAGTGCCTGAACAGGGACAACTGCAAGATTAGTCTTAACACGTTGTTGTATCTACTGCTAGGAGTCGGACTCGTACAGCCATACTGGCTGATATTGATCAAGGTAATTAAGATTTTGATCACTGAATTCCCTGCTATCAATACCGATGCCAAAGGTTGACTGCTTTCCTGGTCAGGATGCGAGCCATCCAAAGGCTTCTTCAACCAGTACCACAAGAAACAAGAGAAGGTCACTTGGACCTGGTGGACATGTACTCTGCTTAGGGCAGGGCATCAATATGACCCTAAAGTAGTCGGTTGATATTTCTGGTGCTGGATATACAATTTTGAAGTCTCTTTGACAGCCCTATGAATCTCCATAATGGGTCTTGAAAGAACTAGCATTGAAATTGCCCCCCCCTCGGGATGCATGGGGTGCCAAAGTGCCGCCACTACTGCTGATGAAATCATGAGCTTGATAAGTCTAGTACCCCACTTCTCAACATCCCTAATCTCGGCTACTCTTTTATATCAAAAAATAACAAAAATTAATCTTTATGATTTTCTTATCTATCAATATAATTAAATAAAATTTAGAATAAAAATTGATTATTTATATGATAAATACTAAAAAATTTAAATTTTTGATGATTTTATTAATCGAGATAAGTCTAATACCCCACCTCTCAGCCAATTTTAAACTCGATCACTCTTGAAGTTTTATATTAAAAAGTAACAAAAATCGATTCTTATGATTTCCTTATTTATAAATATAATTCAATGAAATTTGAAATATAAATTTTATATTTATATAATAGTAAATTTTGAAAATTTCAGATTTTTTACAATTTTATTATTAAAGATATTTAAGATTGAAATTATAATTTTCAATTTATATAAAATTTATATTATATATTTAATAATAATAGTAATAATAATAATAATTTTCATTTAATGGATATAAGTTGAAGACTTATACTGTGACGGAAAAGTCGTAAACGGAGTCAATTCAATTACTTAGAATCTAAAACTAAAGAACTAAGAAGATTCTAAGTAAGAAGGTCTTTATATAAAGGGCTAGTGCATGTGAGCCACTAGTGGGTAACAATCGTCATGTAACATCACCTCCCTTTTCTGAAAAAGCTCGCCCTCGAGCTTTCATTCATCGCTTTATTGTCGGTTAGCTCATTATAATCATCCCTTCCTTCCTTATACATCTTAATCCACTTCATAAGTAGTGCTGAGGGGCCAAACTGAGTTGGGTATATTAAATGAAATTCATACAATTTATAAGGTGTATATATAAAGTTTGAGACAGGATAGAATGTAGGATCCGGGTTATAATTGAGCCAGGATACTCGATACCTTACTTGTTTGTACTAGTTTCTAGATACAAGTATATCGTCAACTTCCCACTCTTCTTTATTATTAATATTGATCGAGGGGCTAGGATCAGTATACTAATCAGGAAGCAGGTCGTTAGCTGTTTTGCAGAGCTTTTCGGACGGGAAGGTATCATGAATCTTCATTGAGCTAGATAGCTCCAGTCAATAGAAATGACCTTTCTTTTCGAGAATCTTGAAGGGTCCTGAAATTAGGTTATCTAGCTTTCTAGAGGGATACTAAGTTGTATAATATTGGGTATCCAATTAAATCTTGTTATTAATATCGAAATCGATTTCTCAACGATGTTTATTAGCTTGATTAATTATTCGTTTCTAGAATAGAATGATTTATTGATGAGTTAATATTTGAGTATTATAAAGACTTCGAGCTAATGAGCGAGCTTCTTCGATATTAATCTTGTCTTTAGGTTCGGTAGACTGTATTCGCCAATCCTATAGATCTCTAGGGGAAAATCCATGAACAACTTCGAAGGGGGTAAGGCCTCTAAGGGAATTATATAAAAGAGTAAATTGAATATAATCTATTATAGGTAACAAATTTGATCAATTAGTTTGATAGTAATCGATAAAAGAGTATAGCTATTGTATCAAATATTGATTATAGATCTTTGTTTGGTTATCGATTTGAGAATGATCAATTGAACTGAGCTTGATCTATATTTCTAGAATAGTGTTGAACTTTTTCCAAAATATTGAAATGAAGATGAAGCCTCGATCTAAGAGTATAATAAGAGAAGGATCAAAGTAACAATAAATATGATATATATAAAGCTAAATTATTTCCTTGATAATGATTATATTTTTGTAAGATATAGTAATAGTTTATTTATTGAAATAATTAATAATGATTAATATATTATTATATCTATACTTATTTTTATTGAAATTATAATAATTTATTGTAATATATTCCCAAGGACAAGTGATAGCAGGGAGTAGATGAAGGAGTCTGGGGATCTTATCTCTTGGAATCTTAGAATGTTGATATATATAATAATTACAAATATATTGTTTTATATAAATGTTTATACTTTGCTAATAATAATAATAGCTTAATATAATGATCGTTTTGTTTATACTTGGGTATACTGTAAACATTTGATCATATATTTCGCGAATAAGAAGAGTGCATAGGTTGTCGGTGTCAGGGATGATTAATCGATCCTGGTAGAGCAGTAATCCTTCATCGAGGGTGAAGTGAGGGTTACTGTGTGAACGAAGTGAATGACTTCAATTCAATTACTACTGTAATAAAGAACTAAGCGAACGCGAAAGAGACTAGCTCTTTTAGTAAGTCTATATAAGACTTACTACTTTCAATATGTAGCTAGCTCTTTAGACAGAATACAATTAGACATACAGGACCTACGTAATCTGTGGGTGCTACGTCTTCCGTATCCTTCTCGTACCAACAGATATCTTATAAAGAGGGCTGTATTTGAGAGCTTTTTCACTATCTCCTTCGAGTATTATTTTGTGATTGTAGAAATGGTAAGGGGGAAGAATATTAGATTTGGCTTTTGAGAATATATCAGTATAGTCAGTATATTGAGGAGGTATTGATGGTTCATTATTGATCGAAGTTATTTGGAGGAGGGTAGCAGCAGCGAGCTTCCGATTATATTTAATTGAATCGAGAAGATTGTTAGTATCCTTCTCAACTTGTTTTTCAGCAAGCAGTATATCAATCTTATATAAGCTAATAATGAATATTTTATCATTTAATTTGTGTTTAGTATAGAGATTGAAAACAGGATCTGAAATTGCAGCGATATCGATAAGGGGCGGAGTCACTCTTTTTTGTTTCAAGCAATTAGGAGTATATAAAGATAATGGTAATGGTTTTGAAAAGTTATTGTGTTTTGGGTGTAATACTTGATTCATAGCTTGTATACAAATGACAATATCTTTTTGATGTGAATTGCTAAAAGAAACTGATATAGTTTTAGTAGCAACTGGAAGTGATTTAGAGTTTTCGCAATAAGTGATTTCGCCAAAAGCAATATGATTTTCGAGTTGTTGTTAGTAATAGTATTTGTATTTTCAATAAACAATATCGATTCTATAATCTTTAATATATATATTGTTTTGATATATTATATTGATCTGATTTGTTTTGATTTGAATAGGATTAAAATAAATTAAGTGATAGTAGCTAGGAGTAAATGGGTAATTGGATGGTCAATCAAGGCGCTGATTGTAGCAATCAAGCTTAATATGATGTTTAGAGAGCTAGGTGCGTCCAAGGATAGCCTTGTAAATATCTAAAGAAGTGATTAAAAAAGGAGTGTAGGATTGAATTCGATGGTCAATCATCAATGTGAAAATAATATAATAGGAAATAGATTCTCTTTCTTGATTATTATAATTATGAATAGGAATAGATCTAGAGAGAGATTTAATAAAATAATGAAGTGTAAGGCGAAGAAAATGAAGAAAAGAACAATCAATAAAGATATAGCTATTAGCTTCTAAGTCTATAAGTATAGGAGTTTGATAGGCAAGTTTATTCTTACAAAGAATAGCTTTGATTGTTATACTTTTATCTTTAAGAAGCTTGTTAAGATCCAAATATCTCATATCTCGGATCTGGCCTAGAAAGGAGTCTTTCTTTAGATATTGTCTTTTGCTCTCGAGGGCTGTGGTTCGTTATTGTTGGTACGAGAAGGATACGGAAGACGTAGCACCCACGGATTATGTAGGTCCTATATATCTAATTGTATTCTGTCTAAAGAGCTAGCTACATATTGAAAGTAGTAAGTCTTATATAGACTTACTAAAAGAGCTAGTCTCTTTCGCGTTCGCTTAGTTCTTTATTACAGTAGTAATTGAATTGAAGTCATTCACTTCGTTCACACATTTACATTCGGTTTCTCGCTATTTTGACGGATGTGGTGATTATTGGGATTATTACCTTTTGGATGATCATTGCGAGAAAGGTATAAAGAGTTGAGAAGGTGAAGTATCAGGTTATAGACGGTCGGTGTTGCGATTGCTACTAGATTGCTTAATTGGATACTCTTCTTGATTATTCTTTTTTCCTTGGGATTTAGAATAGCGAATTGCTAGGGGATCGCAGTAAGCACCAAAACTTTTATTAATTGTAACTTTTTGGAAACGAAACTCTTGATTGAAATGAGTTAGGGAATCGATATAATCTTACAAAGAGGTTATCTTCCAGTAATCATTAACAGCGAAAGAGCGAAGATGGAGGGGGACTTTCCTTTGTAAATCAATACAAAGAGTTTTCTTATTATGAATCTGAGCTTAACTAACCAGGGATCGGAATTGATGGTAAAACATCCGAAATTCTTTATACTTAATTATTGCTAGCTCTTGATACTTATCATTCGCTTTTTCAGCTTTTGAGGGATTAGAAAGAAAATTGACAATCAGATCAATTAACTCTTCTGTAATTGCAGCTAGATCTCAAAGCTAATAAGATTTCAAGAAAGTACAGACGGTTTCTTTCATATTATCTATAATATATGCTATTTGGATCAATTCGGAATTGAATATATAATTGTATTATTGAAAGCGAACTTCAATATTTTTTCGTTATAATTCCAATGAGATATCTGGCTTTATTCCTATATTTAGCTTTATAGATAAAAGTGGGATCTTATTGGGTCTTGTAGAAGCGATTGACGAAATAAGGGTACTAAAACAATTATCTACAATAAATGATATAGATACAAAAGAAATGTTCTTATCCAAAAGCAAGACAAAACTCTCTGGATTGGTAGATTCTCTTTCAATACTTGGAATCATATAATTTAGGGATGCACCTTGCTGTAGTAATAGCTGATTTCGGGCTTCTTTTTCTTTGACTACCTCAAATTCTTGTATAATCTCTGTATAGAGGTATACTTCCAATTTATCTCTCATTAGCTGGTATTGTAGATATTTGTATAGATCCAATAGTTGAGAAGATAACGATGCAGCGGTCTTTTGGATCTTCGAAACTGGAGTTCTTTTTGGAGGCATATTGCTGTATTCGAAAGGTTTCGATAATCATGTAATTGGTGAGCTTCTCTTAGAATCAGTAATAGAAGAAGTAGATTCCTTAATGTTAACTTGAATAGTAAAACAAAGAAATCGTGGGGTCCTAATTAAAGGGTTACGAGAGGTAGTAGAAAGATTTTGCATAAAAGGGTTTTCAGTCTTTTTAGACGATTGTCTTGTATTTATCATTCTTCAGCGATATCGAATGCCATTAGAATAGGTCTTCTTTATAAGTCGGAAACGATGATTTTATCCAATAGAGGTATTAAGAATGTGGATATTGTTCAAGAGGCCGTCGTTGGTTGTAGGAATAAATGAGTTTTAGATAATGTAATGGAAAAGTCGTAAACGAAGTCAATTCAATTACTTAGGATCTAAAACTAAAGAACTAAGAAGATTCTAAATAAGAAGGTCTTTATATAAAGGGCTAGTGCACATAAGCCACTAGTGGGTAACAACCGTCACGTAACATATACTTTAAACTGTAACGATACTGTACTGGAGGCAGCGGCTGCCTAAGGTTTCGTCTGGTTGGTAGTTGTGGGTTAAGGCTTTATCACTGGTATTCACTTGGAAGTGAATTCGTTACTAGATTAAGTAGAATGTAGATAAACTAATTGATAACTAAGTTGAGCACGAAGCTCCTAAACTATGAAACTACTCTGACTATATAATGATCGATAAAAGGAGCCCCTAGGAGCTTTCTGGCTCCTCAGGGCTCCTTATCATGTGATTACTTTTCATCCCAAGACACTAATCCTAATGGTGAATCGTGACATAAACTGTTACGAAGTTTGCCGTCTAGATCACGTGGAAGTGCTCTAGGCTCTCGAGGTAGTTTATAACTAGGCGTCAAGCAGGGACTTAAAGTAATGACAATAATGATATGCAATTCGTAACTAATAGTAGAGTATACTAAATGATTGATCTTGAGCACGAAGCTCTATACAAAGGGAATCCATCTTGGTTATATAGATATTCATGAAATCTTTAAACATTTTTGAAATATAATAATAAATATGATTCTTTATATTAATAGAATATTTTTAATAATGATAATTAAATTTTGTTTATTAATTTAAAATATTTTTTAAATCTAATATTCATTTTTAAAGTATCATTAAATTAATATAAATAAGATATTTCAATTTATTTGTATATTACATTTTAACATTATGAAATAAAAAGAGAATAATATAAATAATAATTGTTTTTTATAATATTAAAATAAATGGATTAATATTAATATAATTATTTATAATTGTTATTTAGTCTATAGAATATTTTCAATTCGATAATATCCATTTTTATATTTTTAATATAAATAATTATAATAATATCTCTTGTATATTTTAAATTTTTTTAATCTATTATCTTTATAAACTTAATATAAAATAATAAAGGAATAATTTTAAATTAATTTTTGAGATCAAAAAATATTAAATTTATAAAAGATTCAAAATTGTATTTTATTTAAATATATAATTAATTATTTCTTTTAGAATCTTTATTTATATTCATATTGAAATTGAGAGTTTTTTTGTTTTAATTCAATTTTGTAAATTTATTTTTATAAGTTTTATAATTAATTCAAAAGAATTATAATATAAATTGATATTTTCAAAATTATATCGAAATTTGATATTTTTTATATTTTGAAATCCTTCGATTTTTATAAAATTGATAACAATTTACTGAATTAAATAAATTTTATAAACAAAGACATTGTTATTAAATAAAATCTTCTAAACTATTTATTAGTATACGTAATATTTGACTTTTTGATTATTTTTAATTTTAATTATCTTTTTATATTAAAAACAATGAAAATTGATCTTTATAATTTTCTTATTTATAAATATTATTTAATGTAATTTGAAATATAAAATTTTAATTTATATAATATTCATATAAATTCTAGATTTTATTTATTGCATAATGTAATGTTTTTTATTTAAAATCTTTCTTGATTTATTTATTTTTCCAAATCTTTGTTAGATATTTGAATAAAATAAAAAATGTTTTCTTTTCTAAACAAATCAAAATAATTAATTGAATTTTATGAAAAATTATTTAATTACTTTTTAATAATTTCTGTTAAATATTTATATAAAATTGAAAACAAAAATTATGATTTTTAATCAAAATTAATGAAAAATTAATTGTAAAATTTTCCAAAAATTTTGTTTAATTAGTTATTATATTAAAAGATTTTAATTGATTTGATTTAATATTGAAAAAGTTAATTGATATTTAATTTTATATAAGGAATTATAATTTTTGTAAAGATTTTATTTTAAAATATTATGATGTATAATAATTAAATTCCAAAACTCTTATATAAATTTAAAAATCTTAAAATTTGAAATAACTTTTCAATAAAAATTATTAAAATTAATGACAAGTATTTTTGAAACACATATATTATAATTAATTAAATAAATAAATTTATTTTAAAACAAAATCATAATTGTTATTTTATTATTAATTGAATATTTATTTGTATAAAAGTATATAAATCTTATATAAATTAAAAATTATAATTACAACTTTCAATTTCTTGATTGATAAAATTGTAAAAAATCTGAAATTTTCAGAAATCTTTTATATTTATATAATAATATTGTAATGTAAATTTCAGTTAATTTTATTCATTAATTATTGAAATTTTAATAAATGCAAATCGTAATTTTTGATTTGAAAAAAGTAATCGAGATCAAAGGATTGTTGAGAAAATAAAATATTAGATTTAAAATATAAAAATATAAATTTTTAATATTATATTAAAGATTTACATACAAAATTTATGATATTATTATATTCTTGATCTTTATTATTTTTTTCAATTATTAATAATTAAATCTTGGATTTTATCAAATATTATGATATAAATAAAATCTATTTTTAATTCAAAGAAATATAGAAATAATTAAACATATTTTTGCAATTATTCTTTTGAAGAAATTTAAATTTCAATATAATTAATTATATTACTATTATTATTATTATTGTTATTATTATTATTATTATTATTATTATTATTATTATTATTATTATTATTATTATTATTATTATTATTATTATTATTATTATTATTATTATTATTATTATTATTATTATTATTATTATTTAAGGATTTATAAACATTATAAAAAATAGATTTTCTCATTTTTAAAGAAACTATAATATAAAAAATTTATTAATCTCCAAAATAAAAAATTAATTTAATAAATAAAAGGATTTTTTTCATTTTTTTGAATCTATTTGCTTTTTTCTTCATTTCTCAAATTTAAAAATAAAATGTAGATTATTAATAAAAGATTATTATTATTCGATATGATTCTAGTTATTAAAATTTCTATAATCTTTTTAAATATAATAAATACCAGGGGCTTACCCCAACCGTGGACTCTTGATTTTTTAAGAAATTTTAATATAAAT